GGGTAGAAGTCGTCGGGGCAGGCCGGCGACCTCGGCGGCGAGGCGGGCGCGCACGTCGGGCCGCCGCGCGACGGCCCACGTCAGGTACGTGAGCGTGTTGCTCGTCGTGTCCGAGCCCGCCACAATGTACGTCTGCGCGTTGACCGTCACCTCCTCCGCCGTCAGCGTGTCGTCGTCCTTGGCCGCAAAAACCTTGGAGAAGAGCGTGTCCCGCGCCTTTTCGTCGCCCGAGAGGACCGCCTCCTTTTGCCGCGCAATCGACTGCATGGCGTACGCGCGCATGCGCTGCCCGCCCGCGACGGCATTGTCCACAATGGGAATAGTGATGTACTGCGCGAGCTTGGTGAGGCCGGGCACGAGCAGGCGGATGCCGCCAAACTTGTTGACGGCGAGAATGTCTTCAAAGTACTGGTTCTTCTAATTGTTGCACTAGGTCAATGCTGCTCTGCCGCGGTTTTGCGACGAGGGGTGCGTCCGCTTACCTTGCCGCTCTCAATCATGTTAAAGGAGGAGCCAAAGGTCAGTTCGCCGAGGGTGTCGGTCGTGAAGAAGAACCACCACTTGTAGACGTCAATGGCGCCGCGGGACTGCAGCTCCTCGGCCATCTTGTAGACGGCGGCGGTGGCGCGCGAGTAGACGTCGGGGATGGCCGTCTTGAGCGCCGACTCGGACATGGGCGAGGCCAAGAGGCGGCGGTAGCGGCGGTGCAGGTCGACATCGCTCGTGTTGAACATGGAGTCGACCTTGCTGGGCGCAAGGGCGCGGTAGGCGGGGTGCTTGAGAAACGTCTCCTTGTGGCCGTAGACCTTTTTGACGTCGTCGATTTCGGCGATGCTAATCTCGTTGGGGGCTGTGCGAACAATGCGGCCTGCGCTGTGTCAGCGCTGCGCTGCACTTTGGCATTAGACATGTCATCTCGAATAGGTCCTTACCATATTTTTGGTGCAGCCTGTGGGCGTGGCCGGGCGTGAAGCCTTTGAACATGGACATTTGGTTGGGCAGTGCTGTAAAGTGTGTATACCATGGCCCAGGCACCCTTGAGATGGGGTTGCGGAAAACTGTGATGAGTTTCTGTATACCGTGGTTAGCAATTTGCGTCCCTCCAAAGGCATCAAAGTAACCAACTGCGAGCACCCAAAGGGTTGCCACGGCCCCGAGGGCGATGCAAAGGTTTACACCTCTTAGTAGTTGTAGTTCCATTGTGAGTTGGGTCGTGTGTGTATGTGGGAGTAAGAGCAAAGCAAGCAAAAAAGACTCGATACCCTTTGTTGGAAAAGATAGAGAACGGGGGAGTAGCTTGAATATAAATACAACGTGTAGCATGGAAATACTTGCCCTTGTATCAACTAACCGCCCAACCTATGAACGCATGGATGGGGTTGTGGCATGTATGCGCGGGAAAAGATGGGGCGCGACATGAGTCCAGCTCAGCCCCATGACGCCTGAAATGTGAATCACCCATTTTCTGGTTGGCCGGCAGCCACTAACGGAGGGAAGTCTTGGTTGCGTGTCATGTGTGGTGCTCGCGACCGCGAAGGCGCGAAGTAGTTGCAACGAACGAACCAAGCCGAGCGCCGCCGCGACAAACAAGCCCCCCCTGTCAAAAGAGGAGGCGGTGGCAGGACAAAGGGGCCCAATCTGGGTGGGCTGCGCTTTTCTGGTAAAGTTGTAAGGCGTCGATCGTAGGTGGCTTCGGATATCGATGACTGCGATTTTCAAGCCGGAAAGGCGCAACACGGGCGCAAAAGACTACGACAAAGCCAAGCCACAGCGAGAAAGACTGGGGTCCCCGTAGTGACAGAGTACACGCGTCCACTACGTATGCGACAAGGGCCCAATGCCGCTCTGGTGTGACGGAGCGAGAGCAACTGCGCGTAGGGACGGGATTGGAAGAGGGGGGTCTTGTGAGTGTCAAGCTCTGAATCCCGACTCTCCGCGAGGCAGTGTGCGGGCGGGAGGCGCCTTGTGGTTCATTGGCTGGGGGTGGGTGGTTGGGTTGCGGGCTCCGCCGCAATGTGACGACGAGGCCGAAAAGAAAAAAACTTGACGAGATGAATCCCGAGCAACCTTGGGTTTTTTTTCTCCTTTGTTGGTGGCGTGGGGGTCGGAATGTGTCAAGGCGAAACAAGCAAACGGGAAAGCCGGCTGCCTGGTCTGGCACGAGTGCGAGAGGCAGGGCTCAAGTCCCCGCCGGACACCTCACACTCTTATCCCACGCACACTTGGGAAGAAGAGTCGATCAAGGTAAACCCCGTTTCTGTCAAGAATCAAAAGCTCCCGCCAAATGAACAGGCTTGGCCCCCGCCACCGCCGTCGATCCGTCCTAGCTAGCCGCTTACGTCCCCAGGCGTTGTGACCTGTGCCGGTGGCCGATGAATGTGGGTATTTTTATTCTTTAGTGAATAAGCTATTTCAAAGAGACGAGTTGAAAAGGAGCCTGCAAGTATCTTTTGATGATTGAGGATGACGGCCTGGTTGGCGTTTGCTGACTGCGTGACGCTGCTAGTTAGAGAGAGGCCTTGGGCGGACCATTGTCGCATCTGAAACATGCCGCATGACTTATACCAAAAGTTATACCAAAAGACGCCAGAACAAAATCGCCAAAACGGGCATGCATGCTGTTTGTTGGCTTCTAGAAAAAAGCCTCGAGGCTACCCCCAGAGTTCTGTCCCAGCTCCTGTTCGTCTTCAATTACCCTATAACAGAACTCGAGCAACATGCGTCAACAAAGACTTCGTTCCTCACATACCACAATGGCTTATCGAGCCCGAAAATGTATTATTATCCATCAGCCCATGCCCTTGAGCCCTATAGCCGCATCAGCCCGATAACAGCGCTGCCCCAGCCCTGGCCCAATCCCATTGCCGTCAGCAAGCCTGGTTCCGCCTTCGCCGGGGATTTCAGCCACTGACCAAGGAAAAAAAAGTCCCGACGCCATCATCTTGTAATTTACTGTCGATCGGTTAATTCGGTGTGGCTTATGCCGAACCGCCCGCGTTGTTTGTTACTGGCTGCTGATACTCCCTGTGTCATCGTCTCCTATCAATTCCTAGGATTTGGATGAAGGACCGACGCGAAGACCAGCGAACCTTCTCCAGAATGTGTGCACTCAAGTCTGCATTGGTGCTGACCCCCTTTTCATTGCCTTGACTACTGCAATTACAGCTCATCATCGAACCTCACTATGTATCATGTCCATTCACCGCCTTAGACAAACTCTCGACGTCCTACCAACCAAGAAGTTGATGTTTGGCGAAAACAAATAAGATGAGTAATACGCGCTGAAGCATCGTCACAGCTTCACATTGCCTACCCAAGACGAGGTAGTACACCATCTTTGCTCTGACCTCAGCAATAACTACTGCCCTTTCTGGTCGTTACCAGTGCTCGACTTCGGGTCCGGGATTGGCAGGCAAGTGGCGATCACCTCACTCGTCAGAGACTGCAGAAGTATAGCTAACAAAAAAAGCTGCGCTAATATCTGAATTGACCCCTTTAGTGCGAGTTTCTAGAAGTGACGGTGACGAAGAAGAAGGAGCAAGGCACGCAGTAAGAGTCGCTCGCATTTCTCGTATGCGGAGCAAAGGGCCGAACTGCACCGGTTAGAACGGCATTGGGTGCCAGAGACATTGCATGTAGTTCAAACTTGCACCGCCTCGAGTTTGCACCGCCTCAAGTATGCTGACAAGGAGGCCGTTGTCTTTGCGCCGTGTCTGGGTTTGGCTCCTGCGGCGAAGGCTTCGACAAGTCCTGCGTGCAGGTGCCCCGAAACGTTCCGCTGCAAGACAACAATCCTATTGCATAATTTTTCCTGAGATCCTAGTCAACCTCCAATATGTACCGAGGCTAGATCAAGTTTCGAGTCTCACCTGCATCTTGCGAGTTCCGCGCAGCATGACGCGGCTTGGCCTTGAAGTACAATACCCAACTCAAACTACAAGTGTCGGCTCTGCCGACGTCGTAACTCGTCTATTTAGGCTTCAATGACAACATGAGGCAGCTTTCACACTCTGAAACCAGTCGAATTATATCACGGGCCAGTCCTCCCGCTTCCAACAGCGTCCCATTGGCTCTGTACAGGCATGGCCACCAACCACGACCGCACGCACCCGAGATCCAACGCAAACAACAAACCGGCCAAAAGTTGGCCATCAATTAACGGGAGTCCAGATAACCTGCCCAGACCAGATTAAAAGATCCCCCACATAGGCGGCGATGCATCGATGACAGGGACGCGCGTTGTCGTTCAATCCCGATCCTTTCAATGCCGGCCCGGTGCGCCGTTGGCCTCCAAAGCTCCGGCCATTGCGCGCAGCGCAGGACAGAGGCAAGGCTAACACGAGTACGCTCAAATAGGCAGGACATGGCCTTTCTATCTGATAGTTTCATGAAACCGTCGACATCTCCATTATTTCGCGGACGTGGAGTTACTTCGCCACCATCATGGACTGTCACTTTACAAGGCAATATGCAACGGCGAGATGTAAAAGCGTATATAGAACGTTGGAATCTATGAGTAGCTAGTGAGAGAAACGACACTACACATTCCGCCTCCTTGCGCCAGCACCAATTCCAAGACAGAAAACAATGACGGTTTAGGTATAGAAGTTGTAACAATGCCAACAGAAACCACACACTGCAAAGCTCTCCTCTTTTCCCCTTCTGCCGCAGACGCGCCTCCAGTTAAGCTCCAATCCCGCTAGATTTCCCATCTTGCTTCCGAGAAAAGTTCCCATTGTCCAACAAGGATGCCCAATGGGCAAAGAATTAATAGTACAATAAAAGTAGTAGTGACGGGGCAGGCCGAGACCAGAACCAGCGCCACTCGAAAGTAGAATAAACAATATTCGAATGTGCCTAAAACATAGATTGGAAGAACGAAAATGACAAGGACGCCGTGCTATGCATCAAAAACGCAAACCCATATCCTCACTCGCTAACGACGCAATTGAGCTGCCTTGGTACGAGGCTAGATACGCAGTCATGAGTGTCGGCGCTAAGGCGTGCGAGGGCGCTTCCAGTAATACTGCTTGTGCTGCTTGCGACAGTTCCTCAAACTGGGCTTGCGCAGATCATCTACAACAGCAGCCCGGCGCTCACTGTCATTGTCTTTCTCGGGTAGGTAGTAGTACTCGCTCTCTAGCACCTTGCCTGCAGCGTCCTTGCCCTGGCGTGGAATTATACCAAGACATCCTGTCGACTCAATGACTTCACAAAGAGCATCCCGGGTCAAGTCGACCTTGAAATCGTCAGGGAGGTGTTGCATGATGACCGACAAAGGCGTGGATGAGAGCCGAGAGTAGGCGAGTTGATTGACCACATGGTTGGCGACCCCGGGGTGGACAGTGACTTTGGGCTTTTGGGGCGTTGGTTCCCGATCCTCTTCCTCCTCACTAAGCAACTGATCATCCGGTGTGGGCGTCTCCTCATCCCTGGTCTCTGGAGAGGGTGGGTCAGATAGTAAGCTGCTCTCAGTATGCGTCTCGGATGCCTCTGGGTTCTCTGCAAGCTCTGGAATATCGCGTCCTAGAGGATTCCCCGCACGAGGAGACTTGCCCAGAATCGATGCCAGGCGGTTGGATATATCAGCACCGAATGGGCCGAATGAATGAACGATGGGGTCATTTTCCTCATCGGGGTTGTGCTCTGCTTCATCGTCTTCCTCGTCGTCCAAATGGCTGTGGAAGCTAGCAGTGGCTTCCGTCAGCATACTGGCATTGGGATCTAGAGTTATTTGACCAGGGAGTTCTGGCTCGTCCTCATAAATCTCGATGGCGCCATCAAGCTCCGACGGGCTAGGAAGAAGGTCGTGTAGGCGCTGTGAGCTCGCCAAATGAACGGGCGTGGGGCTTTCAGGAGACCGGATAGAGGCCGCATGACGACGGAGAGGGGATGAGTCAAAGAGACGACCGGGGCGTGTTTGGGATCGTGGGGGAGAATCGTCCCAGCTTGAGTCGGATAGATTGCCAACATTGTCGATCGCCGAGGAGAGACGCGGCCATTGGAGCAACACGCGCGCTTCTTGAACGTCAATCATGATCTCGGCTTCCGTTTCGCTAGAGAAGGTATCACCCTTCGAAAGGTCCCAGCTGCGGCCCTGGCAGTGCAGCTTCAACCCATTCCAGCCCTCACAAACAATTTCTACCTTGTTTGCCTCTTCGGGCTCAGTGGCAGCAACGAAGCGAGCCTTGACGTGGACGCGCGATATCAGGCGGCTAGCTGACAGCTGGTAGTGGGCGGAGTTGGAGGAACGGCCCATAAGCAGCGGCTCTCCGTTTTCGGCGAGTTCAACCGAGGGCAAAGCACCTAAAGGAGCGCGCTTCTCAACCATAGCATTGCGAGCCTCACCAATGGCTGCCGAGTTGCGCCGCAACGGGGAGCTAGACAAGATACCCGTGCTGGATGTAGGAATGGGTGTGGGATACCGCAGGCTGGCATCCGTAGCCGTGTTCTGGCGTTTCGAGGTCCGAGGGAGGCCTGGCGAAGAAGACAGGAGCTCAAATGGGGGCAACAGCGAGGGAGCCGGGCGCTTGGTGCCAGCCAGCGAGGTAGAGGTTGCCGATGGCATAGGTAGCCGGGGCTCGTTTGCCAACGAGCCCGCCAGTTTGTCAGAGTCAAACGGCATGATACGCGACGAATAGGTCAATTGTGTGTTCCACTACCATGCCAGGGTATTTGAAAGGTTCGTAGTCGGGGAGAACCGCGTGATTTCGCGTCCTAATGTCGTGTTCGATCGTCGGAGCGAGGCGTATGTCGTGATGGGAGGCGATGGCAGACTTACACCCGGAGAAGACGTTCTAGCGCGATATATCAGAGAAAGGTTGGATGTGTAGAGGCCCAAGTCTGTAAATAGAAGCAAAAATGTGTCAACGGGCCGGGCAAGGCGGTCGCAGATCAATGGTAAGCGTTTTGGAGAGAAGAGTGGTGGTGTGGTTGTGTGTGCAGAAAGAGGGCCGGTGCTGGTTTTAAGAGGGAGGGGGCCGTCGTGCTACGACACGAACGCGAAGGTAGGCGCATCGCGCGTTTTGGCGTGTCGGGATCTTGTGCGAGTTGTGCAGCGCCCAGCCAGGCCCGGCTTGGGTCGTTACAGCGCGTGGGGTCCACTGCAGGTGCCCCGGCGCTTAAAGCCACAGCGGGCATCTGCATCTCTTTTACAGACGTTTTACAGTGGGCTGCTGTCTGCAGGCACTGAAATTTGTGCCAAGTCCACTAAAACGCCTTTTGCAGCCCACCGTAGGTACCTGTAGATCGCCTGCAATATGCCTCTGCTCGCGTGCCTAGAATCTCGACGAACAGCAACCGCGATTACTGTTATTGCTATTCTCTTTTCCCTTTCAAGTCAAGCTACGGATAATGTAATATGTACCTCCCTCACCGCATCGTCATTTCCAAGCACACCTCTCACATGCTGTGCTGCCCCGTATCCATCCCAGCATCCCACTCCAGCCACTTTCGCCGGCCTGCAAAAACACGTCTCCACTGACCAGGGACCGCGTCTGCTCCTAGGCTTTTGCACGTCCAAAGACCGGTCTATGACTTGTTCATTTTTGTGAAATGCCGCTTATTATTATAGCGTAGATACCTACTCGGCATTCTTGCTGTAACGTGAGCATTGTCCCAAGAAATAAAGAATTTCCTCGCAGAATATAGCCTTTTCAATATCTTGTGCAGAAGCTCATCAACTTAGATTCTTCCTCTCTTCAAACCGCCTTTACATTTTCCTGCAAATGAAGCCCAACTTCCGTACACCGAAACCCTTTGAGTTCCCCCACTTTGTAGTTGTGCAAGTCATTAAAAAAAGCTTGTCCCATGACCGTCCCTGCATGCTCTTTAACCAGCCGCCCTCTGTGGCACGCGACTCGCCAACGAATTTGGCCGAATCTAAATATATAGCTCTGTCCTCCATCTTGTACGTCCCGACTGCTTCACAAACGCAGAGTCGCCCCTGACCACCCTGCATTATGGTAATACAATTGCGGCAGGCTCCTACGACTTGTCCCCCGCCTCATGTCGCGAAGCGCGTCTGTCCCGCCCACCCGAGACTCGCACACTGCCACAGCGGCCAGGTATTGGATGCGAGCAACAATTTATTGGCGCTACTCAACTTAAGGTTAGATGAGTTTTCTGGGTGGCAATTCTGCCAATTTATGCACTTTGCTTCGTACAAAACAGTATTATTAGTATTATTAGCTGTTGTGCTCATCAACTTTCTAGCTAGGTATGACATATCCGGCTGAGCCACGGTAGTGTGGCATGACGTCTAAGTCGTTCGGCGTTCTGTGGCTCCAAAGCTAGCAGCAAGCGAGCCACTAGATATTGGCCGAGCCACCACAACGAAGCGCAGCTTCAAGCACAGACTTCCCGCGAGTTTCCAAATAACGGCACTCATTTAACCTCCAGTCGACGTCCCCGAATCACCAAAATATAATTCGTTATGTCGTCGACACCGATGATTAAAGCGGAGTGCATCGGAGAGCCGCCCATGTAAACCGGAGGCCGGCGCTTGCATGTTCCGACCCAGAATTTTGCCAGCCAAAAAAATTAGCTCCTCCCGTTTGGGTCACACCACTCATTTTCTGCCACATTTCTGTAAAAGACTCTTCACCGCCAAAAAATTATCGAGCCTTCGAAAAAAGTCCCATCGCCAAGTCGCTACCCAATTACCTGGACGACAAATCCCATACAATACAGCTCTCCATGGCTCCCTCAAAAGAAGTAGCCGCTATCGGCTCCAATGAGATTGTTGCCATTAGCTACGAACAGGTACTTGGCAAATCTTCCGCCGCCATTTTTTCTTGGAGGAGCAAGGGCTAACAACGCATGTAGTCTATCAAGGCCTCCAAGGCTCTTCTTGCACACATCAAAAAGGCTGCCAAGGAGTCCGCTGGGAAACCTTCGGCTAAAAAGAACCTACTCGTCGAAGACGATCAAGATGACACGGCCGACACACCCGTCTGGCTAACGCTAACAACCAAGCGTCACATTGCCGACAAGTCCAAGCTGCAACCCGGCAAGATTGTGATGCCGCACCCCCTCCACGCCGACGACGAGAGCCTATCAATCTGTCTCATCACGGCCGACCCTCAGCGCGCATACAAGGAGATTGTGGCCAGCGACGAGTTCCCCGCAGACCTCCGCAAGCGCATCGGCCGCGTGATTGACGTGACCAAGCTCAAGGCCAAGTTCTCACAGTACGAGGCCCAGCGCAAGCTGTTTTCCGAGCACGACGTCTTCCTGGGCGACGAACGCATCATTAACCGCCTGCCCAAGATCCTCGGCAAATCTTTTTACAAGACGACCACCAAGCGCCCCGTCCCCGTTGACCTCCGGGCAAAGGTGCCCAAGGTGAACGGCAAGCGCGGCAAGCGACCCAAGAAGACAGGCGAAAACGATGTCAACGCCGGAACGCCCGCGCAAATTGCCAAGGAGGTGAAGAAGGCGGTCGGCGCCGCGCTCGTCAGTCTGGGGCCGTCGACCAATACGGCGGTGCGCGTCGGCTACGCCAGCTGGACAGCAGAGCAGATTGCCGCCAATGTCCAAGCCGTGGCCGCTGCGCTTGTGGAAAAGTGGGTGCCGCAAAAGTGGCGCAACGTCCGGGGCATCTACCTCAAGGGCCCCGAGACGGCGGCCCTGCCCATCTGGCTGACGGACGAGCTGTGGGTCGACGACAAGGATGTCGCCGCCGACACGGAGGAGACCAAGGCCAATACGAGCAAGAAGCGCAAGGCGCTCGTGGGCGAGGAGCCCGCGGCTGGCTCGCCCGCGGCCAAGAAGAAGAAGGCGACCGCCGACAAGCACAAGCCCGCGAGCGACGACGCGAAGCTCAATGAGCAGATTGCGGAACGCAAGAGCAAGCTGCGCAGCGCCAAGGCCAAGGCTAGCAAGGCAATGGACTAAGACGGGTATAGCAGAGCGGGAGGCATGTTTACAAGAATCTGATATATGCATGAATATAAAAGGAGGCCAGACGAGGGACGCAGCAGGGGGCATGTGTACATGTCACGACTTTTATTTGGTTGTCTTATCGAATCTGTGGCATCAGGCGTTTTGGGGCGTTTTGCATTTGTTAGATGGTATTTGCAGAAAACAAGAGCACTTTGACATGTACTCGCTACGCAAAGTTGAACGAAGTGATCTGATGCTACAGTGATGCTGAGAAGAGAAGAGGAAAACGAATGGGAATAAAGATGCCTACTCCTAACGCCTATACGCTATATCGTTGAATCAAGGTGGTGGCACAGAGTTTAACGATGCTAGCTCCAGTACCCGGATCAAGTCCGACAATAATACACAGCAATGCTTGCAAACCTCAAAAAGTCAAGCTCATACACTGTCTACTAGAGTTCCAGGTTGGCGGAGCTATCGTGACTGTATAACTTGGGCTGCTCGTGGCGGTGCGAGGGAAACGCGCGCTTCCACGGGCCGAAAAAGTCTCGAAAGGTCTCGTTGAGGACCTTTTCCGGAATTTGCATGTGGTCCGCCGTAATGGAGCGGAACACGAGCGCGCCCTTTTCGTCGAGGGCGCGGAGGCCCAGCCAGTCCTCCTTGTAGATGGGGCGGTCGCGCAGCGGCACGCTGCCGGCCTCGGTGACCTCGCCAAACCACGACGACTCGGGCGGGTGGACCATGGTGTCGTCTTCAAAGAGGAACATGACAAACTTGGTCAGGACGGCCAGGTTGGCCTTGTAGCCAGCATTCTTCTCCTCGCGCTCGTTGTTGATGTCGGCGAGGAAGCGCGAGCCCTCGAGGTAGGCGTCCAGGTCGGCGGGGTCGCGAAAGTACTGGGCGGGGACGAGGCGGCCCTGGACAAAGGCGCTCCAGGTGTTGAAGCGCAGCAGGGCCATGGCGCCTTGGCACAGGAAGTCGGTGGGCGCGCAGGCGCGGAACTGGGCGATGCCGTTGTGCTGGCTGCCAAAGGTGACGAGGCTGCGGACGGGGGGCGCGTTGCAGCGCTCGACGTAGGCGCGCAGGAACTGGCCGCCCTGGGAGAAGCCGAGGGCGTCGACGGCGGGCGCGCTCGACAGGATCGGGTGCGCCGCGAGCTGCGCGCACACGGCGTCGACCTGGGCCGACACGTTGCCGAAAAAGGTCGCGGACCGGTCGGCGCTGGCGTCGTCGTCGGCCAGGGAGATGGCGTGCACAAACGTGCCCGGGTGCACGGCGTCGGCAAGCGCGGCCACGGCCTGGATGCCCTCGCCGGAAAAGGTGTCGCCGAGGCCGTGCCAGATGACGACGGGGAGGGGGGTGTCGTCGGAGGCACTCGTGAGGTCGGAGGAGGCGGTGGCGAGGGCCGCGAGGGCGAGGACGGCGGTGGCGAGTGATCGCGCCATGGTGCTCGGTGGGTGGTGGTTTGTTTGCTGTCTAGGTTATCGTTGTAGGAAAGGACGCACGATGTAGTGGCAGGAAGAGGATGAGTAGAAGATGCTGCCCGTGGCTTGGTTGCGAGGATATGACGAAGTCATGGTCGCAAACAGCGCATGGAGCCAGGCCTCCAGGTGATGAGCGGGCCCACATGCATCTGCCTATTTGCCTCCCGCTGGTGGCGCTGCGAGGCCGCCTTTTTTACCAGCATTGTCTCGCGGCTTTTTGTCGTTGAAACAGGGTTTATTGCCGAATGGTTATAAACTAGACCAGGAACTCTTCCAATTGAAGAGAGAACCGGAGCACATCGTCTACAGCCTGACCCTTACCCAATCCGTAGCTCGGTGAACGCACCAGCCAAAAGGCTTTTTGTCTGTGCTGCTATTGACCCATTTCTGGTTTCGACGAGGAGCAGTCGAAGCACTTTGCGTGTTTGAGGCGTCAGAACTATCCCCGACAGCGAAACCAACCGTGCGTCTTGGCTTCGTGTGGCACATGACAGTTGCCAAAGAAACCAGGCCAGTCCATTTACCTTGACCGCACACGTCCTTGGCGCCCGGGGAATAGCACACATGATATCCTCTTGTACTGATGGCCAAACTCACCCTGTTGGAGAAGATATTCCCAAGCACAATGTCGCTGCGGATCCAGTTCTTTTCACACACCGGCCAAGCTCCGTTCGCCCAATAAACCCTGCACTTCGATGGAGTGACAAGTACGCGTGGTGATACAGGTCCCTCATTGAATAGTGCCAGCGGAATCAAAATGCCGCAAAATCAAAGCCGTTGATTTTTGCCTCAGTGATGAAAAGGGCGGGCGAATAAAGCGAGCTGTCAGCTTTGTGGACGTGGAATCCAGCTCATCGCACACACGCGACAGCAAGCCGTTCCAAGGTGGTCATGGATGAGGCCGCCAACGAGTAAACTCGGACGCTCCATTGTTCAATGAAGTGACAGAAGAAGGTTACAGTACAGTTCAATGGCCGCCATGATTGCAGACGTGCGTAGCTGTATTGGTAGTGCTGGTGCTTGGTGTTTCCATCGCTTGCAACCCACGCAGTAGCCATCACTGGCTACCACAACCAGGCTCGCTGCCATCCTCAAAACACACAGCCACCAAGAACTACATTCAAGGATCAAGCGCATCTTCTATCGAAGAATACACCTCAACGAGAAATTCGATCCATTCTAGTTCATGCGGAACTGCGCCGCAATTCAAACGTCGCAAGCGCAATAGGGTAGCGACGCAGTTTGCTAATAGAGCCATCACAGCACTCGCTGTCCATTACTCGCGTACTCGGCGCATGATCCGCCGTATTTTCTAGTCTTCTCTGAAGATTGCAAATTCCCATAACTCGGACGAATCTAGTTGATCCGTACTTGCGCAGCAATGAATCTGGTCTTTGTTCGAACTCGTCCGAACCTCCTGCCAAGCATCAGCCTTCCTTGGTCTGACAACTCGGAGCCGGGATCCAAGGCCGAGAGGTCTTGTGCGAGCTCTACTCTAGATGTGCGACATACTGGTTTGATTACGAGGCGGACTCTTTTCTATTCTGACTACAGCGCGCTAAGTAACACTTGAAATACATGCTGGTGTATAACTGGCCGCGTGCTCTCTCACACCTCCCATTCTTCAGCACGTCACACTTGCTCGCTTTGAAAAGGAAACCCTGCCGAGTCCCTCATTTCTTTTATTTTGCAGACTTTCTCTGCCGGAATTTCTCCTCGCGCTCTAACGGTAGTTGCTCGTATTGAAGATGCTTCAACTGAGCTAGCCACCGCACGAAGCCCCTCGGAGATGAAAGTTGCCATTTGTATTCGATTTGCGCATGTATGAATTGAGTCGCCATCCTGGCGAGCAAGGGCCAGGGTTCTACGACTGGTGGACTGACGCAGTCTGATAGCCGTGCCACGATGATAGAGTTGCGACATTGTCGGCAAAAAGCTCATATTGGGTTAGCGCTGCCTGGTATTGTCGCTGTACGAATTACCAGTAACCAAAACGTGATGGACGTGTTTCGGGGCGAGCTGCCAGTTCTCGGAATGATTCCACGCTTCCGCTGCTTTGGCACGCCACGAGCTCGAGGCCGGTCTGGAAGTTTTTGATGCTTCAATCTTGCCATTGTAATACCATGCCTTGCCATCGCAACTGTTGTGGCCGGTTGGCCGGGGAGGCCAAGGGCAGCATGGACCGAGCACCCGGCCGCAAAACTGTTGGGGGGGTTAGGCATGAGCCAATCAGACGCACCGACGTTTGAACCAGAGGGCTTGATGTACTGCGGTAGCCGATGATCCATGGGGTAACAAACTAATAAGAAGCGATGGGGCGGCGCTGTCAGAACGGAGGCTGCGACGTGGGATAGGGCCTCGGTCTACAACAACGGGAAGCAAGGGTGCCACTCTACGATTTTCACAAGCTAGGGTGCAAATATGTTAGATTTCTGCCCCTTGAGACACAGAGAAAGTGTCCGCAGGTGGAAGACTCCAGGCATGTTCGAAGTATTTGTTAGCAACAAGTTCAGCTTCAGCATCTCAGTCTGTGAAGGGTTAGGATTTCGATGTCCATCGAAGAGAGGCAGGAAATGCAAGACCTGGATCAAACTATGTATCCGTACTATGCCCCGACTTGTCGAGCATCTACTAGTTACATACATAGTTAGTTAGGTAGTTAGTTACTGGCTCGCTGGGTGCTCACCGTTTCTCGGCTATACCCCACATTCTCGGCAACTTGGGTGGCCGCTTTACCGGGTGATGGGCGTTCCGCTTGCGGATTTGCGGGGATTGATCTTGCCAACGGATTGTCATTGAAGGAGACGAAAAAAAAAAAACCAGCGAAAACAGTGCGATTATTGTCCGTTTATCATTCTCCGTGGTTTTATCAAGAAGCGGTATGTACGTGGGTAAGGTGCAAGGACTGCGTTGATCAGACCATCCACTCACGCGCTGGGGTGATCCTTGCATCCACATGTAAAGGACCGAGCTCACAGGCCACACTTACCTGAAGGCTGGGTAGTTTTAGTTGATACATTGCGGTTACGGCACCTAATACCAGGTATCTAGGTACCTACAACTTTTGGAACCCCACTGTAGTTATAGCGGCATCAGCCTCCTGACGGCTGGCAGATCCTCTCTCGTTTGTGCCCCCCCACCAGACTTCTGCGACAGACGGACAGATTGACTGCAAGTGCCCGGGGAAAGCAAACGGACAGTTCCTAGAAACCCGCCCGCAACACCACAGTTTCCGGTTCGTGATACTTTTTTCCCTCGCCAATCCCCCTTGTTCGTCATCCCGCACCGTCTCTCCGTGACCTCTCTGCCGTCGGGACCCCAGGCCATCGTTTCCATCCCCCTCCCCAGCCACGCCGGGCCGGTGCGTTTTCTCCTGTCCCTTTTTCTCTGCCCGCCCGGGGGCATCCATCGCATCTGCCGCCGTCGCCGCCCGTCGACACCTCGCCCCTCTCTCATCAGCAACAACGCTTCTTCCCCTCTTCGCCCCCCCCCCCCGGTCCGATCCGGCCTGCATCTAGCCGGGGAAGAAGGACCAAATTTGCCGCCCTCGAGATCGCCTACACGGAGGTGGCGAGGCGTACCACAGCAATAGATACAGCCCACAAGGTCAAATGTCGCCCGACGCCCACCAGAGACGCCGTGCGAGGCAGGCCTGCACTCACTGCAACGCCCGCCGCGTCAAGTGCAACGTCACCGAACGGGTGCCCTGCGATAACTGCGTGGCCGCCGGTACGCAGTGCCAGTTGAGGGTCTCGCGCCGCGGCAAGCACCCGCGCTACCGTCCTGGCCACGAACCCGCCAAGCCCTCGCCGGCCTCGCCACGGCAGCCGCAATCGCAGCAGCAACCCACGTCGCCCGCCCGCCCAGCCGCCCCCGAGTCGGCGTCATCCTCCCAGATCCAGCCGCCGCCCCTCGCGCCCACCCGCCCGCTCGCCAAGCAGCTGCCCGCCGTCGTCCCACCGTCACCGCTCGACGGCCTCGCCTTTGCCGGTACCAGCGCCTCGCCGCCCAACGACCCGCCCAGCCTCGTCTCCAAGAGCGAGTACACGTCGCCCAACGACGAGGAAATGTCGCAAGCGTCCATTGCCCTCGCCTCGTTGTCCCGCGGCGTCGTCAAGCCCGATGTCAAGCCCGACGAGAAGCAAGAATACGGCGCCTCCGTCTTCTGGGGCGAGTCGTCGTCGATTCGCTACGTCGGCACCGACAACTTTGCCTCGTCCGTAGCCAAGCTCGACTCGATCCCGTACGAGACAGGTGCCGGCAAGGACCGCCCCGAATATCCGAATCCCGCCCTCGAAACCCTCATGAGCCGACCAAGCGGCCCCTTTACGCTTCCGCCCCGCCACGTCACCACGGCGCTCCTCATGGCCTACTTTCAATGGTTCCATCCCTTCTGCCCTATTGTCGACGAGCAGGACATATGGAACCAGTTTGAGACGGGCACCCTCTCCACACTGCTGCTGCAGTCTCTGCTGCTCGTCGCCACGTCCCACTGCGACGATTCCGTCGTCACCGACGTGGGCTTCGGCAACAGAAGCCAAGCCAAGCTCGCCTTTTATACCCGCGCGACCGAATTGTACGACGCCAACATTGAAACCCAAAGCCTCGTCATCATCCAGAGCGTCATCCTCCTGAGCTTCTGGCGCGGACGCGCCTCTGAGGAAAAGGACACCCGATACTGGCTCGGCGTCGCTATTAGCATGGCGCAGCGCCGCGGCCTGCATCGCTCACGCAAACAGGGCAAGCTCGCGCCCGACGCCCGCGTGTCGGATCGTCAAAAGAAGCTCGCCAGAAGACTATGGTGGTCCGTGTATATGCACGAGAAGCAGTCGGCCGGCACCCTGGGCCTGCCGCAGCGGGTGCGCAACGAGGACTGCGACGTCGAGAGCCTCGAGCCGGGCGATTTCGAGCACGCCTTTTCCACGTCCCGCCCGAAGGAAGAGAGAACCGAGGCCATGGACTACACCATGCGCATAACCGAGCTCAGCACCTTTCTCGGCAAAGTCCTCGACGTCGGCTACTCGCCGCACCGGACCTCGACCGAAGCCGACCGCACCGCGATCCGCGACGAGCTTGTCCGGTGGAAACAGAGCCTGCCGCCGTCGCTGCGCATCGACGAGGACCTCGGCTCCCAGCTGAGCCTCTTTACGAGTATGATCCACCTGGCCTACAATAACATTGTGATTCTCCTGTACCGGCTCTGCTTCTCCGACACCACGTTTGACCACGAGGGCCAGTTCGCGCTGCAGGCCGGCGCGCGCAACGTGCGCATCATCGAGGACATGCTGCCGCGCGGCGTGATGCGGCACGCGCAGATCCATGTCATCACCAACCTCTCCAACACGCTCGTGCTCAACGTCATGGAGCTGCGCTTCGCGCGCGGCATGTCGCGCACGAGCGCCGAGCACCGCGCCAAGGTCTGCCTGCTCGGCCTCGCCGAGCTGCAGACAACGTGGGAGTTTCGCAACTGGCTCCTGCAGCTCTTCATCCGCCGCGTCGACGGGGGGCCCGCTGCCGACCGCCGCCGCATCGAGGAGACCGAGGCCAAGCACCTCGCCTACAAGACGGAGACGCCGCTGCAGGCCTCGTACGGCGCCGCCATGTCCCGCGAAAACTCGGGCAGCGGCGGCTGGCTCGGCAACTTTGCTGAGTTTGAGGGCTTCACGTTTAACCTGAGCAACGAGATCACGGACCCCATGACGTGGCCCGTCGACGAGAAGGAGCGGTTCTTGTTTTCCCAGATTTACAACTCGAATCCGTTTTGGTAACGGCGCGCCGGGGGCATTGGCTCTGCGGTACTCATCTTTTTTGTTTTGGTTTTCTCTGTGGGAGGGGTTAGGTTCCGGATTTTGGGCTGGGATGTATACAAAAGAAATACCGGCAAGGGGCTGGTGTTGCACGCGCTTAAGTCGTGCCCTGATTTTTTTTTTCTTAACGAGCGATTGGGATATTAATGACTTGTCCTCTTTTCTGACATGTACAGTACTGCCAAGGCAGGTTTTGATTTTTTTGACTTCTTCTAGCTTCTGGTAATCCAAAAAGACCTTTTTCAAGACACGAAGCGACTCTTTATCTTCTTTCGGCTCAATGTAATACCCCCTCGTCGCGGCCGTGAATAATGGAAAACGACAAAAAGTAGAAAAGAAAACATCACATAAAAACAAAGAAGAAAATACTATTTCAAGACACTGACTTAGCATGGCTATTAGTAAAGCGCAGCGCTCAAGCCTGTCTGTATCGTTTATGACAGGAAAATATTGTACTGTATCTGGCCGTTTTGCGGCAATAAATTCCTTGACATCTTAAAGGGTATATTGAGAAAAGACTACTGACTGTAAATTTGCTTCTAAACAATGTTGCGTTACGACATGATACAATGGCATGCCTGTACGCTATGTGATGCACGCCGACTGTTTTCTTGATTACTTCCTCTCAGTGGCAATGTCCTCGGTCCCAACCTCCTCATCGGACGACACATCCGAGTCCTTGACCAAGCTCTGGTCATTGGTGAGGTAGACGTTGCGGACGAGAAGGGAAAAGATGATGAGCGGCACACACAGCGAGATACCAGTAATGGTCAACAGCCTCTGGATGTGTTGGTATCCGCTGATGAGGGCCGTACGCTCAGGTGTGCCAATAGGGTAGCTGACGATAAAGGTGAGAGGCGACCCGTAGGCCTCCTGGGCCATGGTCGCGTTGATGGAAGCGAAGCGCTCCTCGAGCTCCCCGGGCAGTAGCTGTGTCCACATAGCACCGGCGACAGAGTATCCCAGAGCTGAACCAACATTATACATGGCAAGGAAGATACCTGTCAGAACTGCCATCTTTTCGTGGGGCACTTGGATCTGTAGAGACGCCTGGGTGGTGTAGGGGAACAGACCACCGGCGAAGCCAAGCACGACTTGGGCGCCAATAACACCCGCTCTAGCGGCGCTGTCGGCGGTGACGGATCCTCGGAAGTGGATAAGGAGGCCAAAGGCAACCATGAAGAGACAAGTACCGGCAATGATGAAGGGCTTGAGACGGCGGACCTTGAAGACGATGGCGCCGAGACAGGTGCCGACGATGACACTGACAAACGAGTAGAGAAGGGCGATTCGGGAGGTGGACTTGACGCTAAAGTCGAATGCAACTTGGAGAACGGTGAAGAGGAAATCGGCTTGCATGGTCCAGGCAAAGTTGAGGAAGACGGCAATGCCAATAGGAGCCCAGACGGAGCGATCCTTCATGTAGCGGAAAGGAACGAGAGGAACAGGAGCGCGCAGCTCCCAGAGGGCGAAGATGGGAATGCAGCAGACACCAACGACCAGAGGAGCGATGATACCAGCGGAGCCCCATTTGGGGGGCGTACCACCGGCGCTACCACCAGCAAGAGTGAGAGGAGCCAAGATCAAACCGAAAACAGCAATGACCAGGACGATACCGATGCCGTCGAGTGCCCAGAACAGCTCGCTGGAGAACTTGAAAAAACGGACAAAGATGTTGCTACCAGAGGTATTGGCAACAGGGGACCGGAAGGAGTGTCGGAGGTAGCCAAACAGACCCAGCTCTCTGACCTTGTCGCGAATGCCAACCCAGGTCAGGCTGATGATGAGAGGCAGGGAGCAGACGGGGTAGATGATGGCCCACATGCCGATGCCCCAGTTCCAGGTGATGTTCTTGGTAGCCGAGGCCTGAATGTCACCAGTGATCCATGCGTTGATGATGAAGGGGAGGGCGGGGATGTAGCTGAAGAAGAGACGGGCGCGGGAGGTGGTGATGTCGGCGACAATGACCTCGACGAGGAGGATGACAAGGGTGTAGCCAATCTGATAGATGACGCTGCCGGCGCAAAAGGTGCCAATGTCTTTGGAGGCGGCCTCGATGATGGTGCCGATGGTGTAGCAAAAGACGGAAAAGATGAGCAGCTCGACGCGGCCAAAGATATCGGCGAGCTTGCCGCCGGTGGGCTGGGCGGCGGCGGCGATGACGGCGCGGACGACATTGATGGTGGAGAGAAGCGAGTGCTTGCCAAACGAGTTGGTAGCATACGTCTGATAGTTGTAGCGCAGGCCGCCATCGAGGCCGTAGGCGTAGGCCAGGATAAAGGTGCTGGTGAAGATGATGATGCGGTCCGTCATGGTGAGGCTGGCGGCGATGGCCTCGATACGTGCGACACCGGGCGAGCGGACGCCGCGGGCAATGTCGGCGAGCGACACATCGGCCTTGGCCACGGTCTTATCATCGACCTGTCCGTCCAGGCCATGCAGGTTGAGGCGCTTCTGAGCACCGTAGGAGGCCATTGTTGCGGATGGGAATCTATCCAGAGGGTTGGCGGGTGGTAGTTGTCTATGAGAGGAGGAGGGATGAGGGATGATGGATGAGGGGTGGGCAATCGGGTTGTTATATAATATAAGTAGGTACATAATAAAGTACTTTGCCTAGAGGTGTTGGCTCGGCAAATGGGTTGCAGCTAGACTTTTCAGCAGGTGCCCACCTAGTAGACAAAATTGATGATGCACTTGTAGTTAATTTAGTACTATGCACTAATATCGTTCTCTTATTCTTCGTCTTCTTTGTCTGTATCATCTATTCATCTTTCTTATTTTTTTCCCCTTTTCGCCTGGTTAATAGAGTCCGTACAAGAGTCTGTGGACTGTCTGTCTGGTCAGTTGCTCTGTCACCCATATAGAACCTGTAATACTATGTAGTATATACATCGAGTGCGTATGTACATACTAGAGGCAGTAGCGATTGATTAGATTACCCACTTGAAAAGGAAAAAAAAAGAAGAAAAGGCAAATCCAATAATCAGGCGACCTTTTTTTTTTCTTCAGACGCCACCCTCGTTGCCGCTCCACCAGGACCACCACGGACTCGACCAAATACGAACTAGTTTCAAGCCCTTGATGCGCCACCAGCGGGCGGCCGCGCCTCGTTTCGTTTCGACAAGTTTTATCTGATCCGACGAAAAAATCACAGTGCACAGTGCGCGATGGCGTGTTTGAGTTGCACTTATTTCTCACGCTGCGCAGGGGTTAACGAGAGAGAACCTTGAGACCGGCAACTGTGTGCAGCGCGTCAGCTGTCTCGATGGCATACAAACAAGGGTCTGCCCACCACCACAAACCATCAACGGCTTCGGATTCGTCGGCGTACGGCCTGCGACCATTTGCCGATGACCAAGGGCGATCAACCTGCATGGCCACATGGGATTGCTGGGCACTGGTGGAGCGACCGACGGAGAGGCGGCCGAGTCAAGGACCAGAGCAGGATACCAAGATTTTCTCGCCGTGCCCCGCGCGGCTTGGCAGGACAGGCGCTGCTTGGACGACTCTTTGATGGCCAGAATTTTCTTACAAGTCAAATGGCCATCTGATCTCAGTCGCCAAACGCTCTGCACGACGTCAACCTCGGCCGACCGAACGCCGATCCCTAAAATGCCATCACCGAGCAACGTCCGCACGCGGCCTCTACTCTACTCGGCTTCCCCGCGGTGACTAGTTCGCCAGCCTTGTCTCACAAATCCGACTCAGCCTATGATGAACATTGTCAGGGCCAAAGGCAATAGCAGCACATCCATAAACATATACGATTAATACCCACCAAACTACGGGGCTCGAGAGAATTGTTCCGTCGCTCAGCTCCTCGAGATGGAAATTTTCAAGTCTTGGCGGTTGACGCGGTCCTCTGCTCCATCCGCTCCTCGACCCAACGACTTCATTCGTCGCCTCATCTTGCCCCGAACTTCACGTCGGAATACCACAGCTGGAGCACCTCGCGGCGATAAAGGCCCATCTTGGCAGGTAGTTTCCATGAATCAGACTGCTAGCTCCAGACATGTCGACTTAGCATGGCATCGCCTCAAAGCCTAATTTTGGCTTTCTATCCCCAATGCATCGAAATTATCTTTCGACGGGCAAAAAGTTTTCACCAGGTCCAGACCAAGACAAAGGCAGCCACTAACTCGTTGGTTCCGCTTTTGTGGACGGTCTCCGTCTACAAGTCGGATATCCGACGAGCTACCATGTTTCAATCTGATAACTTTGAAGCATTCTCGCCAAGTCCAACACCGGAGCAAATCTCCGCAACGGAGCTTGAAGTTCTGTCCTTGCGCCCGCAACAAGACATGCTCAGCCAATGTCCTGTTGCTGCGAGTGAATTTGACGCAGCATTAATGGCAACAAAGCCGTTTTTAGTTCGTTGCTGCGAGTGAATTTGACGCAGCATTAATGGCAACAAACCCGTTTTTAGTTCACCTGTGCGAGTAGGACACAACTCGGTCAGTTACTGATTGACAAAAACTCTCTGTTGTTGAACCGCGCAGAAACGCCGGGATCCCCAAAGAGTCGGAGCTGCGAGCGGCGCCAGTGGCAAGCTTCTGCGCCAACGTTTGCTTGGTCCAAGCCAAAATACCAACACGGGTTGCCAACACGGTTGCCAACGCGGGCGTGCAGTGTGTGCGACGTCAGCCCTTAATAAGCTGTTTACCTTGGCTTTCCTCATCCTGAACGCACTTCTGCGGCTGATGTAGTACGGCAGTGACAGCCAATACGAACACATGCGCGCAGCTGGAAACTATTGACGCACAGAGACGCAATGGGCCGCAGGCACCCACGCCCATGGCACCTGATTGTAGTGCTGGATGGTGTCTTGGGTTGCACGCGTTGGGATTTTGTGCTAGGAGCTTATTTCAGCGCGCAGCACACGAAGCTGCCGTGCATCGTGATGTTATGGGCGCAATCTGACGTTTACGAAGAGTGAGCCGCAGCTGGAAATATATAGACCTTGGTTGGATCCCCTTGCTGCGGCGATTTCTACTTTCCTCCCATTCCTGAGCAACAAGTCCACGCGTTGACTCCTCGCCAAGATGCTATACCAACTGCTTTCGCTTTCTCAGCTCGCAACTGTGGTGTTGGGCCATCCCAATGTATCGCCAGATGTCAGCACCGCCCGAGTTGTCTCGAGAGATGGACGGTGCGGGATAGGTTTCGGCACGACGTGCGAAAACGATGAATGCTGCTCGAGCGCGGGGTACGGTCTCACGTTGGTGTTTTGATTTTCCCGTCCCGTACTAAAAATGATTCAGATGGTGCGGAGTTGGGTACGATTACTGCTCTGCGCCGGCCTGTCAGATTGACTTTGGCCCGCGGTGTGACGCCAATGTGCGACCCAAGGGTCCGGCTACGGAGCGGGTTGCACGGCCGCACATTGGCAATATTCCCTACGGCGAAGCCATCTACCACTGTGAGCGGTATGGCGATATTGCCCTGACCTTTGATGACGGTCCCTACACGTACACTGAGGATCTCCTGAACATTCTCCAGGTGAGCAGCTGGCCCTCCCACACGGTTGTGTTACACCACCAACCACCCCTCCTCCCCCGCCATCTCTAACGGCACACACCTCAACAGGACTACAATGCCAAGGCGACCTTTTTCGTCACCGGCAACAATCTCGGCAAGGGCGCCATAAACGACCCTCGATACGCCTGGGGTGGCCTGATCAAGCGCATGGTGGCCAGCGGCCATCAGGTCGCCAGTCACACGTGGTCGCACCAGCGCCTGACGGAGCTGAGCAGGACGCAGCTGCGCAACCAGATGTTTTTCAACGAGGCGGCACTCGCCGACCTTCTTGGATATTTTCCGACGTACATGCGGCCGCCGTACTCGGCCAGCAACGATGAGACGGACCGCTGGCTCGGCGAGCTCGGCTACCACGTTACGTACTTTAACCTCGACACCGAAGGCTACCTGCACGACGAGCCGGACCAAATTCAAAAATGCAAGGACATTTGGGACGACGCCGTCGAGAAGCGCGACCCGAAGACGACCAAGTGGCTCCAGATTGAGCACGACACGGTGTACCAGTCCGTGTACAACTTGACCGAGTACGCCCTCAAGTCGCTGTTTCGAAACGGCTTCCGGTCCGTCACCGTGGGCGAGTGCCTGGGCGACCCGCGCGAGAATTGGTACAGGAGGGTGTAGGTCGGGCAGCACCAGTCGCCCAACCTGCCCCCTATGCTGAAATGCCACGGTGTTATGCAGGTCTTTGTATATGAGGGTTCTATATGACTTGGCGCTACCATAAGTTTGCCGATTAATGAAATCTAACGTTGAATGAATGGGTTCTCGTCTACATTATCAATCACTGTTTGATATATGTTGGGTCAAGCCGACATTAGGCGCCAAATACACCGAGTTGGATCTCGATTTTCGGCTGCCGACTTTGCGGGATGGCGACTGTCCCAAAACCCTGACACGTCTTGGACAGGAACCATCTTACGATGAATGTTCTGCGATAGCCCCCCGTTCAAAGTGTCCGTCGTCTTGGCGTTTCTAAAAATGTTGCATGTCGTCCTCCGTCGCACGCCGGCGATCCACCTTTGTCGCACGCATAGCGCAATGCAATGCATAGGAGCTTTAACAAATGCATCTTGCTCAGCGCTGGTCTGAGTCGTACGATTCGCGTCGGTGCTTCTGACTTGGTTTATCGTGAGGGGGGTTTTTTTTTTTCTAGAAAAAGAACCCGTTCAAGGCTACCTATGCAGGCCGCCAACAAAGTCCAACTAGTTACAACGCACTATCTCGAATGGGCCAAAGGGGGTAACGAGGCTCGAATTTGTAGTAGATCACGGGCTGCCGGCTTTTGTGTTTGACGCAATCTATATCTAGCACCATACCTTACCCGCTCGCCAACGATTTCTCATCTTTGCAGGGCTGCTGACGGAAACTTTCCGACTCTCGTGGATTCACGCGAGGGTTCCGAGAGCTATGTGGCTGTTTCTGATCTTGGCGCCACAAGGACAAGGCTCCTCTGGCCTTGTTCTTACTTTCAGCCACCGCCGCGGTAGCCACCGCGGAGAAGCCGGGGACGATGGATGAAGCCAGCCGGCGCTCTTGGAGCAAGGTGGCCGGCGTTGGGGGACCTTCCGGACCCCTCACGTCGGCGGGACACCGCGCCGCCGAATCAGAGCCCCGGCATTTTTTGGCGACGCCCAAGCTACATTCCTATTATTAACGAGTGGCTCAGAATGGCGGCGGCTGCTTCCCTTTCCTTCAGCCCCAAGACTGACGCCTTGTACCGCTAGTTGACTAGCTCCCTTCCCATTCAACAACCTTTATCATCAGTGGCGTCGACAGGGCTGAGCGCTGTGTAAGCCATGATCGGCAAGCGGGAGAGATACTCTTGTGCCTTGCAGCTGAGTGCCGTTCAAATCGGGCAAGCCGCCCAGTGCTACTGTCCCAGGTCAAGAGGGCTCAAGACAGCTAGTCAATGTCGGCGAGAAGAAAACGAACCGAGTATGACAGTTCCTTTTGGTGTTGCCAAATAAAGAAGGCTCCGATTTGGAATAACTACGGGCGGCATGAAACAAATTGTGCGCCGCCAAAAGTTTTACCCGCATCTGGAATTTGGTCTAGATGCGCTAGAAGGGCGGCTGGCCAACAGCGGGTGAATAAGGCGACTTTTAGAGTTTTTAACAGATCAAACATGAGCCTATTGCTAGTCCTCAAGAAGAGGCTTTTTTATTTGTTTTGGGTCCAACGATAAGTTGTAATAGTATGTCAATTCCCACATTATTCGTCTGGGGAAGATGGGGGTGGGGGGGAGGAAGAGAGGCATTTCTGTAAAGTGACCCCGTTTGAAGTCGTCTAGTCATGGCATGAAACTTGAGACGGACCCCCCGTGTCGCAAGCACGTCTGGCTGGTTTCTGCAGCAGAGGGAGCCCGAGTCAAACTCGCAACATCAGATTAATCGCGCGAAGGGGGGGAAGAAAGGCAAAAAGGAAGGTTGTATTCACAGTTGGCGTCGGGTTTGGGGCCATTTCCGCCTTACCCATCACGATACATCTCCTTTAGCCCGACGAAATGAGATGTGGCTCCAATCCTTTCACAGCTCTTGCGGCCACCGTTTTCCGTCGAGCGGCTTTCTCTCGTGGCATAGAAACAAAGCACATGATAAGTTCGCTGTTACGCAGGGGGGTGGCCCGCAACGAGGACAGGCCCGGCTGACAGATAGGCCGGTGGCAAGTTGTGGACAACTTGAAGCGCAACTTCGGGGTCCCTGGTGGATCTTGACAAGGCAAAGAAAGAAGAGGATTCAAGGGAACTGGAAATTGGAAACCCTGGCAAGCAAGGGGCCAGCTTGCCTTGTCACTAGGGCTGGTTGGACGTTTGATGGGCCCATGAAGAAACTAAGTCAACTAGTCGACTTAGTTGGTTTGGTATAGCTATTATAAGATGAGACAAGGCCCCATTCTTCCCCAGTTTGTAATCTCGCCTTTGTTGTCATATAAGAACTTGCCAAGCTGCTCTTTCTTCCCTCCTATCCCTCCCCCTCGTCAATAACCTCTCCTTGTTCTCCCGACAACAACCACTTCTACAGCCAAAAGAACACCATCAGCAAAGACTACCCCATCTCCACCACCATGCAGACCAAGATCATCCTCGCCTCCCTGCTGGCCACGGCCGTGTCGGCCAACAACCTGCTCGCGCTGCGGCAGGTCAACACGCCGCTCGGGGACCTCTCGCCCGAGTGCCAGGCGGACCTTGCCGAGGTGCAAAAGGCGACCGACCTGCCGACGATCCCGACGGCCTTCATCTCCGACGCCTTTATACGGGCGCAGACGCTGACGGACCCGTGCGCGTACACGCTGACCGGCACCGTCGCCAGCGAGTACACGAGCTTCGTCCAGGCTGCCGAGTCGTGGGCCAGCGTGCACACGAGCATCGCCTCCAAGGTCGAAAAGGACTGCAACGCCGCCCTGCAGAACATTGCCAACCTGTGCCCCGCCGGCAAGGCCGGTGTCACCGCCACGTCGGGCGCCGGTGCCGGCGAGCCCGCCGCCACCCCCGCGGACGGTGAGGTCGCCAAGTCCACCGGCGGCGCTGGCGAGGTCGGCAAGAACGCCGCCGTCGCTCACGGGCCGGCGGCTGCCACCGCCCTCTTGGTCGCTGCGCTCGGCGCCATTGCTCTGTTGTAAATGGGGGAAGGGTTTGTGTGGATGGATTACTTTTTGCACCCCCCCCCCCCCCCTTTGCAAAGCGGATGTATATAGCCGCTGGATTTCCTGCGCGGTACCCCAGTGGGCGACCCGTGTTGCAGGCTTCAGCCAGTGTTCAACAAGACAAGAAAAAAAAAAGATGCGCAAAGAATGGGATTCGGCGCACGTGACGCCTCGTGCCCGGTTGCACGCGACATAGCCAATAACCCAATACATAATAGCGATAATGTACTTTTACTCTGGTTCTCGTGTTACGCGTTTGGATGCCGTGCGTTTTTAGTAAACTCTGATAGCACACGCGATCAAGGACAGAATTTGTTCCTGGCGCGTGGTAATGTGTAGAGCTAGTCACGTTAGCGTGTTCTACCTACATATGTACCTGGTCATCGTAACTAGATCTGACGGCAATATGGGTGGACAGCTCACATAGGCAACGGCTCCGAAGCGCAAACGTATTACGGGTCGCCGTTGAAGCTGATTCCGAAGCGATGCACAACAAATGACAAACGGCCGATACCGACTTCAAAGCCATGTTCTTTGCGAGTGAAATTCAAATTGGTATCTACCCTACACGATGCCGTTCATCCTATCCTTTATCCCCCCCCCCCGTAGATCATCCCCTCTACGCCTGTAGCTGCGGCGGCGCGGCCACGGCCTCATCCATCTTGACGACGCGGCAGGCGGTGCCGTACGCGGCCGTCTGCGCGAAGCCGCCCATGCTGGCGGCGTCGAAGCGCAGGCAGATGACGGCGTTGCCGCCGCGGGCCTTGCACTCGTCGACGACGCGCGCAATCGAGTCGTTGCGGCACGCGTACAGCATGCTCGTGAACCAGCTCAGCTCCCCGCCCGCAAACGACTTGGCCACCATGCCGAGCGTCGCCCCCAGGTTGCGCGACCGCACCGTGATGCCGTACACGGTGCCGAGCACCTGCTCAATCTTGTACCCGGGCAGGTCCATCATGGCTAGGGAAAAAAAAAAAGGTAAAAGAGTCAGCGGATATGTACAAGCTCTGCCCTCGGTGCCGATACTGCCGGTGGGCGTGCTAGGAATAGCAACGTACTAGTGGTCACGACGCCGTCCGTCTCGGTGAAGCAGTGCAGATCGGATAGCTGGGAAGGAATGTTGGCGGGTTCCCTGCGGTCGCCTGAAGTCTTGCCCTTTGATCCGGACATTTTTTGCGCTCGCAATTGTTGTTTGTGATAGATGCGTGTGTATGGGTGGGCAAACTGATGCGGTGCAGGGTAACGAAAGTCTGAACTCTGTCTATAACTCAAACCTTGTCCGTGTAATTGAAAGGCCAGTACAACAAGGAAACCCATCTAGAAGAGCGCGAGGATAACCAACCCCTTTATACTTTTCCCACATCCTCGCTTCCGATTTCCCAGACTCCAACCGGTCCCGATCTACAGCCATGGTCCCGTGAAGCTTCGCCCGACTGTGCCGGGGTTCGGCTCGCCGTATGCATCGTATTTTTTGCGGCGGCCATGCGACTGGTCAGTTGGTGAGAAAGGGTGGATCGCATCAGCCGAGCAATCGTGGAGTCTCGATTCAGCTTGGGCGTGGAAATGACGCCCTGCTGCGATAGTGACATCCCCGGCGTAGTGACATCATGTACTAACTCCGTAGGGAAGGATTGCAAAAATTGCTCATCGCCTGAAACTGTAGAAATGTTTTAAACTTCATAAACCTATAATTACGTATCTATAGACGTCGTATACACAAGAAAGCAGAGCTAATTACAAGCCGGCGGTGACCTGCCTTGAGTTATTTTCTTTCTCTCCCTCACAGAGAACCAGGCATCTTCACCTGTCCCTCGGCGCGGCGGCCAAACTTCTTAACCCTCTGCGCATCGCGGCTGCTCAGCTCCACGGCGCTGAGACTGCGCTTGCCCGGGTGCACGTTGGCGGCGGTGATGTTGCCGCAGTCGGGGCGTTTCAACTCATTGGCAAACGTGTCGGCCACCCACAGCAGCACGCCGTTGGTCCAGCCAAAGCCCTCGACGACCTCGTACTCGCCACCGCCACCGGCGTGGTTGATAGTCGTGTCGTCGTACTTTTCAAACATGATGCCCACGTCGGACGCGCTGAGACCCGACAGCTGCGGCGTGGCCGACGTCGAGCCGCCGGTCGCGTACCAGGTGCAAAAGGTCGAGTCGAGGTAGCGCTGACCGAGGCGCAGCGCGAGCTTGTGAATGTCCTGCCAAGCGGGGTCGTCCTGGCCAAAGGTGGCGGGTGTGCTGGTCAGGCCCTTCATGAGGATGTGCATCAGCGGCGGCCACACGTTGGGCTGGTCCCACTGCTGGCCGGTGCGGAGGTTGGACGACGGGATACCGCCGGGCTTGAGGTCGAGGTACTTTGCGATGCGCGAGTACGCGTTCTTGACAGCGTACGGGTTGTTGCGGATGTACTCTGGGGCCGCGCCCATCCAAAAGGGGTAGAACTGGGTGACGGTGAAGAGCTCCTGCATACCGGCGGGCGCAGTCGCATTCTCGAATGGCTGCGTGTCCGAATCACTGGGGATGTAAATGTGCTGACTGGACGAGGTTCGGTTGTAGTCAAAGTAGCTAAACAGCGTCTCGTTCCAGAAGACGGCGTGGATGGCCTCGGCGCGGTCAGCCGCCTTCTTGTCCCAGCTAGCTGCGGCGCTAGAGTTGCCCGTCATGTTGTAGAAGCCGGCAATGGCCTTTTCGTTTCCGTACAGGATCGAGTTGAGATCAACGGGAACAATGTTGAGAATATTAAGCGAGCGCAGGGGAAAGTAAATGTCCTCGGTCGAATCGCGAGGGTTGCTGGACCACTTGGCAGTGGTGTAGTCGAGGCCAGACTCGGCACCAGAAGCAAGGTTGGCATAGAGGGTTGATTGCTGAGACTCATTGAGAGGCTTCTTGACAGGGTATATGATGTCTGAGGCGGCGTAGTACGACTTGTTGTTTGCGGTGATATAGTCCTCGCGGAACGACTCGGGGCGAGGCTGGGTATTGGACACGGCATAGCTGCATTTGTTAGTATTAAATCAATGGCGCTGGTGGCTGGCGTGGAACATACCGGTTGAGAGTATAAGTCTTGTTAGCAACCGTCACGTCGACCGAGCGGTTGGTCATGAAAAAATCGTGCTCCTTGACGAGAATGGGCAGCGCACGCTCGAGGATGCTCGTGTCGTTGGTGTGGCTAACGTAGGCCTTGACCATTTGCGACAGCAGCGGGGGCTGCGAACGGTTCAGATAGTAGAGGCGTGCGCCGTTGGGCACGAAGCCAAACTGCTCAATGAGGTCCAAAAAGTTCTCAATGGTGTTCTTGGTAATGTCGACAAAAGCGCCGCCGGTGCGGAGTAGGCCTTCGACGATCCAGTACGAGTCCCAGTAGTAGGGCTCGCGGAAACGGCCGCCGGCAACGACAAATGTTCTGTTGACGGGGATGAAGCTGTTGGGGCAGCTGGTGCAGTTGCTGGTGGAGCCGGAGTATTCGCGCGTCAGGTCAGGCCAAATGTCAATGACTTTGTTGACGAATTCCTTGATGACGGTGTCATTGAGCTTCTCGACAAATTTGGCATCCGTCTTGAGCTTGTCCTTGGAGACGGCCTTGAGCTCGCCGCCGGCATCCTCAAAATACGTGGTGAGGAATTCGTTTAGCTCAGTGTTGTTGGAGAGGGGCTTCTTTAGCTTGTCAAACGCAGCCTGAATCTCAGCCAGTGGCTTTTTCGCCGGCCTGGATCGCAAGTTAGTTGCGGGCCATTGTGGTCGCAGAAGCTAGGGAGCAGCTCCCAACAGGACCTAGATTGGTATCTTACATATCGACAAATGTCTTGGAGTCTGTGAACGGCCTGGCTAGCTCGACCTCCTGGAGAATGTCTCCATGGCAGTAAATTGGAGAGTCGCAGGGAGCGATGACGGAGCCATTCTGGTATAGCGCTGCTGCGACAGGTAGCGAAGCTGCCAGAGCAGTCGCAATCTGCTTGAACGACGCCATTGTTTTGAATTGCGCCTGGAAAGGAAGAATTATTGATTGATGGAGCTTGCGTTTTCTCTGGAAGGGATGCGAGGGGACTGCAGTACTGATATATGTACGAATACAAGAGGCAATGAGTGGCCAACGACTCGGAAATCAAGCTCGGGCAGGACGGCGAAAATCCTTACGACGCCCCGCTGCTGCTAATATGCAGCCACGTGAACCAGGATACAGCCAGATCAAGTCGGGCTAGATCCTCGTCAGACAAACCTAACCGGCCAGGACTTTTGGCTGTGAGTCGCCCGGAAGTAGGAATCAAGTCTGGGGTTGGCTGCTCGTTCCCCACACAACAAGCTGGGGTCTCCAACAAGGCGCGCCGCCACTTTTTGCTTTCTCGGCGAGACTTGGGGCTGGGGCGTTGGGGGGTCGATGGGTGGATTTGAATTCATGGCATTACTCGTGCAGCCTGGCCGATGAAGAGGAGTCGTTGAACGGGCATCGTTGCTAGAACCGTGGTGTCTGCTTAGCTCAACGTTGGGTATCTGAAAGTCGCTGATACACGACACCGGAAACAACGACTGAGCTAACGTTTTAACGTTAGCGCTGAGACATTGGGGTCAGTTATGACAATTAAGTTGGAGTTGATACGTACATACTCCGTAGCCAGAGCAAGAGCAAACAACCCTCGTTGCTCGCTCGACTCGCTCCCCACTGCTTCTCTGCTTCTTCTTCCAGCCCCGCCGATTTACCTGTTGCTGTTGTGGCCGTAATAGCGCCGTGGCTCGTTGCGGAGCGCCATCACGCGGCGCCATGGGTTGGTGGCGCTGGGCTGGGCTGGGAACAGGCACTTCCGCTGGGCAACTTGGTACCAATCTGCGGCATTGACGTCAAGGGCGCTATTTAAGCCTCGGGGCTAAAAAACTGAGAGCTGGTTAGCTGTGCTGTTATGGGATGGACGGAAGCTTTTCCGGGGTAGGCAGCCTCGATGTACCAAACTACCTACCTATGTATGGGGCAGTAAGGTTTGAGTGGTTTGAGTGTCATTCGTGCTGCAGACATTGTCGAGAGGATATTCGATGGATATGGTGGACACGCCATGATTCGGCATCGTCGACAGATGATGAAGCTCGAAAATTGTGTACAGACATACACAGTTGCTCTGTTTTGCGGTGTACAAATTATGCATGTAGGTCGGCAGATGGCAACAAACGAGGACTTGAACCGGCCCGATCCCCAGCTGTCCACACATTATTACCCACTATCGTCCCCTCAAACTCCAACAATGCGATGGAAAATCTTTAGTCGTAACGAGGCTCAGCGGATTTCAGCTCTTCAAGATGGATCATGCTCGTGTGCGCGCGCAGAACAGACTAGACTCTTCCTTTCGAGCTTCATCCAGGATTAAAAAGCCCTCAACTTACGTCGCAGCCATCGGCCCGTTTTCCGCCAAGCGACAACCGTGCGGTATCCTCCTCTTTACCGTATCCGTCGCGCCATCAACTCAACACCTGATCGGCATAACGCGACCATTAAACCCCCGGGCCAGGAAATCCCGAAATGACTGGCAGGATTTTCAAGCATCGGGACGACGACAGCCGCCGACGTTGAGAAGCTCGCCCCCCGCCATTGAGCGCTGTGCCGGGTAGGCCTTTCGCTGCATCCCCGAGCTCGCCCTCATTCCCGACAACCACCAGACTGTGCAGCGGCACCGGACGCTGCTACAGCACGGCGTGTCCTAGGTGGCCGTGCCGGAGCTTATTACCCCGCGACCGGCACTGGCGCATGAAGCTGGCGCTGCCGATGGGCCCGCCGAGTCGAATGCCCCCAACACCACTAGACCTAAAACTCGATCTGGACGTCGCAGACTTGCAGCAGTTCGCGACAAGCGAGTTGTCGCTTACATTTTGCGAGCTGGTTTTTGTAATTTATGCGGCTCTGGATTGCCATCATCGGCTGAATAACGCTCTGCCAGTGCTTCTCTACCTGCCACCAACCAACCAGCTGGCCAAGCTGGGCACCGCTGAGATAATTAGAACGCCGTTTCACAGCACATGGTGATATCCAGCAGCTGCTCACCTTTAGCCCTGTCGAGAAGCACCAATGCCCGGTTCACGTGATGGCGTAGGTCAGCAACGAGATGCCGTTGTTACATTGAGGGGTAGGACAATCATGCGCATCTTGTAGAATCACCCGAGTTATTTTACTGTCAACGCACATTGTTCCATTTCAACGCGAAACATCACAGAGCACTCGTATAAAGCAGGCATAGCATATACCATCGTCGCCATGGTCGCGGAACTCCCTCACCCCCGCCGAGTGGTCACCGGCCACGACAGCGCCAGCAAGGCCATCTTTGTCGCAGACGGCGAGGTCCCCGCCGTGCCCATTGCCGACACCATCAACTTTGCCGTGCTCTACGAGACGCACGAGTTCCCCGCCGACAACGGCGAGTGGACGGACCCGGTCAAGAGGCGCACCGAGAGCCTGGCCAACAAGGACGGCGTCGTGCTGCGCGTGGTTGATTTCAAACCGCGCAACAGGGCTGTGCGTAACCCCCCCAGCGACGACAAACCATGAATCAAATGGGCCGGGCATCGCTAACGAGGTTGGATTGTCGGTTTGTAGCTGTTTCACCGTACGGAGTCGCTTGATTTTGGCATCATTACCAAGGGAGAGATTGTCTGGTGAGCAGTGGGATTTTTCCCTTGTAAAACGTGCGGGTTATTCTGATTGTATGCAAAGCCGTCTGGACGACGGCGCCGAAAAGACGCTCCGAGCGGGCGACGTCTGCGTCCAGCGCGGCACCATCCACAGCTGGGAGAACAGGACGGACGAGACCTGCCGCGTGACGTTTGTCCTGATTGGTATGTTAATTGAAAGCTGGCGCTCTGGGTGTGCAGAATGCTAATAGGTCGATGGCAGCGGCCAAGACAATCAAGGATTTGGACACGACGGGCTTTGTAGACGAGGAGATGGCGACTGGAGGGGAGAACTAAACCACATGCTTGTCTGGTAGGAATACGTATGGACCAAACTGGAACAAAATTCTCTCGATGTGAATTGGCTCGGCTGGTAGTTTTTCTCTTCTGGTTTGTTGGTGGTGACTTTCTACTAACACGGGCCTGCGATGATGCACCTTGCAGGGAGATATATCGTCAGATTTGGACAATTACGCAAGATTTGTAATTGTCAATGCCGTTCGAGCCGAATCTCAGCACGCAGAGCGCCGTATATAGCCATGCATGAACTTGTACATGCATGGCATGTTCCTGAAGCCTACAGTCAGTCGGTGGGCTCGTCGCCACGATTGAGATTGATTGATCCACGCTAGTTACATTCTGTACACAGCCCAATATGTTTGCCAACGTAAAACCCCATCTCATCAACAGTGAGTGATTAGTTTCGCGATCATGCCTTGGCTCTCACACCCACCCCCGAACATGCCGACTCCCCATTCAATCCTTCGGCCACCACACGTCATCCACACCACACATCCGACCCGCCCTCTGAATTTTCTTCTTCAAAGCTCCGTCTTTTGTCCCGCTTCTTAGCAGTCTTTATCTCGCCAACGCCTCCATCAAATGGATTCGGTCGCGTGGCCAAATGGCAAGGCGTCTGGCTACGAACCAGAAGATTGTGGGTTCGATCCCCACCGTGACCTGAAGATGTTTCTTCTTTGCTCGTCTTTTTGCGAGCAATGTCATTTTACGTCGTCGTTGAATACATCGTGCTCGACTTTGGCTTCTGGTCGCATGTTGGTGAGGTGGGTTGAACCTTTTTTCTCGCGCGTCTTTGGCTCGACCCACTCAGACTATTATTGCACCAGACAAAACGGCACGGCAAGACTTGTGACCAATTTCTGATGATTTTTAATATTTTGGTAAATAGAGACATGATTCGCTATCTATGGCGCTGCTCTCGCCATCATCTCTCCTCGCAATGCACCGCTTCCTAGTACACCAACTTCGTAACGCATACAGACATACTGGCAATACTCTCTGTCTACCTACAGGTAGTATTAGTACCTGTGGTTACGCTAAACATAAAAAGGATCTTCTGTCGCATTATCGCAGCAATTGCTGCTTTCTAATATCCAAAATCACTCTGTTAAGCGTCAGAGCTAGTCATGTTTCACAAACCGCGTGGGGGGACTTACATTGCTTGAACCCCATTCCGACATCGTTCTCAACTAGGGCCTTCGCCTGCATGAGAGTTATCGTCCAGCGGTTCATAAGTGTCGAGAGAAAAGAGAATGGCCTGGAACCCTCGCAACCTCTCTCGCTTCCATTCTATACTCGTCGCCTGGAGTATATCCATGGGGTGTGCGAGGCGCCGCTGCGCCGTCTTCTCCTCGTCCTTTTGCAAAGTCACAGCAGCCCCGGCCGCCCTCCGCAAATGTACACACTTGCTCAGCACGTCGGCGTCAAACTCGGCCTTCCACCGACTTCCCACGGTGCCAATGTCCACCAGCCGGTGCTTCAGTTCTTCGTCCGACTTGGCAAAGCTGGCGTGCACAAGCACTATCGCATGGCGTATGTGACTGAGCCCCTGCTGAGCCAGGCCTCTGTGTATAAATGTGTCCCAGTAGGCCAACAAGATCAAGTTGCGAATCTCTTTGCGTTTTGTAATGTGGGGGTGGGCGAGTATAAAGAGCCTCATTTCTTCAACCTGGGCAAGCGGGATCGCAGCAAACTCCAATGTCTTGCTGGTAGTATCGACGCCGGGCACATGGACTTTATCTTGCGCGGGTACGTTCACTTGGTCGCTCGGGACACCGTTGTGGCAGCAGCCCCCCTTGGTGGCTGTTCCGGCTCGTTTTTGTCCATATACCGGCTCTTGACATAGTTTTTTGATGCCCTTTTCAATACGACGGACCTTTTTTTGGAGTTTTGTTATATAATGTTGAATGGAAGTATGTCGGCCAAGTTCGATCTCCTTGCTCCTCACATAGTTTTCGACGCCTTGCAGCACATTGTCTATCACTCTGTAATATGAGAAGAGCTGCCCTTGGGTGATCTGGTTTCTCAAGAACATGTTGCCCTGTTCCCGTCGCCATTCTTCTTTGACAAGAGCTACAATGTCATCAGGGTCCTAGCCTGCATAGGTTGTCATAGAAAAGGATAGTATCATGCGCTTGAGAAGTCCCAGCACCACACTATGGAGCTCCAACATTTCTTGGTACATTTCGCAACGTTGAAGATTTGCGTTTTGTTTTCTGAGAGCGTTGAAAATGTATTTGTATTCCGGAGCAGATAATCTATCTGCATTCGAAGGCCCGTGGTTGTTCGCAACGCCCTGCAGAGTAAACGTTAGCTTGGGAAAGATGTGGTGCGGCGGAATCGTCAACCTCTTCATGGTGACCACGCATTGTGTGATTGTTATCAATAAATTGACGCTGCTAGCCCGACTGTGCTGCAAGGAAACGAAGGATGAGCTCGTTGGAGTTGTGGTTGGCGACTGAAGCAGTGACTGGTTCCTTCCCAGGCTTGGTGTTGCGTTAGGCGACTGCACGCCGCAGCTTCGACGACTGTTGTGCCAGTGAACCGTCAAAAAAAAAGAATCATCTGGTACAAAGGTTACACATCGACAGTCGTTTCGGGCGCTCTGGATTCTTGCGGTCTGATGGGCATATTGCGAGATAGTCGAAGAGAGCAGGGGCTTCCGTTGAATGGAATATGGACATCCAGCATGGGCCGGTATACTGTGTTGTGCAGCCACTTCATTTGATTTCGGTAGAGGCAAAGTTTTGAGAATAAATGTCATTTAAATATGCAAATGTGTCAGAGTAATGTGTATCCACCGTCCACAACCAAATTAGCCCCCGTCATATAACAGCAAGCGTCGCTGGCGAGAAACACATAAATCTAAGAAAAGTTAATCGAAGGCTGTAAATTGATTGCAATACGGGGTGAACGTACTCCTTTCAACTCCGAGGTGGCTGCCATGCGGCGGCCGGGAATCAGAGAAAGCCACTGCTCCATGCGCTCTTTTGGTTGGTTGTACAGCACTGCAAAAGTCAATCTTCCACTATCCGCCATGGACCACAACTGGTCTATATACTTACTATCAGTTTCAATGAAGCCAGGCGAAACGCAGTTGACCCGCGCAAAGTCGACCCATTCGACAGCAAGCACCTTGGCCAGCTGCACAACCGCCGCCTTGGAGGCGTTGTAGGCGGCCTGCTGCTGCGGGATGTTGACCAGCGTCGCGCTGACCGACGCCGTGATGATGAGGTTTCCGCGGCCCTGCGCCTTGAAGATGTTGCCCGCCGCCTGCGCAGTCCACATGACACCGTCGTAATTGACACTGTTGTTCTGCTGCCACGTCTCCTCAGTGTACTCCAGGCTGGGGATATCGGCGCAGACGCCCGAATTGGCCACCATGATGTCGAGACGCCCAAAATCGGCGGCAATCCGGCGCACGGTCTCGGCAATGGCGGTGCGCGAGCGCACGTCGCCCTGGTAGGCGGTGACCTTGACACCGGTGGCCGCGGCGATGACTTGGGCGGCGTCATGGGCGCTGGTGGTGGTGCTGTAGATGATGGCCACGGCGGCGCCGGCCTCGGCGAGGCCGCGCACAATTTCGAGGCCGATGCCGCGGGCGCCGCCCGTCACGGCGGCGACTTTGCCCTTGAGGGAGAACTGCGAGAGGACGGGAGCGTCCGAGTTGTCTGGGCGGTAGAGCGGCATTGTCAGGGGCAACACGGCGTACTGAATTTTCGATGTAGAGAAACAAGCTTTAGGCTTCGTGAAATGTTTGCAATTTATAGAGAATGTTTTATTCGCCTTTTAAGCTGTGAACAGGACGCTGCCCCCTCTGGATGGCTTCAACGGACGGTAACCCGCTCCAGTGGTGGAAGCTTGTAGAGCCGCACCAATAAAACTTGATCGCTGGCGTGGAGCTGGCCATCGCATCGTGTGGTTCTGTTCCGATCTGGCGAACAGCTGTAGTGGCTAGGGTGTTTTTCGATTGACGGAGGCTTTACTTCATCACGGATAGGCTAATGACAATTGCAAGCTGGTTTTTGTCAGTCACAATTTTTCCCCTGTTTTATTCTCATACTGGACTGCGGCGTTGGATATTTGACGGGCGGGGTTGGCAAGGTGCCATTGTTCTATATTTTTTGATCCTAATAACCGTCGTCACGATTCGGTTGACTCGGTTTGTCGCCTTATGCGAATAATCTAGGTAGCTATTCGCACATGTGTAGGTTTTGGCGATGTTGTCATGCGGTTGCGTCAGCTCTGGCGCATTGCTGGGCGTGGAACCGGGCAGTGCTAGCGGGCGAGACTGGTCCGTCGCCCTATCCTTTCCAGAACGAGACAAGATGGCGCGAGGCAGCCTACGTGGCGGATTCGGAGCTGAAGACTTTCGGAGCTTAACATTTTGGATAATGATGATGACGATGTATGTATGATTTGGATGAAAGAGGATCATGTAGAAGGAAATGAAGCCGTAAGCTTTCCGAAAAGACAAACGGAGTTTATGCGTTGTGTTATAGGTACTAAGGTACCTAGGTACCTAGGTAGGTAGGTAGTTAGCCCAGGCTGGCTTCCAGAACCGCTTGTAGCCCTTGCATCCGTCTGGACATATGTAGCATAGTAACAGCCTGCCGATACGTTGTCAAATGGGTCGAACAAGTACCAATCATTATTTAATATCGTGAAAAGGTGCAATTTCTTATAAAAGGACTCGATAACACAGGATCAACCAGGTAGTACTACAAGAACTACCTACATACCTAGTACCTAGGTAGGTACCTAACCTTGCCCAGGAATGCGTTTGCTCCCATTTTTAGAAACGCCAAGACACGTCCTGCCGGCTCTACCTCTACTGCCAACCCGGCTGAGTAAGAGTGTTGCCGATTGCATACTTGACTCTTCGGTAGTTTTGTTTCATCCCTTTTCTTTTCATCAAGCTTCTACTTCTTTGCATGCGCGGTCAGTCGAGTAACATTGGTTCGCTCGTTACTTGGAATCGAGTTCTTCTCATTTTACCTCGAGCGGCTTCACCATCACTAGGTACTCTGTGACGAAACCTCAGGCCGTGGGCTCCCACCCATCCTCCCTCGCCACTCACCTATCATGTCGCTTCCATGAGACCATGTCGCCATTCACTCCCAACGAACGCCAGAAGAGAATCCTCCAGCTATCTTCAGAATGGGGCGTCGCAATTCCGCCGGCCCCCAAGGCCCTTGTTAAACCCCTGCAAACGCCCACGTTTCAGGGCCCTGGTGACGATGACGTCGCCGAGAGCTTGATGCAAAGGCGAGCAGCAGATGCCGCGCAGCTGCGGCCAAAGGGCAGCCTGTCGAGAGCATTTTCCACCACGAACCTCAAAAAGGGCAAGCACTGGGATCCTCGCGAGATAGTAGAGACGCTGGCTACGCACGTGGCCAACAGCGGTTCGCCGGGCGTGGCCGAAGCCTTGATCGCAAAGCTCTCTGCTGCCGGGGTCGACTTGTCCGGAAATCAAAAGCAAAAATCGAGCCTATTGAGCCGCCGGAAAAGCGTGGATCTTCTACCAGACCGTGCCCGCTTACTCCGTCTCGCTACCGAAAGCGGCAGCGTTGACATGGTTCAGGTTCTGGTACCTCATGCCGATGCATTAGCTATCGATGCCAGTATCCCCGCTGCCATTAGAAGAGCCGACAAGGAAATCGCGGAGCTCTTATTGAAGTATGGCGCCAACGTGGGTGAAACGGCTGACGGGCAAGATGCTTTTCGTCAGGCTTGCACTGACAATGACCGAGGCGCCATGATTGGCATGATCCTCAACTCGGCCGGGCGACCTTCAGCAGTCATAATATCGCAAGCAATGGGCGATGCCTCCCGTTCCGGCTGCTTGGATAATGTCGTACAACTAAGCCGATCTACCGGAGATGGCAACTACAATCACGGAGAGGCCCTCATCACGGCAGTCAACATGGGCAGACGCGACATCGCCTTGGCCATCATCACGGGGAACAAACCGCCGCAACCGTCCTCACTCAATAATGCATTCATCACCCTTTACTCGCATCCCTCTATAAGCCCCGCTACTAAACTCGACATCGGAGAGCTGTTGTTATGCGCTGGTGCCACAGGTGAAGCGCCAGCGTTGGCCCTGGAGCAGGCTTGCAAGTCTCAATTTTACGACATGGTGTTTCTTCTGTCTTCCTACAACGTCTCTATCGAATACAATGAAGCTTCTGCACTGAAATATGCCATCAGCAATGGCGAGATGGAGCTTGTGGAAAGGCTCTTAAACAGCACGGCGCCATTGAACCCGCAATACGCGTCCTCATGTGTAGGCCTCATCCCGAAGCAGGCATCATTCGAAGCACGATACTCTCTTCTAATACGGCTCCTCCACCGTGGTGCTAATGGTCATGCTCTGAGTCAATGTCTCATTGATTCCGTCGAGTCGGGCGACCTGAGCTCTGTTGATCTACTTCTGAATCCTCGATTCCCACCCCAAAATAATGGAGCTTCGAACGGGGCCGGCTCGCCACTGAACACGCATGCAGTGGCCTCGACGGATTATCGAAGCGGTGAAGCATTGCGAACGGCTGTGATTCGGGCTGACGCGCATCTCTCCCAGAAGCTCCTCAAAGCACGACCATCGCCTCAAACCATCACAGCAGTATTTCCACTCACGAGAAAACTACCTGTCCAAGAAAGGCACCAAATCGTGAGCCTATTCCTAGAAGGCTCCCTCTCTGGAGATTGTCTACATGGCGCTCTACAAGACGCGCTCGCACCGCCTCAATCCCAAAGGGACGACAGCCTCATCAAGCAGCTCCTTGCTAGCGGCGCTGATATCAATTACAATTCCGGAGAAGGTCTGGTGCCACTCATCAAGCAAATGGACTTGAATCTTCTTGCTCTCATGGGAGCTAGCATCTCTCCGCAAACAGCAGCCTCGCGTGTTCCAGATGCAATGAAGGTCCCCGATCACCGATCAAGATTCGAGACCCTCAGCATCTTATTTAATGCTGGCGCAACCATTGGCGTGTCCGAGGTGGCTTCTGCAACTCTGGACACATTATCAGAGAAGCCAGTCGACATGTCGCTTCTCCGACTACTTCTAGAGACAGGCAGTGCTGATATAAATGGCTGCGATGGTGACATTATAGCAAAAGCCATAGAGAACCCTGACCCAAAGGTCCTTGAGCTGGTCTTGTTTTACGGAAACCCCTCGGTACCATCGATAATACGCGGCTTAGATGCCCTGGCTCCAAAGCTATCCAACGATGTAAAGAAGTGGAAGTTTGAAACCATCATTTCAAAATCCACAAAGACGATTGAATTGAATCGTGTGTTGATTCTTGAAGTAAAGTCCATTGTCGAGCACGCAACGCTGCAGCCAAGCTTGGATGTCTTGGACCTGCTCCTGAGCTACAATGCCGATCCGAACGCTTTCAATGCCGCTGCGCTTTGCCATGCTGTCATCGCTGCAGAAATCACAACAATCACACATCTTGTGAAGAGCCCCGTAGCAATGAAGCCCATTTCCTTGGGTATTGCTTTGCCACATGCACTCCGAATTGGTGATCAAGCTGCGCGACTCTCTACGAACCGTCTACTGGTTGAAGCCGGAGCGCCGCCTGCTGAAATCAACAGAGCTCTACAGCATGCTATCAAGATTCATCCGGAGGATATTTCACTAATTGAACTGCTTTCTTCCAAAGCAGATACAGGGGACGGGGATGTGCTGTCCCTCGCCGTGGAAAAGGAATCACCAGAGCTCATCTCGTTGCTGCTGAAGAATTCCACCTCGTCGTCCGAGGCACGCAGCACAGCTCTGACTCGTGCGATGGACATCACGACGCGAAATCTGCGACATGATATCTGCAAGCTGCTTTTGGCATCTGGTGTTCCCGCCGACACTGCCTCCATTGCCCTCCTAGTTGCCGCTCGGGACGGTGATGTAGCTCTCGGCGACTTGCTCATGGCACATGGCGCAAACATCACTTCGAATAATGGACAAGCGATTATTGAGGCCTGCCGCGGTGGGTCCATTGATGTGCTCAAAATTCTTCTCAAACCTGATGGGCAGACATCAAAAAAGACGCTAAACGAAGCATTTCAGGCTGCTACCGAAGTACGGGATCTAGATAAACGCGCTGTCGTTTTCAAGTATCTCCTCCGCTGCGGTGCGTCTGGCGAATTTATCGATGCACAGCTTCAGTCAGCTGCGAGATATGGCGAGCCGGGAGAAAGTCTGCTCAAGGTGCTACTCGCAGCTGGAGCGGATCCCAACTACAACAGTGGTGAAGCGGTAACCGCCGCCACGCGGAGTGCTTTTTTGCGCAGCTTGCAGTTACTTTTAGGTTTGTGGGATGATGGAAAGAGCCAGGTATGCAGTAGGCTTCCGAGTGTCCTTCTTGTTGCTAATCGCTGCTCAGAAATCGCCCTCACAGCCAACCTTAGTTCGTGCACTGAAAGCCTCGTGGAATCTCAATCGCGATACCCGCTATGCTATTGCCGAGGACTTGTTTAAAGCCGGGCTACAGCCCTGCGAGGACCTGCACATGGCTCTGAACAACGCGGTCAACGAAGAAGATCCAGAAGAGCGCCTCGTGCGCTTACTTTTGACGAACGGTGCATCTGCCACCTCCAACAGCTGCAAGTCCTTGGTTGACGCCGTGCAGAATATGGCATCTTCTTGCCTATCACTCATGCTTCAGCGCGATATTGCTCAAAAAGACATCAATCAGGCTTTTAATGGAGCTTTTACTACGGAGACCTTCAAGAATTGGTTCAGCTCCAGTGGTCTCGAAACAGCACAGCTACTTCTAGACAAAGGCGCAAGCGGAGATGCTTTGAGCAACTCGCTACTGCTGGTCATGCAAAATTCGACTGCAGAAACCAGTGATCTTGCACACCGATTTGTCGATATCCTGGTGTCTCATGGGGCCGATGTCAATTATAACCATGGTCAGCCGCTTCAGCAGGCTGCGTCTGTGGCCAACATTGAATGGACACGCAAGCTTTTGGGCTGCAAGCCGACGTCTGAGACGCTGTCTCTGGCTTTTCAATGCATATTTGATACAGCACTCAGCCAGGAAGAAGTTCTGGGGCTTTTTAAGCTCTTTGCTGAGTATCGAGATGGTGATGCTCAAATTGACGTCATGGTCACTTTGCAAGGGTCGGAACCGGTTCTGGTGCGAGCCATCAAGCAATACCCACGATCATCTATGATCCTATCAACCCTCCTAGATGCAGGTTATTACCATGATCAGCTCACCACGTGCACCCTCCATACCGATGTTGAAGAGGAAGAGGTTACACTACTCTCGTGGGCCATTTCTCAGCCGCAGAAGCGAGTGAGCACATCTGTCATTGAGCTTCTTGTTGAGCGAGGTGGTAAGTATCACAGGTGGATTCCGCAGTGATTCAGTGCTAACACTGCACAGCAAAGATCAACGTGACCTCATCTTTATCTGGCTCGACACCTTTGATGCTCGCCGTTTTAAACCGCCGCCCGGACGTGGTCAAGCTACTTCTCATCGAAGGCGCTGAGGTCGACGTCATTGACTACCTGGGGCGCACACCTCTCGCCATGGCGACAGACATGGAAGGCGACGTCGCAGTGCAAATTATGTCGAGCATCCTGGCCGCTGAGCCCTGCCGCGACGACGGCTCCCTCCACAACGCCGCGCGGGAGCTCAACCTCGCCGCGGTCAAGGTGCTGGTGCAGGCCGGCCACGACCCCGATTTCCCCAGTCCGCTCCACGACGGCCGCAGCGCACTCGGCGAGGTATGCCTCCGGGCCGCGACTGACAGTGACATGCCACCCGAGCGTGAGCGACTGGCGCAAAAGGTTATGGGATTTCTCATCGACGCTGGTTCCGACCTCGCCATTGGCGCCGACGGCAAGCCGCTCCTTCACCTCTGCTTCGCCTCGCACGACCCAGTGGCCACGACGCGCGCGCTCTTGAAAGCCGGCATGTGGAAGCACATCAACAAGCCCTTCAATCGCTGCACCGACGAGCATTTCACCTACTCGCCCACCATGTATATCAGCAAGGTTATGCATTCACTGTTCTGCCGCGACGCGCTGCTCGCTGTGCTACGTGCCAGCCGCGCCGTCGACGCCTTCTACGCTACAAATGGCGACGTGCAGCCCGACGATGCCGTCGGCCTCCCAGACGACATGGCCGCCGCTGAGCGCGCCCGCCGCGCGCGTCTCGCGCGGCTCACGCACGACACTGAGGAACACACCATTGCGCTTGCGCGGCGTCGCGAGATAGCCAGCGTAGAGCAGCAGATTGCTGGGCAAAAGGCCGAGATGGAGGACGCACGGCGACGGCGGCAGCACAACGAGGACCTGGCGGCTGTGCGCGCGCGAGCCCAGCTCGAGGAGTCCATCGCCGCTACGACGCTCCAGCGGCGCCTCGCCGACCAGAACGCCGTGACCGAGGCGGCTATGCACCGCGTTGGCGCGCTCGCCATTGCCGAGACGGACGCTGACGATACCCGCCAGCGGAAAGCCATCGAGTGGGAGGCGCGCGTCAGCAAAGACCGCGCCGACAATGCGCGCGCGATCAGCGCGATTCGCGTGAGTGAGAGAGAGGCGCTCGAGAAGGTCGACCGGGCCGCGGAGCAGCGCCTCGCGAAGCGCATCGACGCACAGCGAAAGCTGGTGGATAGCCAGGAGCGCTTGGCGAGCAGATTGGCGAATGGAGCTGCTGTTGTTGCTGGTGTGGATCAGAGACGGCAGATTGGGTACGTGACAGAGTTGAATTGAGAAATTCAAGGAAAGAGAAGGGACAGGAATAATTCATGACGGTTCGAGTTGAGACCATCTAACGGCCGGTAGCCATGTGTTCATTCATTTCCTAGTTTTACAGCGTATAATAACGTAGCTAGCATGAGGTTTGTATAACAACAAAGGATCAACAGTATGCAAATCTAATGCCTCTTCATCTTCATCATGAACATCAACACCCGTTTTCTTAACCCATTGGTCAAAATAGCAGTTATTCTTTGCTCGATTTAAAGTTCATCTTGATCGAGTCCGAGCCTGTCTCCACGACGCAGTAGCCCTCGGCGTCCTCCGTCTCGCCACTCGCCGCCTTTTCATACGCCGCATCGCTCCGGTCGCACAGCACGCTCAGATCGGCCTCGCTCAATATGTCCTCCCCACCGGTCGTCTCAAAAACCTGGCCGTCCTTGAGCAGCAGCAGCTCGAGGGTCTTCTCGTCCAGCCTGGCGGCGTCGGCGGCGGCGGCGGCGCCGTTCATCTTCTGGCCCATGCTCTTGAAGCCGCCCTTGCGGATGACGAGCTTCTCGAGGCGGCGCTTGGCGTCGGCGGCGAGGAGCAGCTGCTCCTCGACGGTGCCGCGGGTGGCGAGGCGGTAGACGATGACGGGGCGCAGCTGGCCGATGCGGTGGCAGCGGTCCTGGGCCTGCAGGTCCTGCTGGGGGTTGAAGTCGGAGTCGAAGAGGACGACGGTGTCGGCGCTGGCGAGGTTGATGCCCTGGCCGCCGGCGCGCGTGGACAGCAGGAAGAGCTGGTGGGCGGGGTCCGTGTTGAAGGCGTGGATCTGCGCGCGCCGCGACGGCTGCGACACGCCGCCGTCGACGCGGCACACCGGCCACCCGCGCAGCTCGCGGCAGTAGTCCTCGAGGATGTCGAGCTGCGTCGTGAACTGCGAAAAGAGGAGCACCTTGTGCCCGCGCGCGAGCAGGTGCCGCAGCAGCCGGTCCAGGAGCAGCATCTTGCCCGAGGACGTGACAATGGACGCGTCGACGGGCGTGTCCGTCGCCACGGCCCCGGGGTTGTAAAAGTTGTGCGGGCTGTTGCACGCCAGCCGCTGCTGGATGTGGGCGTTGCCGAGCTTCTTGGCGGCGATTTGCTTTTCTTCAGAGACAGACTGTTAGCAGTGGGTTTGTGCAATTGTCAGGGGTGCTGCGTACTGGCTAGATCAAGACGCTCGGCGCGCTCAATTTCCTCGGGCGTTCTCGAATCTGGCTCTCTGTAGGAGTCCTCGGCGCTGCCCATCTCTTGAACGAGCTTGGCCTCGAATTCGGCATCGGAGAGCTCGTCTTCATTTTCTGAGTCGGCTTCCTTGTATGTATGAGACTTTCGAGGGCGGCCGCGTGTCGATGCTGGGGTAGAGCCGCGACTGGACCTTGCGCTTTTCGACTCGGGTTCCGCCACCGCAGCGACTTGGCTCTTGCGCTTGGAGCCGCTCTTTACCGGTGTGACGTTTTCTTGCTTTGGCTTGGAAGACGTTTGGAGAGTAGCTTTGCCCATCATTCTAGCAAAAGCGTTTGGCGCGGCCGGCGGTTCTGTCTTGTTGGCATCTGATTGCTTACTTCTAGGGCTCTCTCGGACCGGAAGCGAAATCTTCTTTTGCTTGCCGTTGCTCTTGGGCTCTTGCCGTGTTGGTTTCGCCGACATGATTAGCCTTTCCACCTTGTTCTGGAGGAATTCGCGCGGATCAATGTCTGCATTGCTAAAGACATTGTACAGATCCGTCTGCTCCTTGGTCATGGGTGCGAAAAGCACATATTCGCGCTTCTGAGGTAGATAGGCGGCGACGTCTTGCTTGATGCGGCGGAGTAAGAGAGGCTGCAGAATCAGGTGCATTTTCCGCACCAGATCTTGTTTCATCTGGTCTTGGATAAATTCCTGGGTTCCTTCTTCGTCCTCGAGCCCGGAGAAGTCGAACCAGGATTCAAACGAGTCCCAGTCTGTGAAAATGTTGGGCAGCAGAAAGTGCAACAGAGACCACAGCTCTTTTAAATTGTTCTGCAGCGGCGTACCAGTGATGAGAAGACGGGTGGCAGAAGTAAACTGCTGTAGCTCCTTGAAGAGTTTGGCATCGGCATTCTTCATGCGGTGGCCTTCGTCCTGTTGACTCTATTAGAAGGGGTTGCCGCCACACGTTACGGCGTGCTTACAATAATGATGAATTCCCACTTGATGCGCGACAAAAATGCTTTGTCTTGGAGGACCATCTCGTATGAGGTACATACGACAGGAAATTTTTCGGTCGGGCGACCAGCTTGCAGGTGCTTCATTATTTCCTTGGAAAAGATTTGCTGGCGTTGCTCTGGGGTTCCGTGATACATGACGACGGGGATGGACGGGGTCCATTTGTCAAACTCATCCATCCAGTTAGATAAGGTGCTTAGAGGCGCAACGATAAGATGAGGCCCGAGGTAGTTTTCTTGCTCTCGAAGCAAAGCTATGAGAGATATTGTCTGCACGGTTTTGCCTAAGACTTGTTAGCCCATGGACTTGGCCCGCGTCATAGCGATGAAAGCTTACCAAGTCCCATCTCGTCGGCAAGAATTCCGCTCATGCCCTGTGAGCAAATCTCAAACATCCAAGTTAGACCTTCAAGCTGGTAATCACGCATGGTGCCGCCAACCAGGCATTTTGGTTGCGTGGCCATCTGCAAGTCATGTTCACCGAGAGTCTGGCCGTCCAGGCCACTTCCAACACGCCCCAAGACCTGCGTCTTCTTGGTCAAAATGTCGCTAAATGCCGCGCTCTTTGTAAGGAGTTCGTCGAGCTGTCTTGCTTGCGCCTCGCGCTCGGCCTTGGTCGTCGCCTTTTGCGTTCTACGCTTACGGGCGACAGTCTGCCGGCGCTTCTCCTCGGCCCGGTTATTGGCAAGGCGAGCTTGCTCCTCCTCCTTTACGAGCTGATCCTCGTTTATTGTCTCGGCCGTGGCTGCGTCTTTGGTGCTGCCTTGTGCCTGTGGCGAGCGGGCTGGTGGCGGCGAGCTGGCGGGGCTGGAGCCGTCTTTTGCTTTGGACATGATGGACTCGGCGTCGGAAGATGAGCCTACATCCATGGTTTTTTCGCGATGCGCAATCTTGTCGCCTGGAAATTCCGACAGAAATAGCGTTTTGGGTTTCAATTGGGTTGATTGGGCGAGGAAAAGATCGGTTCACGCGGCAGTTCCAACGTGGAGCGGCGGCGTGTGGCGCTAGGAGGTGGTGAATTACGATTCAGATTTTCTTCACTTGTCGCACTGGGGCTCGCGATACATTGAAGTGAGCCGGAGAGGGCAGTGAGTTGGTCAACAGCCAGAAGGAAAGCTCCGAAGAAAGTTCCAACAGACGGCGACAGTATGTCTGGTGCCTTAATAAAATAGTGTATGATGCAATTGGCCTTCACCGTGCCCGTCACCGGAACGCGACGCGACGTGATAGCGCGAAGTCACGTGAAGCTAAAGTGATGGTTGGGTAATGGCAGTCGCAGGAAATTGATTGTTAAAAAGCAGGGGGGAACATCTTGAACAAATAGGACAATTGAAAATATATGTTTGAGTGGTAATTTCCTACCGAAAGTTGCTGTTTGCCGGTAACTAGACGATCGTTGTTGGACGAGAACGTCGAATTGTCGAATCATGACGTGGAGTGAGATTACCAAGAACGCTAAGGAACGCGATGATAGACTGGGTTTGGGTCCGGTACCGAAAACGCCAAAAAATATGCGTAGATTGAAAGATAGTTGCTTTTCTCTAGTAGTTCCTACGTGATGTCCGTGGTGTACCATTCGCGTAACCTCTTTTCTGAGATCTACATACAGCAAATGTCCCAGTCAGTGCGGGTTGCTATGTACACCAGTAATGCCTACACCAGCATACCAAACGTCAAGTATCCTTAGATTGATGCTTAAAAATACCCTCAGGCATCACAACCTTGAGAGATGAAAATGCAACTGCCGCTCCGAGTTTACTTTAGAGTATGTGTGGCTTCATAACTGGACTGACAGGGCAGGGCCAGCGACCGCGGTACAGTGAAACACCAGATACCATGATTGGTCCCTTCACTAGCCACTAGCACCTTGAAAAATAATATATAATATTGATAGTTACTATTTACTGTATAGAAGTGTACTTTTGTACTTTTGAGCTTGTTTCAAGAATGGCAGGTCAAATGTCAAATGGTGGACTATTCCGCTGCCCGACCGTGCTGTGTGGGGGCAGAGTGGCTCTCAAGCGTAATAGCAACAGAAAATATCCAGACAAACAGGACCAATCTCCTCCATCCTCCCCTCCTTTGCGCAGCACGACATCACAGGTACTTCGTATCCCGAGCAATGAGCCACCTTTGGTCCCAGGCTAGGCCTGATGCTCAATGGGTTCCTGTGGGCCCTCTTGCGCACTTCCCCGACGTTGGCGCCGAGGACGGCAATCTAATCCAGCCCAGGAACTGCGAAGCCGACGCCGCCAAGAGCCTGCCCGGGTGCCGCATCTTGCTCATCCCCAAGACCGATCCTTCCCAGGCGGCCGAGATTGCCATTCCGCCCGGCGCGGCGACATCGCCAAGCGAGGGCCAAGACTTGAAGGACCAGGTGGTGGTGTTTCGGTACCGCGACAAGGTGCACGCCCTCGACCATGTGAGTACTTATAATTTGTAAACTTGGGAGACCTGCACAAGTTCCTGTAGCTGCGCTAATCACCGTCACTTTCGTCCCCTAGCAATGCCCGCACAACGCATACCCGCTGTCCAATGGGACACCCTTTGACATTGAGGACTTTGGCGTTATCCTCAGCGCCGGTCTCACCTGCCCAAAGCATGGGTGGTCCTTTGACCTTTTTACTGGCCAGTCGGATCGTGGCCTTTACAAGCTTCCTGTCTGGGAAGTCCAGCTCCGTGACGTCGACGGCAATCCGTGGTCGGGTAGCCTCAGAGGCAACCCCCCTGATGGCCAGACCGTGTGGGTGCGGAGACGACAGAGAATCGGCTAAAAAAGTACCAGCCCCTCATTATCGTCATTCCCCCTCCCTCTTGGCCAAGAAGCCATCTCAGTCATCGCAGATAGCGTGGCTGGGCGGCTCATGCACCTCCTCTCCACAAGGTAGCGCAGGAGCTACAATGGGCGGACAACCTACACGAGGCCACCAGTTCCACAATGAGATCGCCGCTGCTTTCCGCCAAACGGGGGGCTGCATTCCTGCCAACAACCCAGACGCTCTTGTTTTGCTTGCATGCCCTGTTCCACTTGCAAAGCAACCGACCTGGTTTCCCGCATTGGCTGCCTTCCTCCTTAGGCAAGTGCTTTACTCGCATTGGCCAATATAGTTGGCTCGAGGGCGTCACCAGCCCGCCCTAGTATTGCACCATGCGTCGTCGACGCGACTACTCCCGGTGCTACTCCGTGTAATAAGACACTTCAAAAACAACAGGGTTTCCACGCCAGTATTTGACTACCTTGCTTTCTCCCATCCTCTCTCCAGGATTCCTTCTGAACTGCCCTTCTCTGCTTTCTTGTCCAAAGCCACAAGCAATGGCTTTCCTTCTCCCCATCCTCGTGGCTACCCTGGCTGCTGCCTCTCCCTTGACCCAATTCATCACCAAGCAGGCTCTTGACACTGTCCCCGACGGCTGGCAGCTCAAGACCGCCGCGCCTGTTGACCAGAAGCTGAATCTCTACATCCGTCTCAAGGAACAGAACATTGATCAGCTGCAGCAGCGCACTCTTGAGATTAGCGACCCTGACCATGCAGACTACGGAAAGCACCTCACCAAGGCTGAGATTGATACCCTCACTGCTCCTACCAAGGACACTGTTGACTCGGTCACCAAGTGGCTGTCGTCCCACGGTGTCGATGCCGGAAAAATCCAGAGCGGCTTCCTGACTGTCTCTGTCAGCGTCGACCAGGCCCAAAAGATGCTCAACACCGACTACGGCGTTTACACCAACGCCGCCACAGGTCGCGAGACTGTACGCACTACCAGCTACAGCCTCCCCCAATATGTCCATAGTGCCATCGACATGGTCCAGCCCACCACCCTCTTTTCCGACCTTGGCCTCAGCACCAGGAACATGATTCCCTTCCAAGAGCTCCCTGCGTCCTCCAACCAGGCCCGCGCTGGAGATGTCTGCGCTCAGGAGGGCTCATCGACCAAGTGCCTTCGCCAGAACTACAATATCAAGGGATATACTCCCTCGAGTGGAAAGACGACGTTTGGCATTACCGGCTTCCTGGGGGAAGTCCCGGACCCCACCAGCCTCAGCAACTACCTGAAGAAGTTCGACAGCGACATTCCTTCCAACACTACTTTCAGAGTTGAAGCTATTAACAATGGCCCCACTGCGCCTGGTGGTGTAGGCGAAGCGGACCTCGATGTGCAAATTTCCGTCGCACTGGTCCACCCCATTGAGACTGTCTTCTACTCTACCCCCGGTAGCCCCCCGACCACTGGACCTGGTGGCGAGCAAAACGAGCCGTACCTCGACTGGCTCACGTACACTCAGAACTTGGACCACCCTTCCCAGACCTATTCAATCTCTTACGGTGACGATGAGCCCACCGTCCCCAACGACTACGCCGACGCCGTTTGCGCGCAATTCTTGAAGCTTGGCGCGCGTGGTGTCAGCATTCTCACTGCTTCCGGTGACTCGGGCGCTGGAGGCAGCAGCGCTTGCCAGGACGGCAAGGTTACCTACAAGCCCTCGTTCCCCGCCAGTTGCCCCTGGGTCACCGTCGTCGGCGGCACCACTGGCTACGGCTCCAACGAGCAAGGCTTCCGCGATGGTGGTGGTGGCTTCTCCAACCACTTTGGCACTCCCGACTACCAGGCAGCTACTGTCAAGGGTTACGTGGCACAGCTTAACAGCTCAACCAAAGCCTCTTTCAACGCCTCTGGTCGTGCCTACCCTGACATTGCGGCACTCTACACCAACTTCCCCCTCTTCCGCGGTAGCCGCCAAGGCACCAGCGGTGGCACCAGCGCGTCCACTCCTACCACTGCTTCCATCATTGCCCTTCTCAACGACTACCTCGTCTCCAACGGCAAGAGCCCTCTTGGGTTCCTTAACCCTTGGCTCTACAAGAAGGGCAAGGCCGGTCTGCGTGACATTTCCAAAGGACAGAACAACGTCTGCTCCACACAGGCTGCATTCCCTGCCGTCAAGGGCTGGGATGCTTCCACTGGTCTTGGTGTGCCCGACTTTGTCAAGCTCAAGGCGCTTCTGTGAGCGGGTCCAAAAACGTAATGAGGACTTTTATATTGTATATGAAATATGAATAATGAAACACACTTTTTGCAATTTGTCTTTGCTTTGTCCGATGTATGCAAGACATGTCAGCATACGTGACCGTATGCAACTGCTGCGGGGGGTTTCTCCGATATAGGCCACTAACTAGGTAGCAAAGCTGATTTAAGACAGCGCGGCGTGCCCCTCGAATCTGGCATCATACAATCTGGTCTTGCGATAGATGCTGTAGAGGCATCACCAGCTGCCTCAAACAAACTGGTGTCTTGTTCTTAGCAGTTGTGCACAGGCTCGAAGCGCGTCTGCCATCATCATGAAGAACAACACCATCTCCACCACGCAACCTGGCGACATGGAGCACGCGATCGCCATCTCGCCCGTCCCCGCCGCCGCCCAGACGACGACTGCCTCCGCCCAAGAGGACGCCACCAACGAGAAGTGTAACGCCACCACCGCCCCCAACGCCACTATCGCCGTCGCCGCCTCGGCCGAGCTGGCGGGTGGCGGCACCCGTCGCATGCTGCAACAGCGCCACATCCAGATGATGGCTCTTGCCGGGACCGTGGGCACCGGCCTGTTCCTCTCCACCGGCCGGGCCCTGGCCGCCGGCGGGCCGCTGGGTCTACTGCTCGGGTACGCCCTCATCGGCACGCTCGTCTGCGCCGTCGTTTTTTCGGTGGCGGAGATGAGCGCGCTGGTGCCGCTGTCGGGCGGCGTGGTGCGGCACGCCGCCCTGTTCGCAGACCCGGCGCTGGCGTTTGCGCAGGGCTGGAACAGCGTGTACTCGAATGCGGTGCTGCTCCCGGCGGAGATGGCGGCGTGCGCCGTCATTCTCGACTACTGGGGCCATGCGATCCATCACGCCGTGTGGATCACGGTGCTGGGCGGGCTGCTGGTGGTGAGCAATCTGTTCCTGGTGAGCGTCTACGGCGAGTTGGAGTTTGCGTGTGCGCTGCTCAAGATGGCGCTCATTGTCGGCGTCGACATCATGGCAAGCGAATCCCAATTCCGAAGAACGCTGCGTCCTCATCACTGACATGGTATACCCAGAGTATATGCATCACCGCCGGCGCAGGTCCCAGCGGTCACGCCATTGGCTTTCGGTACTGGCGCGATCCTGGCCCGTTTGCGCAGTTTGAGCACCTCCCCGGCGCCGGCGGCCGCTTCCTCGGCTTCTGGCGTGTGCTCCTCAGCGCGGCCTATGCTTTTTCCAACGTCGAAAACGTGTCCGTCGCCGCCGCAGAGACGCAGAACCCGCGGCACAACATCCCCAAGGCGGCGCGGCGCGTCTTCTGGCGCGTCTTGCTGCTGTATCTGGCCACCGTTCTGTGCATCGGGCTCGTGGTCCGGTCGGACGATGAGGCGCTCATGGCGCGCTCGGGCGATGCTGGCGCGAGCCCGTTTGCGATTGCGGCCGTGCGGGCGGGTATCAAGGTGGTGCCATCCATCATCAACGCCGTCGTGGTGACGAGCGCGTGGAGTGCCGCGAATTCAGGTATGCACTTTGTCAGCTCTCCCGACGAGAGCAACCTTTTTTCTAACACGATTCGGTGAAAAAGCCATGCTGGTTGGCACACGCACGCTGTACGGCCTGGCGCTCGACGGCCACGCACCGCGCTTCTTCACGTGGACGAACCGCTTCGGCGTGCCGTGGACGTGCGTCGCCGCCGTGGCCGTGCCGCTGCCGCTCGGCTTCATGACGCTGTCGGCCGGCGCGGCCGCCGTCTTTGGCTGGCTGCAGGACCTCGTCGCCGCCGCCACGCTCGTGCACTGGATCACGATTGCGCTCGTCTACCTGCGCTTCCACTACGGCGCCCGCGTGCAGGGCATCGCCCGCGAGGTGCTGCCGTGGAAGGCGCCGTTCCAGCCGTACGGTGCCTGGGTGGCGCTCGTGTCGTGCGTCGTGCTGCTGCTCACGGGCGGCGTCCCGCTGCTGGTCGGAGGCCGCTGGAGCCCCCAGGATCTGTTCTCAGCGTACTTCAACGTCCCGCTCATCTTGGCGCTGTATTTTGGGTACAAGACGGCGAGGGGCACCAAGGTGGTGCCGCTCGGGGAGCTGCCGATTCGACACTTTGTGGAGGTGCTGCGCAGGGAGGAGCCAGAGCAGCTGCCGCCGCCGCCGCGAGGATGGCGCAGGCTCAATGTGCTCTGGGGGTGACGTGCCACACAGTAGAGGCCCGGCAACAGAAATACGACAAGAAGCAAGGGCAATGGATTGTATCGCTACGATCGCAAATCACGGAGAGGTATATAGTCTCGCCCGCTCAGTTGGTGAATTGCGCAGTGAAATGACTTTGCCGTATTCCACCGCGCCTTACTCGTAATATGGCAGCCTACCTACATGATGGTTCGAATATGTGATATGTGTCGGCCTCCCCGTTGCAGGCATCATCACTATTGAAGGGGCCGCGATGAAAAAAACATACTCGTGAACATCAAAACCCAACTCGTAACAATAATAGTCACGGAATGAATTAATATAGCACATATTTATACAGATAACAGGCTGTAATGGAAATACCACTAAAAATTCAATCTGTTAGAGCTTACTAAAGACTATCAACTTTTTAGCTCAAATACGACCCGTGACAGAAGCTATGTCCACTCCGTAACGTGGTATGAGATTTTGAACCATTTGAAACTCTGAACCGAAGCCTGAAGCCGTGGAAACCCCGTAGATACTGATGCGGCGCTTCACCGTCAGAAAATCTACGGCGGACAAACGCACGTGGATTGACGTTTGAAGCAAGTGTTGTTGAACCTGGAACGGAATGGTCATGCGTCAGGATTGTGAGACGCTGCTTGGCTGCCTTGAGACGCCGTCTGATCGACGTTGATTCACAACCCAAGGTAAGGTACGCTTGGCAAGAAAGATGGGGAAAGGGATTGGCGCTTGCCCGTCGTCCAGTGTGTCCTTGAATAGCTTTATGCATCACGCTAAATGGAGGAATATGGAAATAAAGATGGAAATAGAGTTTATTTGAGATGTTGATCAAGCTTGCTGATATACTAGTTCTGCAGTTCGCCGCACTGACTGAATGAGATGTATTCATATAGTTCGTCGCACAGACTGACGCAGAGGTCCCTCTCAAAGTTTTGCCTGGCGCTAGAAGCAACCCTTGGAATAAAACTATGGTGATAATATCCTATAAAACCCCAGAGCGGGCCCATTGCCGCCCTACTAGGCTCGCAGAGGTTACATGAAAATAGTTACTCTTTCTCCATACATGGGGAAGCCATCACTGACCTACCCCAATCTGCTACCTAGCTCCAGTACTGTGAGCTATTTCGGATAGTGGTATGTCACCCGGATGAAGACTGATGTACCCCGTAACAGCCTTGTAACCATTCTTGTTGAATCCCTGTTTCCGGAGTAGCCGCAGATACAACATTTTGAAAGCGACATTTGCCGAGTATACTGAGTCAGATGTAATACGTTTGATTTTTTGACGCACCAGACCAAGTCAGTGTTACTTACCGAGTCAGTAAACAATATCCATAAGTGATGACTTCGAAAGTGATCATTCCGTTCAACTCGTGGTCATGTCTTGATTGTATAAGTTCAAGTTGGTCGCCGCCAACTCTCAAGTCTATACTCCGATTTCCAGCCGTCAATTAACCTTACATTCTTATCTATACTGACCTTTGTTCATCTTTCTGAGCCTTCCTACCTGTAGCTGCCTGTAGCTAAAGAGCCATGAAATACTACCTGTTCGTCCTTGCTGGCTTGATAAGCCTTGCTGCACCAAGGCCTCTTGAGGCCCGACAGTTTCCACGCCCGTCGACTCAACTGCAGCCTCCTCGCCTGCCTCGCCCGTCGACTCAGCTGCAGCCGCCTCGCCTACCTCCCAACGCGGCGTCTGCCCAGCTCAATAATCCTCGTCCGGCTCCTCCATCAACTCAACTGCAGCCTCCTCGCCTACCTCCCCCGTCGACTCAGCTACAGCCGCCTCGCCTGCCTCCCCAGGCACTTGCTACTTGCAGGCCGAACCAGGTCCTTCTCGATGGCCAATGCGTGTCTCAGGGCACGAGACAGAGTCCAAATCAAGGCGTGACTGGGGGCTGCGACCCAGGTCAGGTCCGTCTCGACGGAGAATGCGTCGCGCAGCGCTGTCGCCCAGGCCAGACGCTTCTCGATGGGGAATGCGTTAATCAGCGCGGCCGGGGATTTTAGTCGCAGTTTGTGACGAAGAGCACCAGAAGAAGTAAAAGTTTATGTCGGGGAGCTGCATGTTGTTAAAAAGGCGAGGGATGGAACTGGAGCTAGAGTATCTAAAGTATCAGGAATACGGTGGCACTCTCAGGGAGATAAAAAAAAATTGATGTATCGTTGTCTGTTCCCTTGTTATGCTTGCAGAACTGTGGTTTTTTGCTCCCCAACCACCTTGGCTGGCTCGCCTCCCATGGTCACGTTGTAAGCCTCATGATAACGAAGCTTCTTCATAACAATACGCGATTCCTGCGTGCGCACTACTGTTCTTGTTACGCCGATATCATCACGACGGTTGTCAGCAATGACAACCTGCACGAGGGAGGCTGATGCCCGCCAGCGTAGTTTGTTATTTCATGTCGGGGTATGCGCCATCGTTGCCTGCCTGAGATACTCACAGGGTAGTACTGATATTTAGGGGTAAAGTGCCGTCTGAAGAACGGCGCCGAGAAATCCCAAGTCCTCGCCCTCCTCGGTCACCGGCTTGCCATTCTGGAAACCGTTGGCCAGGAAGAGACCTACGACTCTGGCAGTCTCAATGCGACGCTTCTCCTCGTCCGATGTCCCTCCAAGGTAGTGGCAGAAGCGATTCCTAAAATAGTCCCGGAGCTCCATGTGATTTGGATGGTAGCGCCAGAAATCTCCGCTTGTGGTGAGAGTTCCGAGCATGATCTCGACCGCCCCGAGCGACATGCCAAAGGGACTGACTTCGGCTCCTCTCCAATCGCAGATACCCGTGATCCTGCCCGTAGCGGGATCAACGTGAATATTGTTTTCGAGGAGGTCGATGTGGTTGGGTACGAGCGGCCACTCTGTGGGGACTGTGGCGAAGAGATCGGGGAGCTTGGGTATCACCTCGTCAAGCTTTGGGTGAAAACGTGCTGGAAGTCCTTGGCGCAGCTGTTGGAGCTGTGACAAGTACTTGCCCTCTAGCTGAGTGCGGTCTGGGCGTGCCATTTTGGCAGGTGTGTTATGATACGCGGAGGCAAAGAATCTGCAGCAATTCAGATGGATTAGTAGTCACTATAGCTTGAGAGCGTATTGTTAAAGTCAACAAGCCTTGCATAGTCATCAAGTGTGACTCGTAGGAGGTGGTAGTTGTCGCTTTGTAGTTCGGTCCGAGCCAGATACATGCAGATTCCGCCCATGTTGTTCATGGTATAGACCCTGGCCTGGCCAAGCCTGCCTCGATACTCGTGCTGTGGTGCGAAGCCGCGATACGCTTGTTCGATGCTTTTCAGCAAGTCCATGTCTAGATCAGAACTCGGGACGCGGAACTGGACAACGACTTGGCCGCCTTCAACAGTGTAGCTGGAACCGCCCTGGGACAGCGTGGCAGTAACGGACTGGCCTGCTATTTTTTCGGCTTCGGCGTTGCATAACTCTGGCGTTACAGAAGTGTTCTCCTGGAAGAACCTCTGTATCTGGTACTGAGACAAGGCGGATATATTTGGCGGCATTGCGTGTCAGGCTGTGAGGACTGACTGGTATATGTAGAGGTGAAATCGACCACAGCTAGGCTCAAGTGGCGGCCAAACAGCTGTCTGGAATAGCTGCCTGAGGCATGTTTGTACTTTCTAGTACTTTAAACAAGGACCACCCAAGGGTCCTCAGTTGCTTTGTAGGATGTATTAGAGGGAACTGATTTTCTTTGCACATTTATCCAATCTGCTTTTTACTAGAGGATAGTGCCTCGTACTTCGTAGGGTCGCGACTCGCGACCCCGAATACGCTCCAACAACGAGTCAGCGAGCTGTGGGGTACCATATACCATGTGACACATGCTAGAGGAGGAAATTGTCTTCACTATGCACTCGAGCTTCTACAAATTAGTTACATACTCATGTGTCGAAATAACATGAGGGACTTGTCTAATTGGAAGATTGTGATTGGTGGGCGGTAGGGGCCACAAGGCTGGTTCTAGATAAGTACATTCTGAAATTCTTAGAATTTAACCCTAAACAATGTAGAGAGGATCCCCGTGCTCGCGTGGTACTACGAAGATTGATGTGCAATCATGGTAACATGATGACGCGGCTGCGAGAAACAGTTACGAAATCCATCCTTCAATTTGTTGGGACGCCTCTTCATGCGCCATCTCGATCACCATCTTGATAGCGTGAACAGGCCGGACCGAGTTCCTGGCAGGGCGAATGCGGGGTTGTGGCTTGATTTAACTTTCGGTCGTCGCCATGAGTGGTGGAAGATGAAACGGCAATGCATTCCTACATGTGATGCAGCTGACTCTGGGGTATTATTTTCAAGAAAACATAGATGACTCTGTCGTGGGACCACGCAATCATATCGACTATTCGGCTTGTGAGATTTGTTGAGGGTTCTAACTAGAGTGCCTCGCAGCAGGCTCATAACAGGGTTTTCGAGACCCCTTGTCACGACGACAACTAGTATAAAAAGCTTCAATACAGCAGTCCCAGTTCAATCGTGTGAGAATTGCTGCAATTATACCGACCCGACTACGAAATGGCCGTCCAATCTGCGTGGCGTATCCCGCTGCAGGTCTCGATACCCTTGAGCATCCTCATGATCATCTTTGCCACCTTTTCATTTACTGGATTTTATAGTCCATTCAGAAAGGATGGCCAAGCCCTGTTGTTCACTACAAGTCGCACGCCGGTAAACGCCCTCCCCATAAAATTTGCCCAGACTGCGCTAATCTACGAAAGACGGACGAGCATTTTCTGAACCGTCGAAAAGCATCCGCTCCTTGGGTCTATCATGCACTGCATGCGGTCCCGGCCATCATCTGGAGCATTGCCATGCCCCTGCAACATGTCGATAGTGTACGCAAGAGATGGCCCGTCGTCCACCGCGTGGCCGGATACACCATTCTCTCCCTCTCCATGGTGCTCAGCACGACGGGCTACTGGTTCTTCTTGTCCAACAACGCCTATACGCACAGAAACGTATTCCATATGCACAGCTTCAAAGGCCTTGGGTCCGTCAGCTGGCCGACCTTTGAGTTCACGCTCTGGATCATCGGTCCGTTTTACTGGCTCACGATATACAAGGCGGCCGTCACGGCGCGGGCCAAGGACTTTGCGCGCCACCGGAAATGGGCCGTGCTGCACACCATCTGCGCGAGCTACATCAGTCTTGAGCGGGTGGCCTACGTCACGCTCCTAGGTATCGGCTTTGCACTAAGCTTCTTGCCCCGGGATATGGTCCACGAGTTCTTTGGGGTGGGCTACTCGGTCGAAGAGATGGCCGAGGCCGAGCTCAGCGTGTTCGCGCTGATGAACGTGCTTGCTCATGCCATGATGTTGTCCTGGCTGGCTTTTGAGTTTACGCGGGCAGGATATTTTGGTGACGTCAAGGGCTACCTGTCTTCGCGCACTGAGAAGAAGAAGGAGCTGAACAAGGTCGAATAGACAAGAGGGCGAAGACGAGGAAACGTCGAGGGAAAGCTCGTTCATTGGTAGATCACAAGGCCGATGCATGTACACTAGTGTCGCTCCGGGTCATCATAAAGCGCTAGATTAATGGTGAATAAATCAATTCAAGGCAACCGCCCACGCCGCTACAGAGGCAAAGCTGCTTAAACCTGAAGTAAAAATAGAAAAGGCCATCCAACGCCAAAAAGCTCCAGATATGCAGTGAACATAGTCCCAACGAAGCAAGGCAATACTGTAATTATTAGTCTACTGCGGTCATATTCGGGTTGCCCTGCTTGAGAATCGTTTTCTGCTTGGGGAGATTATCCAAGAGCGAGTCGGGCAGGTTCAGGTGATCCTTGACCGTCTGCTTGGGCGTGAGCGCGAGCCACTGGGCGACGGAGATGTCGGTAAACTTGGGCGCGAGCAGGACCTCGAGGAAGACGAGGTCCTCGGTGCCCGTGTTCTCGACGTAGTGCGCGGCCGCGCGGGGGATGTAGCCGACGTCGCCGGCGGTAAAGTCAAACGTGCGGCCGGCGTCGGGCGCCTTGTAGACGGTGGCGCGGCCGGCGCCCTCGAGGAAGTAGTCCCACTCGTCCGACGACGTGTGCCAGTGCATCTCGCGCATGGCGCCGGGGCGCACCGTCACGAGCGCGGCCGAGAAGCCCGCCGCGGCGGGAAACGTGGTCGGGTCCAGGATCTTGACGGTGCCGCCGGGCGTCTCAAACGGCGCCTGCCGCGACCAGTGGTACGTGTAGGCGTGCGCGGGGGCGACGGCGCCGGCCGGCCCGGTGACGTTTTGCTTGCGTATGTCGTCGGGCTGCGGCGTGCCGTTGAAGATGTAGAGCTCGCCGCGCGGAATGTCCTTAAAGGCGTCGACGGGGGCGTCAAAGTTCTTGGCGAGCACCGACGTCGGCGTGCGCGCAAACATCTCCGACACCAGAAAGGTGCCGTTCTCGTCAAAGTCGCCCTGGTCAAAGACGAGCAGGAACTCGACGCCGTCGGCCAAGGCCTGGATCGAGTGCGGCACGCCCGCCGGGAAGAACCAGACGTCGCCGGCGCACAGGTCGTCGGTAAAGGTCTGCGACTCGTCGTTGATGGCGGCGACGCGCACGCAGCCGCGCAGCACCAGCGCCCACTCGGCCGCCGTGTGCCAGTGCAGTTCGCGGTATGCGTGCGGCGCCAGCTTCATGTCCACGCCCGCCATGTTCGTCGCCGCCGGCAGCACGTCGGTGTTTTGCTGCCGTGCCCAACCGGACCGCGTGCCCGTGCCGAAGCGGTTGTGCGAGAGGCCCATTGGCCACACGGCGTTGGGCACGCTCCCGGCGTCGGTGCCTGGCGGCGCGAAGAGGTCCGGGTTGAGCTTCTCGTACTGGTACGTGCGCGCGCCGTCGGCTGTCGCGGAGCCGCTGCTGCCGCGGAGGGGAACCGGCTTCTCGACGCTGTTGAGGTCGAGGTAGAGGCCGAGGTCGGCGTCGGCGGACTGCCCAGGGACCAGGGTCGGGTCCTGGACGGAGCCACCGTCCTGGACGGTCAGGTCGGGGAGGGGGGCGTTGCCGCCGAGGAGGCTGCTGTCGCCGCGGAGGCTGCCGACCGGAACTTGGACGCCAGTGACGGGGGGCGTGACGCCGCCGATCGGGCCTTGATTCCCGCCATACTTGATTCTGGGTTCCGACCTGTCAGCACCTTGTCATGCAGCAAAAGAGTTCGTCATGTCCTTACTGTGGCGCCGAGTAAGCACTACCTGTCCACGACAGCAGTAGTAATGTTTTTGAGCTAAATATCATCGTGGCTGCAGTAGATCCGATGTCGTAGCCGCTAAAGATGGAGTGACAGATTACTTTTTGAAATAGACTTGCGAATAACGCCCGAAGTGCGAGGACTGTCTTGCTTCTTAAATACCCTCCATCGAGCAGTGCTTGGACGTCGAAGGCTCGGCATCTTGATGCCGTCAGGCTTGCACGAGTCAATATCGTCATGCGAGTGTCCAGGGATCCGGGATCCGAATCTAGTCTCGATGAGCCGCCGCTAATAAATCCAGTTTCCTCGAAGCCTCAACACGAATTACATCCATGGCCATTGGTGGACGATCGGCAGTCTAGTTCTGGAGGCCGGCGCCGCGTAGCTCCCACCCACGGTATGTGTGCCGTACAGGCTAAAAAGCGAATTTCTTCGCACAAGCTAAATGACAGAAAAAAAAACTAAAAAGGCGTCTGCGACCGCCCGCCCGCCACCGTAGTAACGTCATTGACGATGCTACGACGGCACAGGGGTCCGGTGAAGAAGGCTGTCGCTGCACTGCCCCTCGGAGCTATCTTCACTCTTCCAAGCTATCTCTCAGCCAAAGCGGCGTTGAACCTTGAACCATGCGCTCCCGCGCCTCTCGCCGTTCTAGGTGGAACAAGTGATCCCAACTAGTTTCCTCATCGTCCGCCACTCGATAGCTAGGCCATGCCGAACACCCGATTGCCTTGCATATCGCCCCGTGGGAAGCCAGCAAAAAGAGGGGTCCGAGATCCGCATCGGCCGGGGACTTGGGGACGCGGGAGCGTAGCCAGGAAGGACGTCCGTGTGCACACACACGACCAGAAACTAATACCCAAAGCAGGTCCGTGAAGTCGCAACCAAGTGGGAGTGGCGGCGTGGTGGTGGTGAGCTGGCAACCCCCCTCAAGTATACGCGGCGCCGTCATAACCGGAGTTCTACGGAAGAGCTGAAGACATGCCTTTGCTTGGCGTGTGTCTATTTCCTGGCCTGGTCTACGGCTGCAGTAATGGTCCCCGTTTGAGCCGGATGACCGAAATGGAAGCGGTAGATGGGCGGCAAAGAATGCGACAGTACCGCTTATTCACGGAGGGCCGGAGAGCGCTTTTTCTTTTGTCTTAGCTGCGGTTATGCTATCATGGCAAAGAGTTGCCAAGCAATTTGCCATAAAGCTGTATACCGCTATGACCTCATGGAAACGGATAGTAGCACCGGAAGCCGCTGCTCGTGAGCTCATTGGACAATAGCGCAGAGCTTTTGGAGAAAATGGCTCGAATAAATAGCGCTAGCTGGGGTAGCGAGATCGGTTACCAGAATCCCGATGCAAAAATCCCCAAAAGCCGTCACCGACAATTGACTAACAGTAACAAAATCTCCAGGTGGCCGTGCGAGCAGATTCAACATGAATCCTTGCATCTCATACCCAGCTTGCGACGTGGCAAGTCTATGAGCCAATACTATCCGGATAGCACGTGCCTGGGACCGCAAGTACACACTTTGCTGCATGATTTTGCTCCATGAGATAATACTCAGTTGGAGGCAGCACGTGGAGGATACCAGAGCATCCGTCACAGACCCGAAGTCGTTGCCGCATCTCGGCGTACTAGTCACGCTATGCCATCGGGGCGCAGAACTAGGAGCAGCGGCAGCATTGTTTACGAAGAGAAAGCCGATCCGGGCAGGCTAGAACGATGGGTGGTGAGCGGAAAGGTCCTGAATTTGTAGAGCGAACGGCGCACTTATACTAGAGTATACAACCCATCTGCACTCGACATGACCGGAAGAGCCCGAGGCCCAGGACAAAAACCACGAGAACATTCCTTTCGGATGTTCGGCGTTGCCACTGCCAGCGCCTGCCTGATAAGACTGCCTATTTGAGTTATGTGCAAGCGATACTCTGCATATACTTCCGCCACAGGCTGCACATGCACGCCAAGACAAGCCCGGGCGAAGAGACACTAGGCGATACATCATTTGGCATAGTTACACTATACGTTTGCATATTTTGATTAAAATTATTCAAAGTAGATGCATAACACGAGAAAATGACCGACGATCAAAGCCGGTCAAGCATCTCCAGGGATGTGTCGCGCCAACATGATCGAAGTTGTGCACGCCCACTAAAGACACGCTTCCGCTTGGCCGAACAATGATGAAATATTGAAAGAGGCTGAGTAAAGAGACAGCTCAGAATGGTGAATTGTGGCGGCGGAGAAAGATCAAGAGCTATGAGCAGCAGTTCGCCTGTTGCGGCGCACTCGGGCACCTTGCCACGGACAAGATGGTAGAGAACCGACTATTCAATCATGCCACATGGGCCTTGTTTTGTTAGTATTCGAGAGGAACTTATAAACCAATTTCTGCGACCACAAACTACGACCGACAGCGGACTAGGCCTTGAGGGTGAGTGCCGCTCCAGCATGCTCGCCCGTGGCTCTACATATCGTCAATCCGGGAAGCGATGCCAATGCTGAAAATACATGGCAAGAATTGTCTGGTTTGCTGTTGCTTGGATGTAAATCGACAGCAGAGCGCTGACTGAGTGGAATAAAGTCAGGGATAAAGTATTGGGGCCAATTGGGTTTTCTTAGACACCTTGTAGTATGCATCCAGAAGGAGCTTCTCGTCATGGCCAGCAGACGAGTCCGTTTTGGAAAGGAGCGAGACTCATTTATCGCATAAGGCCTTGTCCAATATTGGAGGAATTTGGCGATACCTTAAATTTTGCGTCGAGCTGCTTTAATCCCGCCAATGCTGCCTGCAACATCATCGTCGACATTGACAAGCCCATAAATGCTTGGCTGTGGTATGAAATGTGCGTCGCGTCGCCCAAGAACTGAGTTAGACAATGCTTCTGGATACCAATTTTGGAGCTTTAAACTATATGAGCTGTAAGTCGGCAGTGCCGTGGCTATTTAGGCCGCCTTGTGCGTAGGAACAGCGGTACTCGTCTCGTCGGTTGAATTACTCCATCTGTGACGAACTGGACGCATCAACGGGGAAGCAGGTAGCGGAATAGGGCCAGCACGAACATGGAGTGGAAGATGAAAGAATTGGATGGCCTTGGGCAATAGCTTTATGGGGAGCCAGCCTTGACAATGATTTGAGCATCACTACTCGGGATGCTGATGTCGGTAAGAAGTCGATGCACAAGGCGCGGGTGGCGTCCATGTTATTTTCTGAATCGACATTACAACAAGAGAGTCAAACAACCGAATCCGATATTTGACAGACAGTTTTGATCTTGTACAGCCTTGGATTGTTCAATACAATAGAAGTGGCCGCGAGCTCAACTCGTCTGCTGATCGCCGAAATCCCGTTGACTATGGGAGAGCGTTGCAATGTGATGACGGGAAACGGCGAAGCAAACAACTTCCGACATCAATGCAACAGCACGGTTTCTAAATAAAGCAGTTGTTTGTTTCCCCATAGGCATCCTACAAAGTAGCTCTAGATGCCTCCAGGCAACACGCAATCTCTGACTCGAACAAGGGGAGTCATGAGAACCTCCGATCGGAACTTGGGGGCTTGATCAAAAGAACAATGGCGTCGCCTCATCAACTGCAAGTTGGCTTGATTGGTCGAACTTTTGTCATGTATCCACCAAAATGGTATCAGATTTATGGTTCCGCTGCAGCCCTGACGGAAATATTGACAAGATGAAGCCTCGTTGCGCCCCAAATAGGCAGCTGCCCACAAGACGGCGTGACTCAAATGAGGCCAACTCTGCCGTCCTTCCGTGCCACTTGCATGCCTACTGCCAAAGGAAAGCATGTTGAATAAAAAGTCAGTACTTCCAATCCTGGTTTCCCGCCGCCTTGTCTCTGTACAGGTAGAGTATTCCCGGCATCGCCAAGTCTGGCGTCCATACACCACCCAGCCGCCGCCGCCGTCATGGGCTGCACATCCTCCAAACCTTCCAGCCCAGCCATGGCCATGGCCAAGCGTCTAGAGGAACTGGGACCGACGCCGGAGCTCGAATGGGCACACCGACCCATCTGGGGCCAGTACATCCACTACCTGTACGAGCAAGCCAAGGGCAACAACAGCACCCAACAGCTCCGCCAGAGCTTCCGGCCGGTCGTCAACAGCACCGCGCGGGATTTCCTCGCGCTCGAGTATCCGGAATGCGCCGAGGCCGGCACCATCTCCAGCATGCGCGACGAGGAGTGGCCCTTTGGCAGCGCTGGCGCCGCCAACCCGTCCGTCGCGACGACGCTGTGGATGACGGTCGACCAGGGCCAGAACGGCATCTTGTACGACTGCACGCTCGTCATCCACAGCCCGGCGGCGTGGACGAGCATCGCGCGCGCGCCGCAGACGAAGCTTGCGCAGCGCTACCTCGCCTCTGTCGTGCAGGGGCTCGACGAGGACGGCGTCAATGTCAGGCATGCGGTGCTCAGCGTCGTCGTCGGCGCCGTCATGCTCTCCGCGCGGTATAAGCCGCGCAACTTGATGCCGAGCTGCGCCCTGGTGAGCGAAAACGCCGGCCCGGAGATTTCGCAGCCGACGGCGCGCGACGAGGGGAGCGACGATCCGGGCAGCCCGCAGCACCGCCTCTTCCGGCCGCGCCTCTTCATGTCGGTCCTCGACAGCCTCGAAACCAGCTACCCGGGGTGCACCGTCTGGGACGCGGGAGAAATGACGTTTGATATCGACGATGCGCCATACCCGTACCCTGCGCGGCTCCTGGTCTGCCGCGCTTTCGAGCAAAGAAACAGCGACGTGAAGACCTTTGATTTCAGAGTCCGCTGCCCCGGCGACAACGGCAGAGATGTAGTGGCGACGCTTGTTCGCGCGCGCGACCCGTCAGATGATCCCGGCGGCATCGTCTGCCTCGCCGTGGTTGTCCCCGTCGACCCCCAAGAAGCCTGGCCGAAGCGCGACCTGGACAAGCACCGCCCCGTCATGCTTGCCGCTCTGACGCAAGCGTCCAAGCACGGCATGGTCATGGCCTTTCGGGGCGGCTTCGACCGATGCGCGCTGCGCGTCTGGGTCGGGCAGGACACAACACACTACATGCTCATCACGCCGCACGCCAAGGGCGAAACGGCAGAGCACGTGCGGCAGTTCTCCGAGGTGCTGTTTGGCGGCTCCCTCACGTCTCTGACACCGGCCGCCCATCCGCAGGACATGGCCGACCTGGAGGAGACCTTTGGCGTCCAGACGGAGAGGAAGGACGAGCACCGGCTGTGGGACTCGGAGAGCCACTTTCAGCACATCCGCCACCAGATGCGGCGGCGAGCAAAGGCCTTCCCGGCGCGGTACGAGCGGATGGGCCTCGTCGCCGGCCACCAGAGCGCCGTCGCGTTCATGGAGCGGAACTTTGCCGGATGCGTGATCGCCGACGAGGGCGAGCTGCCGCAGTCGAGCGCCGCGCTGCCAGGGGCCCGGGTGGAAAACACAAAGGTCCTGGTCGCGAGGGATCCGGAGCAGGTGCCGGGCAGCATCGTCGCGGTGCTCGTCGCCGCGCCGTGTCCAGTGCCGGGATACAGCGCCATGACGGCGGACAGGGCGAAGACGTGGCTCGGCACGCCGGAGATGCGGAGTGCTGAGGAGGCGTTGATGGCGCTGTTGAAGACGTGGCATGGCGAGGGCAGGATTTCCAAGCGAGACTGCTTCGTGCAGGTCATGATGGGGATGGATGCTACGATTTACCAGTTTGTCGATGGGCACAAGTTTGTCGACCCGTCGGAAGAGCGCATGAGGCGCATCAGGTGGCAGTGACTGTTGGCTGACGCTGGTGATGCTTCTGATTTTGCTATCCTGTTTTGAGATTTCATCATGATCCTTGAATAATATCCTTCATAATAATATACATTCAACTCTCAACATGAGGGGCACATGATTCACCGCCACTTGTCAACGACCTCGGAATGACTCTACAGCTGGTCGACCAGCTTGTCAGCCACATGGTCAATGTTGTAGCCATAAGAATCGGTCGACGTCTGCGACAGCCTGTTAGCTTGTGATATACGACCGCGACGAATAAGCACGTATCTTGCATACCTGAATATAGAGGACGCCGTTCTCCACCACGACCTCGCCGTAGCTCTCCTTCAGCTGCGCCTTGTCCACGATGCGGAACTCAATGCGGCCCGACGCGACCTCCTCGTTGAAGCCCTCCTGCAGCATCTCATCCGAGTCAAACTGGAAGCGAACGAGGGCGTCGGCGACGGCGCTAAAGTACCGGTAAACCAGTGCGCCGAGGTTCTCCTTAAAGTCGGCATGGTTGGCGGCGCCGAGCTTGGCGTACGCGGCCTCGAAGCCCGGCTCGAGGGTGTACTCCTTCTTGAGCGTGGCGGCAATGCGGGCGCGCACGTCGGCAATGGTCTCCTCGTAGTTCTTCTTGATGTCGATGCGCGTCTCGTAGCCGATGCCCGCGCTCGGCACCGCGTTGAGCGCCGTGTTGATCTTGCGCTCCTCAAACACGCTGTCAATGTTGGTCGCGAGGTTGCCGTCCTGCCACAGGATGGCGAGCTGGCCGGCCGGCGTGATGCCGCAGCCGCAGTAGCTGATCTTCTTGTCCACGTCGAGGTCCATGATGAGCGTGCGCGCCGTCGCGAGCTTGTTGATCTCCTGCTTGCCGTCGGCGCCGTAGTTGTCAATGTACCGGCCGAGGCCGCTGATGGCGCAGCGGACATATCTATCGAGCGAGGAATATGTGAGCTGCTTGCGGGTTTTGTGTAGCTGCGTCTTGAAAGTTCTCTTACTCTGCAATCATGGCACCGGTGGATTCTTTCGCGTATGAGCCATCCTCGCCATAGGGGTAGATGTTCTTGGGGTCAATGTCGATGGTCCACGTCTCTCCAAGAATGCTGCTCAATTTCTTTTCGCTCTCCTCCTTCTTCGACTCCCAGTTGTCTCGAACTGCACTCGTTAGCAGCGAATCATATGTGGCAGCAATGAGCACATACTGTCCTTGCGGATGGCGAGGGGAAGCTTATCGGCGGGAGGAAGGCGACTCATTTTGGAGATGTAATCAAGACAAAGCTACTCAGGCAATTGAGAAAGAAGGGGACCAAGATAGTCGGCAGTAATGTCTTTTAAGCGGGAAAGGTGTGTCTGAATTGGATGTAATTGTCCTCGGCGGGAGCAACGTGAGTCTTTATAGGTATCAACCCCAGATCCCCAAGATCAAGGGGTGCACCAAGCACAAATAACGCCCTGCTCAAGTCTCGACGCCATACTCTCTCGCAAAAGTTACCAACACAGTCTGGCTTGGAGTTTGTTCAGGCCAGGCACACAGTATTCACCCCGCCGACGAGCCAAGACCGGCAGCTACGTGCCGCGTTCAGCCTTGGTGATCTCCACGACCCCCTCTTTGTAATTTAGACAAGCTTCAATTTAGCCTTTTCTCTCTTTTCTCTCTGGGGAGTGGTTGGGCCAACGCCACCACGGGGGACGCCACACGCGAAGCTGAAGCCCCGTCCGTGTCAGCCCCGTTAGGCGTTTTGCCAGGCACAGGGCACTGGCTGACCGAAAGGGGAAGAAACGCGGGCCGTTGTTGTTGAAATTGAATCGAGGGATAAAGCTGCCGATGCGTGAATAAGAAGGAGCCGGTTTGTCTGAGAGCTGGCCGTCGACTCATACACTGCTGCCTAGGCAGACACGATTGAAAACAATGCCGCTGTACGTTGTCGCACTCACTTGGTGATGCTGTTGGTTCAGTCACTAACAAATATAACTTGCAAAGGCCATTGAAAGCCCGTGTTGCTGTGCGCGACCTGTGGGAGCCCGATACCTCGGCCGTTCAAAAGGCTCTCCGAAGCATCCAAGAGACAGTCGGCTGGTCGGTCCGGTGCACGCCCGATTTCGGCGTCCTCTGGGAAGCGCTCCAGACGGTGTACCCAGATGCCGGCGAATTTGTGACGGCCGTTGCCGCCTTGGTGCGGATCTGGTGCCAGGAGCTCGACAATCTGCTGAGCGACGCCGCCAACGAGGTATGGGCTGAAAAGTTTCTCGAAATTGTCGGCGAGTCTGCCGGCAAAGCCGTCATCCTTGTCGTACATGTAAGCAAGACCCTTCCCCCCTCTCCCTCATCTCGCGGTATCAACTGACCCAAGGGCCTGGGGCTTAGATTGGCAAACCTAGAGTCGCGGGTAGTACATGGAACCCCTCGTCGTCAGCGTTTACGCTGGCGCTGCCGAGCACCCGCGTCACCTTTGCCCCCGACCACGCGGCCGAGCTGCGCGCCGACATTTTCGGCGCCTTTGAAGCAAAGGAGCCGTCTGCGTCTGCGCCGCCGCCCGAGGACTGGGCCGACCTGGGCGATGTCACGTCCGCGGTGGTGGTGGCCCCGGTCGCGGCCAAGGGCGCCGCATTCTTGCCGACGCTCAACGACGTGCCGCGGCCCGACGTGCTGCAGCTGCAGCCGCCGTACCGGCTGATGGTGCATGATCGAGGCAACCACATCGAGGTGCACTGCAGCCACGGCCCGTCGCTCGAGCTGCTGGCGGGCTATCTCGAGAAGTGGTGCCGAGCGATCCCCGGCCGCTCCGACCGTGTAAGTCAACCCCCCCCCCAACAATTCATGCTTGCCCGAGTTGCCGTGAGCTGACGAGTAGCAGCCTGCCTTGATGAATGTCCGTCTCAACAAAAGCGCGTTTGGGCTTGGTGTCGTGTACGACGCGCTGACGATTGCGCCGCATGACACGCGCGAGGGCACGCTGCTCCCTCCAGTTCTGATACTCAGTCTGGTGGAAAATGTACTGGGTTACAAGCTCGCGCACGAATATCCTCAATCTTGGCGTTTTATTCGGGAAGATCCTCTAAAGACTGCAGCCTAAGCCGGTATTTCATCAATCATAACTGCGTCCCTGTCCGTATCCTGTCAAAACTTCTTGCCTTCGGTTTGGAGCTGCCAGTGTCCCGCGTCCTCGGTCAGCGACGCCTTGACGGACTGCGCCGCTTCTCGTAGACTATCCTGAGATTCAGGGTTCCTAGCAGGCCACCCGCCCCTTGTCGAGCTTCCCGCACTCAGAAACGCGACCGCCAGAGTCGACGACTTCCAGTCTGCGTGAAGCTTGCTCCGGTAGCCCATAATCATCACGATACCGAGGAACAAGACTTCCAAGAGAAAAACGACACCGAAGAATGTAATGTACCCCCAGTGGATACGAATGCACGTCTTTTCCACAATCGTTGTGCCCCGAGCCTCCCGAAGCATGCTCGGGCCGGTCGCGCCAATCCTCATTTGCGCGCCGAGGGACGTCGCCAGGCCGCTCGCAAATTTGGCCACCAATCCGGTTTCGGTAGAGCCGTTCCGCCAGAGATAGCTCTGCCACGCCGTGGTACCCGACAGCTTACTGTTAGTAAAGAATGTATCTCCAAGAAACAAGGCCAAGTACAGTCCTCCGTAGAACTCGAACACGCACTCCGGTGAGTACCAGACAGCGGATGGCGACGGCGAATTCTCGAGAAAGGGCCCTGAGAAGACGGTGACTGTATTGGTATCGCTTGGTTTGTCTGTGCCAGCACACTGTCCCCATGTGCCGTTCAGCATGGTACGGTTCACTGGGAGCTGAAACATGCCAGCTTTGCTCGGCGCTATGTAGTGAAGGTATTCTTCCGAGATGACCTTCTCACTATACTGGCCGCGGTCCATGTTTGCCGCAAAGGTCTGGACGCAGGGAAAGAGGGAAAAGACAAACGCAGCCGGCCTGAAGCGTGCATTGTATTGCGGGACCAATGTGCAGAGCGGCGCTTTGCAGGTGGTTGAGTTATCCTTGACCATGCTCAAAATGTATACATCGAGGACGCTGGTGCGGTTCCACGGGTTACTGTCGGACTCTTTAAATGATGTATCAGGCATCTTGACGTAGCTCATCCGGATACTATCCCCTCCCTGTATCGTGCTTTTGGAACCCAGGGAATACACGTACCCATTGCTGGTATGATTCACCTGAATTCGGTCACTAATGTCCCATGTCTGAGAGCACATTGTCAAGCTTGTAAATGTCGCGCCGCCATCTTCTGGAAATGTGCAGTTGCCAGTGGTGCATGACACGGAGACGCTCACAGAGCTGTTTGCTGGCGGTTCCAGGATGCCCCGGTACGCTGCCAACTGCATCGGGAGGTTAAATGTATCGGCCATCATCTGATTGTAATGTTCCAGATCCAGGGTATAGTTGCTGGCCCGAGGGATGCTTGCAGTATCCGTTCCGTTTTGAGGACAATTCGAAAGCGAAATCGTAGCCTGGGCAAATGGATCTGTCACCAAAATTACAAGAGCCAGCGCGGCTCCCAAACTGGCGAGGTAGCTAGTGACGGTATTAATATTTGCCTCTCGAGTCTCCATTTGGCGTGTACTTACGCTTTCGACTCAGATTTAAATTGCCCAAAAATCATCAGCGCTGAGCCCCAGGCTCCTCTGCTTGCTCGGTCGTAAACGTCCAGCTCAGACAAAGCTCGTGGTTGCTTTGCAAACATGAGCCACTTCAACTGGCTGATGCCTATCGATACGGTTAGAAGTCTTGAACAGTAGAAGAAAGACGCGGTATATTCCTACCTTCAGTCACTGGTAACGCCAGTGATCCTTTGAAAACTGCTGACAGAACAGAAATGACGGCGTTAATGGAAATCTTGGGCGTCCATTCATCCAGTCGTCGGTTCTCATAGACATCGAGGACGATAATGATGGAAGCCAAACTTAGGACACTGACAAACAAAGACAGCATTTCCCACGCCCAGAGCGAAATCCCAGTAGACAGTTTTTGGCGTCGCCCCTGACTTCCAGCCACGCCTCCGTGAGTGCCGTTCTGGACTTCGCCTGTGCTCACGGCACGGTACCCGTCGGCTAATCCGCCGGAATGCTCCGAGGAGTGTACTGACGGGACCGGCTTGCGGCGAATCTGCGCGGCGGAGCTTGGCGTTCTGTGTGTAGAAAGTAATGGCCGCTGCATGACGGCTTCACTCTGATGCGAATCGCGCTTTCGTTTCAAGAAGACGATGACACCGAGTACAATGAGTCCGGCAGCGAAGCACGAGCCAATACCCACACCCATCCTCGCTTCGGGGCTGAGGCCGTGATCATGAGCTATACTTCCAGTAGTGTAGGTGAGCCTGACCTTGTTGAATCGCTCAGGGTCAGGGGGCTGCTCGAGCTTGTCGTCTAGGCTGTACTGGACGTGGATTCCGTATGCGCCGATGGTTGCAGCGGTCACTGTCGACGTGACAATAGACCGTATCGATCCATCGGAAACTTGTGTGATGGGCAGCACAGTGGTGGTGTTTGTAATGACTTGCATGCATGCAAAACTGGTGGGCAAAGGATGGCTCGAATTGCCTCTCGTGGCGCACCGCAGCGCTCCGGTCTCGAGCCTTGAAGGGACAGTCTGAGTTAGAGGGAATGGTATAATTTAAGGCGCAAAAGGGCATCATACTGGGGACAGCAATAAGCATCCACTCCCGCAACAGTGATTCTATCCATCATGGAACCGCAAACGTTGGCGTATCCAGACGGACATTGCCCTGGAGTGTAATAGTAGTCGGGCTGCGGCTTGAAGCCCGGCGGATAGCATCCCTCTGTCACCACGGGCCCTCTTACTAGATACGAGCCACCATCTTGATTGAAGAACTCTGTGTAACCAGTATTTGAGGCGCAAGACGGGCTAGGCGTAAATACCGTGGTCAATGGGCCGAGAGTGGACATGATCCCTGCGACGAGCGTTGGCGGTCGCTCCCCGTGGTCTTGAGTAAAGCCGAATCGAATCGGCAACTGTGGCGACAGAGAGAGTCTTTCTAGACATTTCGATCAAGACAGATTCCGAGTTGCAAGAGGGAGGAGCAGGATCAGTAATTTATACCTAGTATTGGACACAAGGCTGCAGGATTGGGTCTGACAGGCGTCCTCGCCAATCAGAATGCTGCAGCTGGGATGAGCGCTTAGCAGATGCATAGCTGAAAACCGTATACACCGTGTTATTATTACTCCGTATTATTGTCACTCCGTACTCTGTAATATGTACAGCGGCTTATTGCGCCACGATGAGAAATAATGTTTCAAGCAAAAGCGTTGTTCTCAGCCCCCAATATATCGGGTATCCCGAATGGAGGGGAGGGCTCATACTTTGTTCACCCGAGCGGAATTCCAGCAGACAGCTTCTGGCGTCGCCCCTGATTCTGAACTCATAATTTAGGTACTCCCTCGACTGCGGCATCTTACCAAACGTACGTGCTCTACATTCTTTCCAGGCATTCAGAACTGTAGCACAGACTACATCTGCTCTGGAGACAATACGGAAAGTCCCCTCCTCGAGCCACCCTCGCTCTGACGCCATGTGTGAATGGGCGTGCAAAACGTTTGCAGTCTGTAGGCGTGATCCCCAACACATACAACGAGATCATATTATCTATTGTACGCCCCAGAGAGCTCTTGCAGAGGTCGCATGTCTACCAGCCTCTGGATCTTTGCGCAATCTTCCCTTGAGTCTGGATGTTCAAGACACGAATTTACCGGGACCTTGTCCTCCGTGTGCTGGACTCACACCGTCGAATTCTTCTGACTAGACAGGTCGTACGCCAAAAGCCAGGCGCCAACCTCAAGGCCCGGGGTTATTACCGCTTATTTGACGAAACAGGTTGGCATCACCCCACTCTTGAGAAACAGATAGCTGGCGAGCCCTGTTACGAGCTGCCTCTCCGAGATCCAGAAATGTACTACAGACAGTCAGTCTAGTCAGTGAGGCAGGCTGGGTGACGCACAATGGATTGATGCCTGTGACTTTGAAGATCTCGACATCTACCTCTTCAAGATTGACAGTTGGGCATGTTTTGGAATAGAGATCGAGAATGAGATATAAGGGAGACGAATAGCTGTTACTAGATATACGCAGAGAGTAGTCTTTTCCAGGTTGAACATCTCGCCATTCGAAGAATGCTTGGATGATTGGACTTAGGGGCTGAAATGGCCGTTCGCGATATCGAAGGATCATCCGCACCGGAGTCGGCTGGCTCATTGCATCCTGCATTTCATGGAGGTAGTCTGACCCGGCGATGGACAAAAAGACAGGTGTTGGGAAGAATCGAGAGTGAGACAGGGAGTGAGGGGTATGGAATAAATAACCGCCGACGGTAGGTAGGGGTTATGTAATCAGGCATGAGACAACAGTCCGGTCGCTGGGAGATATATTGGCGACAGGGATAAACAGAATTTGAGAAGTTGAGGGAGAAGCTATCAAGAAACATGGCTACATTTATGTTTTGAACAAGTCGTAATAAGTAAAAGTAGGTCATCAATGAGCTCCTGCACACCGCCCAGGCACCGTCCGGCAGAAAAACAGCATCCCACCACCAGACTCCCCCACCTCGGGCTTCGAGTCATCAAAATCGTGACCAGCTTCATTTTCCTACCATTTCGATTCCCCTCTCTCCGGAATCGTCCCGTCCTCCTCCCCGTCACGACATTCCCCCGCATCGCGACCGCCAAGCTGTTTGCCCTCCGCTCCCTCGCCACTCCCCTCCGGAGCCGCCCCAGCACCGCCACCACCCACATCCGCCGCCGCCATCTGCAGTCCGCCATGGCCGCCCTCAGCGCGCAGACCTTTTCCCCCGCCGAGGAGTCGGAGATCCAGAAATGGGTCGCCGCCTCGGAGAGCATCCGGTCCGGGGCCGACGGCAACAACGCCGGGCACCTCGACGCCCTCGAGACGCACCTCGCCACGCGCACCACGGTCCTCGGCAGCAAGCCGTCCCGCGCCGACGTCTCCCTCTACCAGACGCTCGCGCCCGTCGTCGCCGCCTGGTCCCCCGACGAGCGCTCCGGCGTCCACGGCCGCCCCAACATTGTCCGCCACCTCGACTTTGTGCAGAACGCGGCGTCCGTGTTTGAGCTCGCGGTCAAGGACAAGGTCCCCATCGACCAGGACGACGTCCGCTACGTCAAGCCCGTCGTCGACGCCAAGGCCGAGAAGGAGCGCCTCAAGAAGGAAAAGGCCGCCGCTGCTGCTGCCGCTGCCGGTGGTAGTGGTGCCGCCGCCGTTGCCGCCACCGCCACCGACCTCGTCGACCGCACAAAGGAAAAGGTCAAGGAGCTCGCCGCCGACGCCCAGGAGGCCGTAGCCCCCAAGCAGCAGAAGAAGGAGAAGAAGGAAAAGGCGCCCAAGCAGGCTAAGCCGGCGCCCGCCGCCGCCGCCCCGCCGAGCCCGTGCCTGATTGACCTGCGCGTTGGCCACATCCTCAAGGCGGTCAACCACCCCGACGCCGACTCGCTCTACGTCTCGACCATTGCCATGGGGGACGCGCCCAACGACGACACGGCCGAGTACGAGGGCCAGGTGTGCCGCACCGTCTGCTCCGGCCTCAACGGGCTCATCCCGCTCGCCGAGATGCAGGGCCGCAAGGTCGTCGTCGTCTGCAACCTCAAGCCCGTCAAGATGCGCGGCGTCAAGTCGTGCGCCATGGTCCTCGCCGCCTCGCCCCGCATCAAGGAGGGCGAGGTTGACGACCACAAGGGCCCCGTCGAACTCGTCGCCCCGCCCGCCGACAGCAAGGCCGGCGACCGCGTCTTCTTCGAGGGCTGGAAGGGCGAGCCCGAGGGCGTCCTCAACCCCAAGAAGAAGATTTGGGAACTCTTCCAGCCGGGCTTCACCACGACGGACACGCTCGACGTCGTCTTTGACGCCGCGGCTGTCGAGTCCCTCGGCAAGACGGACCTGGGCAGGCTTGTCACCGAGAGTGGCGGCGTCTGCACCGTCCAGACCCTCAAGGGCGCTACCGTTAGGTAAATCAATGAGAAATACATGGCACAGAAATGATATATAGAAACAAAAAATTAGCAAAAAGCAAATAACGCATGGACAATGTACCCTTCTGCCACTGTAGTGGCAAACACAACTTTTGACTCTCAGGACTTCAGTGATTTGAATGTATTATTCAACATGTTTGTATTTGTAATTTACACAGCTCAAATGTTACAGAATTGATGCTAGGCTGTCTGCCTACAGTGAGCCGATTGCTTCGCCAATGATGTGGCGCGTATGTACATCGAAATCCTCCCCTGCGCAGCCATGCCAGAAAACCTGTAACAGTAGTAAATTCAGACAACTCCCGGTAAATGCATGTCGCGCTGAAATTTTGCCGGACATCTTCCTCCCCAGGTTTTTTAGTATATGCAAAAGAAAATCCACCAAGAGAAAACAATAAATCCCGCTGATGTAAAACTTCCCTATTTCCCTAGTCCTCCTCTCATATCTTACAGATGTCGTCTTTTAAATGTTGTATAGTTGTATAGTTGTTCGAAATAGTTGATCAAGAAAAAAAGTATTGACTTCCCCGCAGGCGACTGACGTCAAAGTCGCCCTTCTCGGGAATGTCGGGAATGGTCAGCGGAAGCCAGACAGGAACTGGCTGACGCCTCTTGGCGGACGCCTTGGCTTTTGTCGCTGGTCGGTCACGCAGAGCTGCATTCTCAAATGACGAACCGTCCATCTCACAGAGAAGCGCCTTGGATCGCTGCACCTCGGAGTCAAGAGTCGAATCTGTCTCATCCGCAAGAGCTCTCTGGTTCTCGTCCGCATCAGCCGTGGCATCCTCTGCGGAAATCTCGCCCAGACCAATGTCGCGGATATCTTCCGCAATGCCCAGGTCGGGCTCTGTGCCGGCCATTTCCTCGTATACGGCGGCAGGCGTGATGATTTGTTTAGCTGCTTCCAGGTCCCAGGGATTGCCAGATAGTCGCAGAGAGTTGCGTTTATGCTCGAGAAGAAGTTCTTCTTTTGGAGTGAGATTGCTCTTCTTCCTCAAAGCCTTGATCTTCTTAGCAACCGGCGACGCGGCATCGATGTGAGACAGAAATAGAGATCCCTTGTGTCGTGTTTCAAATTCGGCAGCCAAACGCCCAATAACATCCTCTTCGTGAATCTTGATGAACGAATCTCGGATGACCTCGTTCATGACATTAACGTCGGCGGCGTGAGTCCAGAAAGAATCATGAACGGCTGCAAAATCAAGACCGCGCTCATGACACTCCAGCGCGGTGAGCAGCATGTGGCTTGCGTCGAGGGAATGGATGAAATTCGGCGGAAATCCCTGGAGCTGCTTCCTCCTGTTGACAGGGTCGGTAGAGTCGCTCGAATGGTATGCAAGAGACTGAAGACAAGTTCGAATCTCCCGCGCAGTCGTCTTGCGGTATGGTTGGGCCACGGGCATGCGCAGCGGAGTTGTCCAGACCACTGTAGAACGAAACTGTTTTGTGAGCTCGTCAAAGCCTGATTTCCCTGCTTTGGAAGCCTTTGCTACCTTTCCTTTCTTGTTGTCGGTCGACCCATTCGCATACTCGTCGGCGATATGCTGTAGCTGAGCAGGTGTCAGGGCCCGGCAGACCCGTCCACCAATTTCTCCCAGCCAGTACTGAATATCGTGAGCACCACGAAACATGGAAGCCAAGGCAGTGAACACGTGTCGGGCGATATACGTCGACAGCATCAGGTTCGGGATACCGCACTGCTTGCCGAGGTCGGGATACAGAGCATCAATTTGCCTGCAAACCTGCTTCTTAGCACCAGCAAATGTGACTCCATAGACGTTGGTCATGACAGTTTGCTTGACAACCTTGCGAGTGATCTTGCCATCGAGCACAAGGCCAAACTTGTTTTTAGCAGCAGCGTCTTTGGCGATGGCCTCCTTGACCAGGTCCGCGACGGCGGAATAAACATCCGCAGGGCGGTCTCCTGGCTCCAGATTGACTTGCTTTGCACCCCACAAATCACCACCCAGAGCAGCGTAGTGTTGTAGGCCATTGCATGTACCATCCTGTTGGATTGGAAGACGAGACACGTAGGTGGTTGGATCTTCCAGCTCGAGCGCCCCCTTCAGTTCGAAGCAGGCAGCGAGGCATTGCCACGGATCCTCGGCCTTGAGCCACCATCGGCTTCCGTTGAGAGGGTTGGTTGCAGATTCAATGATGTGGCTGGCACTTTCGTTCGCAAAGGCCTCGCGCTCTTCAAAGCTAGCCTTGTCCAGGCCGTAAACGTTGGCCAGGTGAATCTTCAGCCATCGCAGGCCAGTTTCCCCGAGGGGTTTCCCCTTCTCGAATGAAAGTAGAGCCCGTGCGTGATCGGCACCCATGTGATTCAGGTACGTAGGCATGGGATACGCACGACCACGGTAGTCGACGTTATGAGGGAAATAGACGGTCTGGTTGCGAAAGGCTCGGGCAATTTCCAACTGCAGGTTCATGTAGCAGCGCTGTGAGTGTAAGCCAGAACGCTCATTTTCGATGGCCTTGATGTCGCGTATCCATTTCTTGTGCAGGGCAGGGTTTGCTGTCGAGTCGGGCTCCGCGGGTACGTCGAATTTTGGTTCTAGAGCTGGCATGTTGGCAATCTCTTCACCCGAGTTCCAGGCTTCCATCATAACGTTTAGGACACCACGGTTGATCTGCCATGCCGTCTGTCCGAGAACGTCGAGACCCTTAAAAACTTGCTTCATGTCGCCACAGTCCACAGCAGCCTTGGCATAGAGTCGCTGTTCAACATTTCCTGGCTGGACTCGGATGACGCTAGTTTTGCTTTCGAGAAAACCGCCGTCATTCATGTTCCTCCACGGCTTCGGCTCAACAATCATTGGCAGGTGCTTAGCAAGAAAATCGCCCAACGGTTCACGCTTAAGCTGCTCAACCAGGGTGTTGTGCATAATGAGCATGCCGACCTTTTTACCTTTGCGTGGCTGTTGAATATGAGTAAAGGCAGGTTGGTATTGGCTGACAAGTTCTCCGGAGGTAGGGTGTCGCTTGATGGCTTTGACCTTTGCTGAGTCAATGAGCGCCTTGACGAGAAAGGCTCCCACTTGGGCCTTGATCTGCATGGACCAAGGCTGACTAGCAGACTCTTCGATTCGCTTCGCCGCTTCTTTGCTTTCTGTGATCTGAGACACAGAAGCGACTTCGTCGGGGTTCGCTTTGGAAGCATCATATGTCACCTTGCGACGCCGGACTTTTTTCTTCTCCTTTTTCTGAAGTTCGATATCTTCGTGCGCTTGCTTGGCTACTGTGGTAATAATTTTTTGGATGGCAATACCCTTGTCGACTCCAAGGAGGGTGCCGGCGTTCAGCGTGCTGAGGATGGTCACAGCGGCTAATCTCGCAGGGTCTGATTGTCTGATGAAAGGGCCGAAGATGCATCTTTCGATGTCCCTCTCAGATTTGACGGCCTTGTTTTCGGATACTTCCACTTGCGCAATCTCCTCTTTGATGCGCGCCTCCATGGCGTTAAGCCACGATGATGTATAACTCGACAATGAGCCCTCTTTAGTTGGTCCGCTCAGGCCAGTGGTAATTCCCACTTTTTGCAGCTGCTTATTCTGGTTTCGCCATTTTTGGACAGCGGCGCTGATAGAATCGCGCTCGAGCTGGAGCTGCAAGCTATGTAAATCGTCTTTGGAGAGGTTTGAGGCGTCGAAGCCCTCGAGATTGGAAACAAGCTTGAGGCCTTCCTTCAGGGCAACCAAGGAATCGCCTCGCTGAGGAGTTGGAACAAGTTCGGGAATAGGTCCAGAGCTTGGTGAGGGGGCAGTTTCAGGCATGTCTTCCGAGAGCATCTGTGTATCGTTGCCAGAGCCGTCATCCTCCATGTCCTCCTCGAAGTCTGGTTCCGCAGAATAATTGTATGTTGGACATTGTGCAGTAATAACGGCAAGATCTTGATCGCTCAGAATTTCAGCCATGCTCAGAACACGCAGCCCGGATTCGCCAGGGGCCATCCCCATGTAGCGCGTGATGAGGCGAGTCAGTCGGGCGCCACGTTCAGATAGAATGGACGCCTTCAGCATGCAAGCGACCGTTTCGGCCGTTTGTGGCAGGCCTTTGTTTCGGATATTCATTTCGTAAAATTTGTGAAGCTGTTCGGCTCGTCGTCGGTCTGGACTTGCTCTCAGCTGCCCCAGCGAGGCTCTTAGGTATTGGTTGTGAAGAAGGATGCGCTCCTCAGGAGAGAGACTCTGGTAAATGTTCATGCGCTTCAGGACCAGAGCGGCGCGGTCGAGTTTCCCGACTCTGATGCAGGCATCAAAGACTAGAAGCATGTCGTCTGCTTCACCAGGGATGCCGTGTGGGCTGACTTTTGTGTGGATAGGGGATGTGGCAGGTGCCTCGGGTATCGTGAGAGGAGAGGTTGGGTCGAACGGCGTCAATTCGTATGGGCGCAGAGGTTGTTGAAATGGGGCCAGCGACGGTGCAGGGAAGCTGCCATAAATGGAATTGTCGAGTTTGAAGTCGTCAACGGCCGTCGCAAGAGCGCGGTGCTGAGATCGCCTGACGCCATTGTCCACTCTCTCTATGCGCCAGTGTCCCAGTGTTCTAGTGACGATATGACGCCGAGAAACAGACAGAAGATTCAATTGACCAGGAATTGATCGCAATTGTGGTCGTGCATGGCTCAATGCCAGTGCTCGGGTGGCAGACACGCCGCGGCGAGCCTGCCCGGAGAGCATTGTGGCGAAGATGCGCACGAGACAGGCCGGGTGCGCTTGTCGTAGTATCGCTCGATATGCGAGAGGGGTAGGACTAAATCATGGACGTCGAATGAACAAAAAATGCAAAATACAATCGTTGAAATAGAGCAGAATACAACTTGCCTCCCCAGCACAGCTTGCAAGATCTTTTCGAAAAATGTCACTAGCCAGCTCCAGAGATTTTGTCGCCATCTTGGGAGGACCCAACGTCCCCTGAAAAGTCACGTGTAGGCTAATTTTTCAGCGCAACAGCGGCTCCACTCAGCTCAGAACCAGGCGACAGGCCAAACTACGGAGTTCGGGGTCGTCAATTTTTGGTTCAAGAAATTGTAGAGCCATGTCCAATTTGCCGACAGCAACTCGCAATTTTTATCCAAAGCCGTCAAAATGATTGCACGGCCTGCGGTGGCGAGCTTCAGCTGTCGCAGCTGCCAAAACAGCCTCCTCAAGGCCGTTTTAGGAGCAGGCCGCCCAAGAACCACAGCTTCGGCACAGCGTCTGGTGTCAAGGCCTAGTCTTTCACTTCATGTCCAGCAGCGGAATCTAGCGACAACGACAAGACAACTCCGAGTCGACGAGAAACTACACCACACTGTCGATGAACCGCTCAACGACACAAACCAGTGCCATGAAGAGGATACACCATGGTTCCTAGACGAGGAGCTGCCCGAGCCTCCAGCCAGTCACCACCAACAGACACTCCCCGTCGCCCCCGAAGATGCGCCCGCCGTCGTGGAGCCCATGATGAAGTACATATTCGAGGACATGGGTCTCGACGACCTTGCGCTGTTTGACCTGCGCGAACTCGACCCGCACGCCGCGCTCGGCCCCAATCTCATCATGGTGTTTGGCACCGCGCGCAGCGAGAAGCACTTGCACGTCTCCGCCGGCCGCCTGGTGCGCTGGCTGCGCAAGCACCACGACTGCGAGGCCAAGGCCGACGGCCTCATCGGTGCCGGCGAGCTGCGCACCAAGCTGCGCCGTCTGCGCAAAAAGGCCATGCTCATGGGCACCAACGCCAACATTGTGCCCCGCGGCGACAACGGCATCTCGACGGGCTGGATCTGCGTCAGCTTCGGCATCGACGACGACGGCGCCGGCCACGTGAGGACCGCCGACGCTCACTTTGACGCCACCGGCCGCCTGGCGGGCTTCGACGCCGGCGCCGCCGGCACCACCATTGTGGTGCAGTGCATGACCGAGGCCAGCCGCCAGGAGCTCGACCTCGAGGCGCTGTGGGAGGGCATGCTCAAGAGAAGCATCCGCGACGGTCGCGTCGTCCACGGCCAGCCGCCGCTCTCCCCCGACGCGCTCCAGGAGCAGGTCGCTGCCCGGCTGCAGCTGCCCGAGGGCTACAACCAGTCCGCCAAGCAGTGGCAGGCCATGGCGGACGCGTCGCAGAAGCGGTACTTCTCCACGAGCGCGCGACGCCGGACCGCAGAGAGCACGCCCAGCGAGTCGCAAACGACGATCCTGCACCTCGACGCCGTCGCGGCGCATGTCCGAGACTTTCAAGCGTCCGGCGCGCCCATGGACGCCGCGGACCTCGTGCGCCTGATCCAGCACGTGTTCCGTGCCGGGCCCGACGGGCCCGAGACCGCCGCGGAGCGCATCCAGCTCGTCGACCAGCTGCTCCTCGCCGGCGAGGAGCGCGGCATCGCGCTGCTCTCGGGCGACATCCTCATCACGCTGATCGAGGCGCTCGTGTCGTCGCCCGCGTACGGGCCCGCGCTGCAGCGCGCGCAGGCCAACATGGAGTTCCTCCTCGCCGAGCGGCGCATCGCGCCCACGGGCGAGCAGTCGCGCCGACTCATGGCCGCGTACGCCGCGCGCCACGACTGGGAACGCTTCTGGGACGCCTTTCGCGCGCCCGCGCGGTTCCAGCAGCCGCGCGGCGCCGAGCTTTACGCCCTCGCATACGCCGCCGTCGCCGCCACCCGCGACGCTGCGCTCTGCACGGATGCCCTGCGCTGGCTGTACATGGAAATGGGCCGCGAGGCGCCGCCCGTCGTCCCCGCGGGCGCCGTGTACGACGCGCTCAGGGCGTGTATCCTCGTTGCGGACCCGGCGGCCGAGGAGCTGCTGCACCACCCGCCGCCCGAGGAGGACATGACCACGCTCGAGACGCGCAGCCTCAAGCACCGCGAGTTTGTCGTCATGCTGCGCGATGTTGAGCGTGTCCGCAAGGAGCTCCGCACGGAGGAGGCTAGGCAGGAGAGACAGCAGGCGCTGGACTCGGAGATCCGGAGCAGGTTCGAGACGTAGAAAAGACTATACAACGTCGTCGCTGGTGGAGTACCCAGACGTTTTTTGTAGGATAGACACCACACCACTGTACCATTACTCCCGTGTAAAAACAAGTATAAACCGAAAAGCATATCAAGAGCATAGAATAACTGTATACTCATTTCATCGATGGCAAATTTTGCTTTCTTTATTTTTTGCTTTCTTTAATTCAATGTCTAGCAACAGAACTTTTTTTTATACACATGACCGACACTACAAGTTGGCGCCAGCCCATTTCATGGCATCCCGTAGCAAGGGTGCCACTTGCTTTCTACTAGAATCCAGCGCAAGCTGTCTCCACGCGTACCTCACGCCCTGTTCGTCCAAGATCCCATCATTCCACGGCGTCAGCTTTAGCGTATCTGCGGTGTCTTCCGTGAACCTCTGGACCGCCTTCCTACCGCTAGCAGTCAGCCCCCACACCAATAGGTGCCGCTGAAACTCGCCGCCCGGGTTGGACGTGGTCATGATGGCGGCGATGTCGAGCCCTTGCTCCTCGGCCCATGCCTGCAGCGCCCGTAGCAGCACGTCCTCGCCGCTCCCCTTGCTGCCGGCGGCGGCCTTTTCCAGGAAGAAGTCGAGATTCTGCACGGCGCAGCTGACACCGAGCTTAATGCCGGCATTCTCCCACTCCTTGTAGTCCTTGCGGAGAATATCGCGCAGGGTGAGCCGGGACATGTCCTCCTTGGCAGCTGTAACGGCGTCGTAGTAGGCGCCCTGGTCAAAGGCTGGGTCGTGCATGAGTTCGGTCTCGAGCAGCGCGGCCGCGCGCGTGTCCTTGGGGCGGACCTTGGCGGTGGCGGTCAGTTTGATGGTGTCGATGAGGATCGGGGCGAGGGCGATTTGCGCGAGCTGATTCAGGTCGCTGCTAATGCGCTTTGTGCTGATGGCGGGCTGGTTGCCGTGAGCCAGGGCGCGCCACGCATCTGCGTATGCATCGACGATAAGGCTCATGCAGCTTCCGCATGTCTCAATGACGCGGGGTGCAGCTTGCATAGCGACGACTCCTTCGTCAACATGGTGGTCTATGCAGCTAATAACACGGCTTTCATATCTTCTTAGATCACCGGTGAGGACATTGTGGTCAACCAGAACCCATTCTGTATCGTTTGGGTCCAGTGTTTGCGGGAGATCTGACAATGTGATGAGGTCAGAGGCATCCAGATCTGCCTTGGCAAGAACAGGGCCTAGTTCGATTCTCAAAGCGAGATCTTCCCGAGGCAGGTTGGACAAGGGGATATGCAGCCGCCTGGGGGCAATATGAGACCGAAGATAAGCCAGTACGATGGCTGAGCACAACGAGTCGAGATCTGTCGCACTTGTTAGTGAAGGGCTCATCCATGGCGTACCCGAGGCCAGCATGTTTATTACCTGCCGATTCGTTGCCCACGACAAAGGTGAGTGGTAGTGAACGCTGGGTAGGCGACGCAGCCAACGCCTCTTTGGCCGTGGCCAGAAACGCCTTGAGAGAAATTGTGCTCGCCGTCATGGTTGCTCGGTTGTGCACTGCAAAATGTCGCTGTAGACGAAGAGGACAGAGGCCAAGGACGCTTCTCAGCGGCTGGTGCTTTAAATATGTGTATGCGTGCCTTGCTCGCATCTGCGGCAAATCAGAAAAGACAAACCAGGCGGCCAATCTTGGCGAGGAGTCAGCCACTTGATTGCTACACCACACACACGACCGGGTCCGGGCGTATTCTGCCTATCGCGGTGGACGTTGCTTTTCTACGCGTGTTGACATAAGACACTCTTGCAGCAAGTTGAGTGAGAAAAGGCGCACCACGCCCAAATCGAAACCCAGGGGCGCGCTAGGTCATTATTTCCGCGGGCGGCATCGATGGCGGTTGTGGGGTGGCCATCGTGGCTGGCACAATGTCTCGAAGCAATCGATGGAAAATCGGTTATCGAGAGTCTCGGGGATTGAGAGAAATTGTCCGTCTGAGCGGATCGACGAGAATAGACCAAGGAAGAGCCGAGACAAGTCGTGGGTGGAAGAAGAGGCCACGACTCAGTTTGTTCTCGGGTAGCGGCAGCCCTGGGGTGCGGCTGCACATGACAGCTGCTGTCGGCGGGCGTGGATGTATTACATTGGACGATCAGGGGCATAGGATGGGAAGACTCGTAGTTTTGCGAGCGACTATATCGATGGATTCGAATCGGGTGGTAACTTATGGCTGACGGGCTTGGGCTGTGTTTGAGGTTTGAGCATGGCATCGCGGTAAGCCGGTTGGTTGGCTTGGCAAACAAACAGCCTCAGCGCGGACCGACGGTTCCAGTGAGTATAGTGACAAAACGACGCGCATACTGCTGGTAAATTTTACTACCCTAACTACCGAATATTCTCTACCTACGTGATACTTCCTCTTCGCCCTGCCCTTTTTTCAACATCAAACTTTCCCTGATCTGATGATTTCGGCTGTGAGTTGTCCGTTGGCCCCCAAGTTGTTGCTGCAGCTGCGCAGCTGTCAGCACATCCTGTTTGCACGCAAACGAAGTTGGTGCATGTCTTTGCTTTCATTACTTGCCTATCTGTTCAATACATGTCGAACTCGCATAACGCAACCTTTTCACGCGAGATTACAAATCCAACAGATTGCCTTCTTCCGCCTCCGCCGTCCTATCTCGGCCTTTTCACTTTAGCCGCGCTGCCACGCCGCCACGCCGTAGAACACCGTCCCGCCCCGCCATCCGAGTTCGGCCCCTTCTTCACCTCGACCTCGATAAATCAACCCGCCGCGCTCCCCCTCCATGCCACGTCTTTTCCCCTTTTTTCTCCGCCTCGCATTCCTCCTCCTCTGCATTATCACGCTACGCTTCTTCTACACCACTTTTCCACCCTCTGCGTCACTTCCCCGACGTCCTTCTCCCCCACCCAGGACCATGTCTCGCTCCGGAGCCCCCCTCCGGCTGGCCGTACTCGAGGCCGACACACCGCAGCCGCAGACCCTCGCGCGCGTCGGCAGCTACACGGCCGTCTTCACGCAGCTCTTCCAGGGCGCGTGCGACACGGCGATCCCGCCAATGACACTCGCCGACGAGCTCACCATCTCCGGCCACGGCATCGTCGACGACCTGCACGCCTACCCGGCCCTCGACGATGTCGACGCCATCCTCATCTCCGGGTCGCGGCATAACTCGTTTGACAATGACCCGTGGATCCTCAAGCTGGTCGAGTACACGCAGGCGGCGCTCGCGACGAACCGCGTCCGCGTCGTGGGTGTCTGCTTTGGCCACCAGATTCTGAGCCGCGCGCTGGGGTGTCAGGTCGGCCGCAACCCCAAGGGCTGGGAGGTGGCGGTCACGGATGTCGAGCTGACGCCGCAAGGTAAAGAGGTGTTTGGTCTGGACAAGATGGTACGTGGCCGTGTCGTTTGCGTGAGTGCTCGGTTAGACTAACTTGGGCCACCAGCGAATCCACCAGATGCACACCGACGTGGTGGCCGAATTCCCTTCGGATGCTGTGGCTCTTGGCAGCAACAATGTCTGTTCTGTGCAAGCCATGTACTCCCCTGGGAGGTACATTGCTGTCCAGGGACATCCTGAATTCACCAAAGACATTGTCACCGAACTTCTTTTGAAGCGCCACACGGCCGGCGTTTTTTCCGATGAGTTATATAATAGTGGAATGTCTCGCGTTGCAGATGAGCACGACGGTTTCGCGATCGCTAGAGGTTTCCTGAAATTTTTGAAAGATTAGACTTGTCTCCTAACCGAATATAGACTCAATAAACACAGCATTCAAGCAGGAAAATTGCGCTTGCCCATGGAAACACCTACCTCGGTCGCTTTGCAGATATATAGTGTGAGACATCTCTACTATCGCGAGTCAGGAGACTGCAGTCTTTATATATATGAAGATCCGCCTATGGTTTGATCGATTGAGTATAACCTCTCTGTGGGCCTTGTTCCACACAACACCTTGACGAACTCCAACCATGTGCTTTCCCGGGGCCATGGGCGTCGATTTCAAGCGCTGCTAGTTTGCAAATCTGCAGCTAAAAGATCGACGTTGCTATTGTCTCCGCCCCATCTCGGTTGTCTCAATGCTGCATGAGCAAACATTGCGCCACAGCCACATGGGTTCAGCCCGCACACCATGAAAGAAGAAGAAAGATATTTTAAGCCACCCGCATCCGCCACGGATGCAGCCGGTTCCCTTTCCTGCTTTGTGACAAATGACTGTCGTACAAAGGCCCCATGCGTCGAAAATCCTGCTGACCGTTGCCAGAGCCTCGTCGAAGCCATGTTGGCCCAACCGCTCTCCCTATTACCCCCGGGCCAACCATGACTAGAAGCTGCTTCTCTCTCTCTCTCTCTTTCTTCGTCGCCTGCCACACACACACACACACATACACCTACATACCAACCAGGGCAAACACACGCAGAAAAAAATCTTCCAAAAAGGCCCAAGAGACTGACACATCACAATGGCAGACAACAATCCATTCGGCCTCAAATGCGTTTCCAATGGTGCTCAGCTGTACGTCAACAACACCCCCTCGGCGTATCTGGGCTGCTGCGTCAGTGACCCCAGGATAACCGACGACGCCCTCTGCCCGCAGAGCGACATTCGGGCCATGACGTTTGACAAGGCCATGTACGACAACATCAAGCCGCAGCAGTGCGCAAAGGGCAAATCCTCGTGGTACACGTGCGCACTTACCACTCCACCGTTTATAGGCTGCTGTACGACCAACCCGTGTTTGAACGGCGGCTGCCCGTCGAGCAATCTCGGGAGCGCGACGCTGAGCAGCAACCCCAAGGACGCCGCGTCCTTTATGGAGGGCGCGGGCAAGTCGGCAGCGCCAGCGTCTTCCTCGACGGCGACCACGACCACGACCAAGGCGACCGAGTCGTCTGCCGCGCCAACCGCCTCGCCGACGCCCTCTTCGTCCGCGCCCGCCGCAGGCGACAGCGGCGGCGGTAACAACAGCAGCCACCCAGGCGTCACTGCTGGCATCGCAGTAGGTGCCGCCGTCGGCGTCGCGGCCGTGGTGCTCGCCGTTCTCTGGTGGATGCGGCGACGACGTGCCAAGGCCAAGCAGAACGGTGCTGCTGGTAGCGACGCCCCGTTCAGCCCGGCGACACAGTGTGCGACGCCGTCGACGCCTGCGTGGTCCGCGGGACAGTCGCACATGGTCTCGGACTACCAAAAGTGCCCGACAGGCCCCGGCAGCCCGGTGCCGCCAGACTACTACTCGGTCGCCACGGGCGGCAAGCTGCCCGTGGAGGCGACGGAGCTCCCGGCCAACAACGTCTGCTTTGAGCTCGCCGCGGACGACGGGCCGGCGCCGCCGCCAAAGAAGCAGTAAAATTTTTGGCTGCTGACGATGAGACGAGACATGCGTGTTCCGAAGAGCGATTTTTGTTTTTGTTTTTTGTTTTCCCTGCTTAGCGGCTGCTGTGAATCCTTGGCAAGATGGTTGGGTTGGGATTTACTCGTACAAAGGTCTCATCAGGAGGAGCGGTCAGGAAACCATCGGTTGCACCATGCCAAGCAAGCCCTGCCTTTCAATTCCCCATTTTCTAATTTTAAATATCCAAATACATCGATGAAGTTCTACAATCTAGTTGAAAGTCATACATCTTGTTCAGGGATGTCTCAACTCAATGTTTCCTATCCTTGACTGTCGCAACCCGACCAGCCTCGACCCCCAACCAGCCCCCCTCGACCAGCCTCCGTCGACCAGCCTCGATCAGCGATCAGCCTCAAACTACGCCTCGGATCGCGCGCGGCACGCACCCGCTGGGGGCTGAAGGCGGGAGCTCCCTGAGGGTGCCTTGGACCCCACTGGAACTGTAATACACTCTGTACATTCGGAAATGTATCCAATCTCTATTCAATTATTCAATTCATTTTGATTCTTTTAAATGTCTCAACATGTTGAATTATGAGAGCATTCTTCTCCATCGTCCACTACTATTATACAGTGCGCGGATAGATGGTTGCTCTTCTACTTTGTTGATCGGCGAGCCTCAACCTCCAACTCGATAAGCATGGCGGGAAATGCCAAATTAGCGACCCCTACCGCAGTCCAGACCGGCCGATGACCGGGAATCCGCAGGCGCAGAGCCTCAGCCGTCGGCGCCCATGAAGTGCGAATGTCGCAATGGTATGAACGCAGCAGATACACATCCTCCCACCCTCGAAGACCGGCCGCCTTGAGAACAATGTCGACATTCTTCATGGCCAGCTCAATCTGCTTGTCGCTGTCATTCGCGTCGAGAGCGCCCGTTTCCGGGTCCCATCCTCCCTGGCCTGAGCATTTCACAACGCCGTTACCAAGGTCCACGGATTGCGAATAATGCCCCAGGTCGCTGTGCTTCTGAGCTGCGCCAGGGGGGTTGTTGTATTTTTCGGCAGACATGGTTTCGAAAGAGGATTTGCTGCATTGTTGGTAAGCGGGCGTGTGAGATCGCTGAGGGTATAGTTTAGGTCATGTACCGTGATGAAGGAAAAGCTCAATGTGAGTAGCCTCGTAATTTCCACACGCGAGCGTTGTCGGTAGCACCAGATGATTTAGATATTTATTATGCGCCGCGGAGAGTTCCTTTTGCCATCTCATCATACTTTATAGTCATGACTTATTAGTAATTCGCCGCCTCCTCTACGGATGACAAATCCTGGGTTAGAAATCGTTGGAGGTGGATATTCGATTCTGCAACACTTGGCAGAGGGCATTATAATAGGCTTTTATGCATCAGAAACTAGTTTCTAGTTGGGGTATGATGGGCTTCTTTGTGCAGAACCGAATGGAGCTTCCCTGCTGCTCGAGCGCTTATCCTCGGGCCATTTTGGATGATGGCTTCATGGGTGACCATAATCTGGCTTTTCTTCTGACTTTTTTGGCAGCTTGAATCATGGAGCAATTTGATATTTTGGGGCAGCAGTTTGTGGGTTGTTCAGCCTAGATTTTTTATGCTAAAGCTATAGAGAGCTTAAGAGATGACAGCTAATTGCTACTACGGTAGCCTTACATGACGCCCACATATATATCTGTGTGCGCGTGTTATAGCTGCTGACGGGCAACCACAAGTGCAGCACCGGATCTAGTTTGCGCTCTTGCCCTTTGCCGCGTTGAAAAGTCGACCAGACATTCCATATTCCGGGGCATACTTGTCCAACCAAGCTCTAAACTGCGCAGCATTTGGGCTAGGGTTGCGCCAATCCCGAAAGAGGTCACCAACGATGCTGAACACACCGACGAGCTGCACGCCTGCTGCCTGCATACGGGAGTTGGACGCCTCTCGAATAAGCGTCGACGTGGTTCCAGAGGCTTCAACATTGGCCCAAACGCTGTAGCCCGCGGCCCGAAGAGAGAGCGCCAAGAAGGTGGTGCCTAGAGGAATATTGATCAGTACTAATTTTGGTATTTTTTGCGTTGCGGTCCCATCAACTACTTACACACGTCGGTTGCAATTCCAGCCAAGACGATCTGCTTGCGGCCTGTGGCTCGGACAGCGGCCTTGAAATCGGGGTTGTCCCAGGCGTCAATCTCACCCGGCCGCTGAATCAGGGTCGTGTTGGGATGCATTTCAAGAATCTCGGCCGGGAGCGGACCGTTGGGACCTGTGAGGTGGCAAAGGTGAGCTCGTGTCTGGGAGGGGGCATGGAGAGAGCTGAATGTGCAACTGCTTACCAGTCTCATCAGAGGTAGTCATAATGACGGGGATGTCAAAGAGCTTTCCAATGGCTGCATGAGTAATCATGTTGCGATAGAACAGCCCAGGCTCGAAATCACGAGCCAGATCGAACAGGCCAACTTGGTGATCAACAATGAGGAGCACCTGCATACATTAGTAGCCGATAAACAATGGGGTGCGAATTCCCTACCGTGTCGTTCACATTCAGTCGTTCGAACGGAACAGCTGTACACCCGTCAGTATGTGCTCGAGTCTGATGGGTAGGCTGCGTTACAATGGGCTGCGACAGGATTGATGATGCCTGCGACCAGAACTGGGAGTAGCTGCGTGAGAAACTTCATGTTGGAAAAATGTTGTTCTGATTTGTCTCTGAAAAGGGTTCTTGGTGTGAGTGTGTTTGGTATTTCGACTCTGTCAATGCCGGAAGCTGTTCCATTTAAATAGATGTCACAGAAGGACGCGGCAAAGACGGTCCTTGGTACCCTGCTGATGCTGCAAGCAAGTGAAGTTGAGTCTCGATAGTAACGTTAACTCGACTTTTAGTCAAGGCTGATGAAGCATTTGCCTGACAGAACTCATAGGGAACGATCTGTCAGCTTCAGAACATGATGTTCGGCAAAATCGACAGTTTTTCCACTTATAGTGGAATTATCCGGCTTGCCAAGAATCAGCCGTTGGAGGATCAGCGACGGTGCTCTTGACCAGACAGATCGTCGTGGACAAGTCCATGGAGGCGTAGATGAGAGAATAAGTCGACAAACGGCTGCAGGCCCCGCAAGCATAGTAAGGCGCCAGCTTGATAATTGCTGTCAAAGCATGACATCCCGACCGCGGGGCGACCCGCCATCACAACTCACCTGCATTTCGACCACCTTTCTTCACAAGCTGCGGTATACCTTGAGGGGCAAGAGAAAATTGCTTGACGGTGAATAATCTATGTAAGTAAGCTTATTTACTAGAACAGACCCTCTCAAGTATCATTTTTTTTTAAAGAGTGATTTGCGATCACTTTATAAGCGACTTGCAGCAATATTCCAGCGCCATCATCCATGCATGCTACCCGGAACTGACATCAGCACCGCCACAACGAAACAAAGCACAACACACCATTACGAGATGTTCTGCGTGTTTTCTGAGTATTGCAACAAACCACAAACCGCGCTTTCCGAAAAGACAAGTTGCCCTATAAGGCCACAAGCTGTGATCCCTGCTCCCCACGCGCCCCCAATCCGCCACCGGTTCTAGACCCAGCGACGATCTTTGCAGGACTCCAAGACCACGACCACAACCCGTGATCCTTGCGCATATGATCAATGGTCCTGTAGTTCCTTCGCCCCCGAAAAAAAAAGATGCCGTTTGTATGGATAATGCTCCCTTGTCCGCCTTCCACACTACCCATCTATGCTTTGCACTGAGCCAAAAACTGGTCGCTAAACGGATAGTCCGTGTAGCCCCTGCTCTGCATAGGGGTGTAGAAGGTGGAACGATCATATGCGTTGGGCTCGAGCTGGTGCTTCAGACGAAATACCAAGTCGGGCGTGGAAACAAAATAGCGCCCGAACACGACAAGAGCGCTGTACTGCTTGTACTCCTCGTCGACGGCGGAGCGAGCCGTCTCGCTGTTGAAGCCACCGGCGACTAGGACGGGCGAGTGGTTATCCCAGATTCGAAAAGCAAATTCCAAGCCTTCCTTTTTCTCGCAGTCGGAGCTGTTGACAACTCGCGACTCGATGAGGTGCAGATACGAGAGCGGCAGCTTCTTCAACTGCCCGATGATGTACGAAAACTGCTCCTGCGCGTGGGGGACGCCCATTTTCATGCCCTGGAATGTACTCCATGGACTTAGTCGCACGCCTGTCTTGTCGCTGCCAATGGCTTCGGTGACTGCCTTGGTCGCCTCCAGTATGAATCTGGCCCTGTTTTCGACGGAGCCGCCCCAGCCATCGTCGCGGACGTTGCAGGTGCTTTGGCTGAACTGATCGAGCAGATACCCGTTGGCGCCATGGAGTTCGACACCGTCAAAGCCCGCCTCCATGGCATTGGCCGCCGCCGTCCTAAAGTCCTCCACGCAGGCCCAAATCTCCTGCTCCGTCATTGCCTGCGGCACAGTCGCGCCGGCTTCCATGGGCACGGCGCTCGCGCTGTACAGCGGATAGCCGTCCAAGCGACCGGCACGGCCAGGTGCGCACAAATGGCAGTAGATGGCACAGCCGCGCGCGTGGACGGCGTCGGTGATGTTCCTCCACGCAGCAACTTGGGCCGCGTTCCACAGGCCAGGAGCATTGGCGCCGCCGCAGTGCCGTGGGGAAATTTGTGTCGCTTCGGCGATGATGAGTGTGCCCGGCGTGCTGGCTCTTTGGGTGTAATACTCTAGCATGTTGGGAAGCGGGACATTGTTCTCGTCTGCTCGAAAGCGTGTCAAAGGGGCCATGACAATTCGGTGTTGTAGCTTGGTGTTGCCAACAGTAATCGGCCTGAAAAGATTGGATGACGCCATGTTGATCTTGCGGCAGCTGGATTTATCAAAGGGAATGTTGTATTGAAGATAATGAAGCCCGTATTGAATTGTGAAATGTTGTAAGTTCATCTTTTATACTCCTGGCTGTACTGTGTCTCTGTATGTGGAGAGGTCGGAGGATCAGCGCCTTGCTCTGATAGAGTTCCGCTGTTTGGTATAATTATTAAGTCTATTCTAATTATTAATGCCCATTCTAATTATTAATGCCTATTCTAATTACTAATGCGAACCTGCCACCAGGGGGATAATAACTTGCTGGTTAGGAATACTGTTGATGAACTGCTTCGATGAATTTAACTTTCAGATCAGGCGTGCAACGTGCGATGACAAGGGGAAGGTCGTCCAGGGCATCCACTTGATCATCGGTCATGCTCGCGAAATCGGCAGCCGCCATGACGGCGTTTAGAGACAGGCGCTTTTGGTTCGACAAAATACCGACCTCTTTGGCGATGGCAGTTGCCGTTTGTAAATGATCACCGGTCAGCATATGCAATACTAACCTCTTTCTTATCCTTACTATTTATTATTATTTATTAACTTTTTTCTCTTTTTAATTTTCCTTATTTTTACTATCCCTCTTATTTCACCTATTTTACTTATATTACTTATCTAACTTATCTAACTTATCGTACTTATATATTTTAGTTCCCCTTATTCCTATTCCTAGTTTAACCTTCTTAATAATAGAGTATAGACTTATGTGTGTGGCCTTTTTTTTGTCGCCTGTATGCCTGCTTCCTGCTTAATAATTACCACAATCGTCACTTCCGACTCCAAATTGTCCGAGACTAGATGGCCTCGGCCCCACGCAGACGTGCGTTTTGCCACAACGTCTGCCCGCAAAGCCCTACACCTACAAGCCACGAATATCGCCCAGGTGCTCCTTCTATTAGTCCCTACACCTACAAGCCACGAATATCGCCCAGGTGCTCCTTCTATTAGTCCCTACACCTACAAGCCACGAACATCGCCCAGGTGCTCCTTCTATTAGTCGGTCTCACGTTCCGAGATCTCGAAGACGAGCTCGTCTTCGCCTTATCGGGGCTAGAAGTTCTGTGGGTCAATCTATTTACTTCGTCGCCACTCGCCATTGGGTCTCGCTCGAGGCATCCAAGTCTTTGCCCGGTGTTGGGTAGTAAAAGAATCGCCGTGTTACTGCGAACGAACGGCCTGTCCGCGCCGGACTGCATCGCCGACCACGTTGCGTGGGAGGAGTGGATCGGTATCGAAGATAGAAGGCGCACGCTCTTTGTGGGATTTACTCTGCTCAGCCTGCCATCGCTGGCCTTGAACGTTGCCCGACCGTTGATGAACCGGGAAGTGATGCTCTCGTTGCCGCACCCCACGGCGCAGAGACAGAATTCGAGTGGACTAGAAAATAAGCACAGCGAGAGCACAGCGAGAGCACAGCGAGGCGACCTTTAACCCCCATCCTAGGAATATTGCTGCGCGGCGCCGAAATCGACAGCGCAACCAGCGTGTCGGCGCTTGGCACGTATCTTAATCTACGCTCTTGTGCAGCACATCTCCTGGAGCCGGCCGCGCTGGACTGCATGGAGTGCGCGTGCTAGCACATGGCGGCCCGGGGTGCGTGCGCGAGGAGCGCCAAGTTGCTGCAACATGATTGCCGCGTTTGTCGACGAGACGGGGTACGCCGCCCGGGTGCGCAAGGACGACGATGGTGGCGGGTGAGGAGGATCCGGAGGCTCACGGCGCGTACGGTCAGGATGCTGCGAGGGGAGCACATTTTCAACATGGTCGAGAGGATATCAGACGGCGCTGTCGTCGGCCGCGGACCAGCGGAGGGAGCGATTTGAAAAATTCCAGATTGTCCAGTGATGACGAATATACCGTTGGCCGTTTGTGTCTAGCGACTACATCTCACGTGTGGATGAGTTTCTACATCAAGTCTTTTATCACAACCTTGAACGTGTTTCCCCTTGGTGCCATCCGCTGGCCTTGCTGCCTGAGGCACCAAGTGTTTGATGTGCATGGACAACCCGCTGTGGCTGAGGCGAGGCGCAGAAGCCGAAACCAAATGAGTCAAGATCAGACGGAGATGGAAAGGATATTCCCAGTCAATACCGGCAAGTCCCACCACTGTCCAGGCCTTTGGGGAGTTGTCCGGTTGTCCGGCAACGTTTTGAGCACTTTGCAACAGAAAATCTCGTACAAGTCCAAGTTATTTATGCGTCTTTATTTCCCACCCCATCCCGTTGTAATCATGACGACACGGCTTCATTTCCGCTGCCAGAAGCGGAACGCCGAACCCGATCTTGTAACTTAGCCACTACCTAGGGATTTAGCGCCAACCTAGAACCACCACCAGCCGCGTTCGTGCAGAAGTGATAATAATAGTTTTTTTTTCGCCCCCAGGAAAAGGAAAGGGGTGGCAACGTGGGGGGGGCCGAAGAGCTGTGTGTTGTGGTGGAGAGGGTTGAAACGTCATGTACTTGTGTCCTTTGCTCCGCCGCAGCAACTCTTTTCTTGTCCCATTACGCCGAGCGAGCATCTTGCCTTTTTACAGTCCAGGGTTGTTTATTATTATGATGTCAGTATCCCCCCCCCTGCTGAGACAGCATGGCACGCGCGCATATTCGTCAGCACTTACGCGAGCTGCAAGCCTTCATCTAACAAGCCACGATCTGAAAAGCGCCAAGACTTTCTTCTTTCTCAACGGGCCTAGCAAAATCTAAATCAAGTCTTCGATTTGATCGTCCCCCCCCGGGCCGGCCGACCAGATGAGCGAAGCTCGAAAAAAGCTTCTTCTCTTTCTTGTCGCCACCGCTTGTCCTGAACGGGACAGGGTCCGTATCCGGAAACAATGCACCGCGTCATCTCGACTCCAACAAGACCCATCTTGAGGGTGGAAAGCTACAGCCAAGCGAGACAGAGTTTATGCCAAACCAGTCTGCTATGGGTTTCTTTTGTATGCACTTGTCGATCCTAAAGGGGGAGGGGAGGGGGGGGGAGGCCGCTCTCATCCCAGACTAGACCAGGAATAGATCATCTTCGTGTTCGAGGGTGACGTGGGCGACAATGCCTTTACGGCCAGGGAGGATACAGACGAGTCTTACGCAAGCTCTATTTTGCGCGGTATTTGTGAACAAGGTTATAAAGCTACATCCTTGCCCGCCCCAATCGTATCCAGGTAGTCTTTCAAGTCTAGTCTTTACAACATACACAAGCTCTATACAATCGTTCTTCTTTCCATCTACCTCTTAATACACTCACCATACAAAAACTTCTCTCTCTCTCTCCATCATGAAGTTCTCCACCGTCGTTCTCGGCTTCGCCGCCGCTGCCTCCGCCCAGGAGCTCTCGAGCCTCATTTCGAGCGCCAGCAACCTCATCCCCTCGGCCTCGAGTGGCGCCGGCGGCCTCATCTCCTCCGTCTCCAGCCTGCTTCCCGGCGGCGGCGACAGCAGCAGCAGCGGCGGCAGCTCGAACACGGACTCGGCCTCATCTGACAGCAGCGCCACGACCACGGCCTCCTCCGGCGGGTCCGAGACCACGCCCACTATGACGTCCTCCGCCTCGGGCGGCACCGGCGGCGCCGGCGGCAGCGGCAGCAGCACCAGCGGCGGCAGCGGCAGCAGCGCCACCAGCAGGAGCAGCTCCAGCTCCAGGTCCTCGTCGGGCACCAGCGGCAGCGGCGCCTCGGCCACCAGCTCCCAGAACGCCGCCCCGACCAACGCCGCCATGTACCTCGCTCCCGTTGCCGGTCTCGCGGCGGCCATGGCCTTGCTCTAAGCAATCAAAAGTTTACACAATAATATGGGATCGTCAGCACCAGATACAACGACGCTGTACGATGCGGAATACACGGGGGCAGCGTCGTCCTTGTCGAATACATTTCTTTGGGGGCATGGTATGCCAATTGCACTAGGCAGTAGAAGAAGCTTGGTAGTAATTTAATTGAGACAATGCTCAAGTCAAGCTCACACCGTATGCACCATGTTGTTACTACTCGACCGCAGGCCTGCAACCGAACCTCGCTGAGATATTCTTACCCCCAAGAGCCAGTCAAGCCACGGGCACAAAGTCTACGCCAGGCGGCTTGGGATCAAGTCCCCACCAGGTGTATACGGCGACATTGTACTATAATTCCGATGCTGAGAGAAGGAATTTTTGACAGCTCCGTTTCTAGTATGTTAAACACAACGTGAAACATACGAGATCAACAGACGTGCCACTTTTCACCCACACGGCGACGCTCTCCCAGACACTTGTAACTCGCCTGCCCTCTCGGCCAATTGGAAACCAGTCTAGGTCCAACGTGCTGGAAAAGCGATGGGTACGTGTCGGGATGAGGGCTATGCAGCGCGTGGAATTGATGAAATAGCCTTGTAAAACGAAAACGAACTAAAGTGGGAATATATTGACAATGACGCCTCAGTGCGTGTAGCAGAGGGACGCCGATCTATCGCCGTGTAAAATGCTCTGGTATTAGTCTAAAAGATGTTGCCCTTCTTGCGGCGCTCCGTCGCTTCCATCTTCTTGACGTTGAGGTTCTTCCACAGGAACAAGAGTGCAACGCAAATCGGCAGGAAGCAGCATCCAGTAATGACCATGACTCTCTGCACGTAGCCGTACGAAGCGATAATGGCATCTCGGCCAGGGCTGCCCAGAGGGAAGCTAATCTGCACCGTCAGAGACGAGTAAATCTCGGTGACGTTGGCCTTGAGGTCATCAGGCAAGTTTTGGTAGAGCTGCGTGGGCATGACATTGGTCCAGATGCCACCGGCGATTGCTTGACCAACGGCGGCGCCAATGGAACCGAAGAGACCGTAGAGCGCTACCGCAACGGCGGTTTCTTGGTGGCTGACATTGGCCATGACGCTGAGCTGCGAGGCGGTGGCCCACACACTACTGTAAATACCGTTGAAGAGCTGGCACATGACAAGGTAACCGACGTGGGTCGAGGGACGACGAAAGTAGATGAGAAGAGCGGTACCCAGCACAGCAAAGGGTGTCATGCTGATAGCCGGCCACTTGTAGTAACCATAGTATCGGACAAAGCTAGGTTTTGGTCAGCAACATGAACAGGCTTTCGGGTATAGAAAGAGTACTCACACTCCGAACAAGGGACCAACGACTGAGGACATGAGGGAGAAGGCGTTCAGAACGTAGCTTGCGTTGGAAAGGCTCAGGTCGTGGACGGCTTGAAGATACGAGTAGTAGTAGGTGTCCCAGGTGAAGATGGAAAGGAACATGATGCCGTAGAGCAGGCATGCACCGAGAATGCTCCTATCCTTGAGATGCTTGAAGGGAAAGTACTGGACAGTGGCGAAGTATTTTTCCCAGACGACAAACGCCGCAAGCAGAACAACACCGAGGACGATCATGGCGATGATGTAGCCAGTCTTCCAGCCGTTGGGGGCGTAGTACGTCAAGTTGAAAGGGAGAAGAAGCAAACCCCAGCCGAAAATGGTCAGGAACATGCCAACAACTACGCGCGGTAAAGTTAGCAGCCGAGGTGGTTGATGACGTTATACTATGGATGTACTTGCCGTCAAACTCAATCGCATAGTATTTGAGCGATTCGAAGAGGGTGCGTGTCCTGACGTGCTTGGCAAGCTTGCCCTCACGCTGGGCCTTGATCTTGCTCCACCAAAAGAGGAACACGACGGGCGCAGCAAAGACGGGGATGATGATGGTAAAGGCGCCAAATGCCCAGCGAAAGTTGGAGCGGGTGTAGAATAGCTCGGCAATCTTGGGGCCGCCAAAGGTCGCCGCAATCGTGGGCAGCTGCAGGATGCCAAAGAGGATCATACGGTTGCGGAGGGTGGTCATGTCGGCGTACATGATCTGGACGACGTACTGCATACCAATGTGGCCGACCCAGTAGATGGAGTTGGCGGCAGCAAACATTTCGACGTTGATGCAGGCGGCCTTCATGATCATGCCGACAATGATGAAGATAACCATGACAGAGAAGCCCTCGGCGCGGCCCCAAATGTCAATGACCTTGGCAATGGCCAGGTTGCAGACGCCGCCGAGGATAAAGGACAGGATGTCGGTGACGCTGAGCAGGCTGTGCGCGTTGAAAGACGAGGTGACGTACGGGGTGAGCGCGCCCTGGACGCTCTGGAGGAGCGTGTCGACGAAGCTGACGAGGTACAGACTTGGGATGTCGTTAGTTTTTGTTCTGTTGCGTCTGCAATCGGCGATGGCATCATGTAAGCAGCAGAGCTCCGGACTTTGCTTACAGAATGAACATGACAATCATGGTATTCTTGGACCAGACCGTGGTAATGGCCTCGACACGCCTGACACCGTCCTGGACGTGGACCGAGTCCGCGTCGGACAAGGGGCCCTCGTCTGGGAACTCGCGAATGTCGTCGCCCGAGCTCGGCTTCACATTCTCGACGTCGCCATGCTTGACGGTGCCGTAGCCCGGCTCAGTGGGCGCGTTGGCCGACATGGTACTGGATGCTTCTGCTGCCACGGGGTGCCTGTTCCTAGCCGCGTGTGAGAGCAAATGCGTGTGGACGTCGCTGGTGGTGGAGGCCGAGGCGATCGTCGTGTCTTGCGGCGACGGTTGCGACTGAGAGGGCATGCTGGGCAGAACGGCGGGAGGTGGGCGATCGGTCAGGGTTTATACGTTTGTTGCTTCTGCCCGTTGGAGCTTCAAAGGAGACTAGAGACGAAAGCAGGATAGACGCAAAAATAAGGAAGCGAAAAACTTTCCTTGGTCCACGCAACGCATGCACGTTTCCCGACTAGCCGGATGACAGTGCGACGCTATGGTGTGGTGGTGCGGGAAATTTTGCTGGGGATACGTGACTAGGAGGTGACAATATTGGGTTCGCGAGGGAAGAAGCGGAGAGGCGTCGAGCTGAAGTCGCCGTCTGACGGGGGTGTTGCACAACTAGCAACGACTGGAGAGAGCTCGTTGCGAGTGCCACATGCCGGCAAGACGTCGGCCGATGAGCGGCGACAAAACGTGATGGTTGTTCTGGATTCCCACTGATTAGATCCACCATGTGCTCCAGAGGAGAGGGGCGTCACATCCATGGCTTCGAATAGTGCACTATTTCTCGAGCTCTGATCCTTACCCTGTGAGGAAAGAGAGAGGGAGGTGCCGATTATGTCCGAGCTTGGGCGAGGCTGCATTGTGATTTGCCCAGCAGCGATGACTAGATGCAGGAAATAAGGGGATTCTGAAAGCTCGACTGACTGGGTCCGTTCCGTTCCGCTTCTTGTCTGGCGAACTGCGATGTCCAGTGGTGCAGAATTTTCTTATCAGATCCTGCGACATTTTTATCTTGATCATCTGATAAGGTGGGGTGGAGAACTGGTTGCGTGTGGCCATAGTCACGACTCACCACCACGAGCAACGCAAGCAAGCAAGCCACAAAGGAGCTATTCTTTTTTGCCCTTGCGGTCTGTGCCGTCTATTTTTCAGCGAAATCAGTGAGCAAGTTTTTTGTCGCATGATCTTTTCTGTCCTTTTTTTCCCTATCCTCCTCGCCCTTTCCGCCCCCACTCCCTCATCAAACTCGCCATGTGCTCCGCGGCTTGTGGGTGGTGGTGGGCCGGGTCGACCTGCCGCATGGAGCAAAAGCAAGGAGCCAGAAGGCGAGGCTTGCACTAATAATACCTAACTGCTTATGGCGTGCCCGTTCGGAAAACCGAAATGCCGTCGCATCCATGCCCTGGGCCGGGCTCGCCTTGAACTCAGCTCTGAAGCGCGCAGGCCGCCGAGATATTGGATGTGACTTGGGCCTCGGTTGACTCTATTTTAGTTGTGAAGAAATGGTCTGCAAACGAAATTATATGGCAAGAGCTGACGCGCCCAGTCACAAACGTGCGCCTAGAAGCCAACGGGATCCTCCAGCAGGCCATGCACGCCGCTGCCAAGCGCCCATCGACTGGGCAGCTTCTCACTTCCCTTGTAGTTTCTCTCTTGGCCTTCTTTGCCAAGTTGATCTCTCGGCACCCTGGCCCCCAAAGCAGCGACCAACTACAACCGAGAAAAAGAAGCTGTCGCTCGGCTCGGCTCCGTTCCCGACAACTGACGCGAACGCTCGCAGCTTCCACCATCCCTGCCAATAAACAAATAAATGTGATGCGTGCTCTGAAAAAAAAGAGCCCTGTCTATTTTTTGTCCAATATCCTTTGCTATTCCACACACCTAATAAGCTTCAGGAATGGACCGCGTTGAGCAACCTGTTTTCGTCAACTAACCCGCTTGGTCCCCATCCAGCCCTTTTCAGCTCTGACGGGGATGTGCTTGTTGCAATAGCAACATGTAGACGCCTCCTTCAACGTCTTGGCAAAGAGCCCAGAGATGGGATACTTGGCGATGCCCAGACATTGGCGAGGGGGCTACACTATTCCCGCGGCCAGAGTTGAGTCGGAAACAAAACATGCCCGCCAATATCACCATTCAACTAAGTAGGCCCTGCGAGATGGAATTTTCTTCAAAAAAAATTCGTCAAAATATAACGATCGAATCACAAGCGGAGACTCGGCCGCACGCGAGCTTCGAGTTGCAGGTGGCGTGAGGAGGCGAGACGACGCACTGTGAGTTACGAGGCTCACAACAACGGGCTCAGGCTGCATTCAGCAGCTGCACCCTTCTGCATCGTCGACTAATGATCCAATAGAACGAGGCGCTCGCAGAAGAAGAGCTTGAAAAGTCATGCCCGCTCTCATTTTTATTTACGCTCTATCATCGCATAACTGCCCCGCCCAGGAAATCACAGCACTGCGTCTGGGCTGGCATCAACGACAAGTTGCAGTCTGATATTACAAGGCTCGTAGTACTTGACCTGCGATACCCAAGAGAGTTCGTAAAGCTCTTGCGGCCTTGCTCCGTTTGCGACTTGAGCTGCATTGATGGCTGACGCTGTGTCCCCGACGCATCATGCACAGTGCGACCTCACCTATCCCATGATGACAATTGTATAGATTGAAAGAGGAAATTGCCGGTGCCTTGGCCTACGTGAGCGGTATCGTGATACATGTCGTGTTTTTTTTTCCTATGTATAAAATGCTGCTCTGCACCAGTATTCTTCATCGTCCCTTGTCAAGTCTAGTCACCATCATGATTGACAGACATCAAAACAACGCTGCGATACAAAATGAAGCTGATTATTCAGTGTGCCTTGGTATGCATTCTTTTTCTTTGCAGAATATCCTACTACTCAGCTTACACGCCATGCACGCAAGGCTCTCGTCGTCATCAACGCCGGCAACGCAATCGCCTTCCCTGCTATGCTGAGCGAAGAAGAGCAGCCCAGCAATGCGATCGTCAGCAGAGGCTGCCTCGGAGGAAGCTACGCACAATGCTACAGGCTGTCGACCCACGTGCGTTGGGGTGCAACTCGCCCCCGGGCCAGATGGCATGCATGCAGGCTTGCTATCAGATGTTCGACAGAGACTGCCGATTGGATTGCTCCAAGTGAGAAGGCTGCCGTGTCCGCACTGGATGCAGCGCAGACGCCGAGCGAACAAGTCAAATAGAGGGTTTGAAGGGGCATATAAATGCCTTTGCCATAATAAAAATCAAGTGTCTACACATGGCAACATACACGTAGACGTGAGGCTGCGATGTTGCTTGACGCGGGACAGTTAAAATGGGGAGTAGTTGCGCTCAACTTATCCAATGCATCCGACTGATAACGCGGCGACAAGGGTCCTGTGATGCAGTCTGGGGTAACAAAGTCGAAGACGCGGAAATAATTCTCAATTTGACAAGGAATGATATTAAACGGCATGGAATCTGTAGCCTTGTTAGGTAGCGAGCGCTTTGTACTTGGCTGTCCAGGCCCTCCGGCGCAAGATTTCGGAGGTTGTATTTGAACCGAAATTCGGCCAGGCGCTCCTTGACGCCGTCTTCACATAGCTCAAAGCGCCGTGTGACCGGGGGGCCGGGACAGCGCCAGTTTTCCGCCATCGGAACGCGGGCCGCGGGAAGTCGATCAAGAATTGGAGCAAAGGCCGGTTTCGCACTCTCCGTCTCGCAAGTATAAATTGTGCATGCCAAATAAGCAGGGACTCTTGGCGCAGACGAAGCGTAGAAAATTGATGGAAATAACTGGCTGTTACATACTATTACCTAGGTAGGTCATTTGTCGTAATTGGCTCAAATACTCTGCCCCGCGTCCGTCCTCGGCGGCGCGGGAACAAGGCCGTCCAAGTCGACCCCCATCTATTCTTACTGACCCCCATCATACATACCTAAACACAGAAGTGATATCTTATATAATAGTTGCCATATCGCCGTTTTCGTTTCCTCATTCAACCACCTCCCACGAGACATTATCCTTTCATCCTCACGACACACTCACCCACCCCGCGCACGACCTAACCATGAAGGTTCTCATCACAGGCGCCTCCGGCTTCGTCGGACAGTCCCTCGCCTCCTCGCTGCTGTCCCAAAACCACAGCGTCATCCTCACTGACCTCGCCGCCCCGCCCATCCCCAGCAGCCGCTCCCCCTCCGCCGCCAACGCCGTCTCCCTCGCCGCCGACCTAGCCGCCGAGCCGTTCCCCGCCAGCGCGGCGCTGCTCCCCGCCGACCTCGACGCCGTCTACGTGCTGCACGGCATCATGTCGTCCGGCGCCGAGGCCGACCTCGCGCTCGGCTACCGCGTCAACCTCCTGTCCACGGTGCGGCTCCTCGACGCCCTGCGCGCGCGGTGCGCGCCGACCGTCCGCGTCATCTACGCCTCCTCGTGCGCCGCCTACGGCGCGCCCCTTCCCGCCCTGCCGCCCTCCGAGACGACGCTGCCCACGCCCGAGGGGTCGTACGGCACGCAGAAGCTCATGGTCGAGCTGCTCCTCAACGACTACACGCGGCGCGGCCTCTTGACGGCGTTTTCCGTGCGCCTGCCCAGCATCACCGTGCGCGCCGGCGCGCCCACCCAGGCGGCGAGCTCCTGGATGAGCGGCATCGTGCGGGAGCCGCTCCAGGGCCGGGAGAGCGTGCTGCCGGTGCTCGACGACGGGTTCCGCTGCTGGGTGTGCTCGCCGCGCACGCTCGTGCGCAACCTGGAAAAGTGCCTCGTGCTCCCGCCCGACTGCATGGAGCCGCATATTCGCCAGGTCCTGCTGCCGGGCGTCACCGTCAGCGTCGGCGAGATGCTGGCCGCGCTGCGCGAGGTCGGTGGCGACGAGGCCGTCCGCCTGGTCAGGAGGGAGAAGCCCACGGCCGCCGCCGCGAGGCTGTTTGAGAGCTGGCCCGCCGCGTTTGACGTCTCGAGGGCGCTGGGCATCGGGTTCGAGCCGGCGGGGACGTTCTTGGAGGCGGTGCAGGACTTTGCGGCTGGCCTCGAGGCGAAATGAACTGGGTGAGTGCGGCTTCGAGGTCGTACGGGTGGCACTTCATCGCTATTGACAATGTGTAACGAGACAAGAGATTGAAAGGATGAGTGATGTATAGCGAATAACGATAATGCCACAAAATGCTAAAAGAATTATATAAACCCCACAAATAGCGGGAATAACGCAAACAACGCAAACAAGGTCAATAAACTACCTACGAACACGTCCGTCCACACCCCATACTACTTGCCCAGGTACCGCCCAGCCGGCGCTTCCGCATGCCTACTCTATAATACTAAGAAATCATCGAAAATTACCTCGCGATCCATCCAATCATACATGAGACACTAGCTGTGGCTGTCGTCGTCACGTCCTGGCACTACAGGAGCTGCAGCATAAATAAAATAGCTGGAAGAAGAAGAAGAAGAAGGAATAGCATATCAAATATCCCACATGCCCAACTAGGCCGGATATAAATCCAAAGAACCAATTTCCTCCTCGCATGTAACCGTTTTCCCCGTCTATCAACGCCGCCGTGTTGCCAGCATCAATCAATGCCAGCCAAGACCAAACCAAGCAAACAGAACAACGCCATATGCATTAATATACCAGTAACAATAACTTGAAAGGACATGACCACCGTTTCTGAGCGTTTTTTGCCTCATCTTCTTTGTTCTTTGAAAGTGTACCGCCAGTGATTCGTATCTCATTATTGTGCAAGCCAAGAGTCCGAGTTCGAGTTAGAGTCCGAGTCCTAATCATCATCGTCATCGTTCTCTAGACTGTTATGATCCATATTATCGGTGCCGTCCTCCTCCAGAACATAGCCAGGAGTGCGCTCGACAAGGCCACGGTAGTAGGCGACCAGTACCTCGGGGTTCGGCACAATTCTCCAGTCAACGCGGTACAGAAACTCGAGCTCAAGCATCTTCAATTCGGCAAGCCGTACACCGCCGACGCGGGCATAGGTAGTGTTGTTCCAGAACGCGTCGGAGAGGCCCTTGGCAGCGACGGTGGCGGCAGTAATGAGGAAGCGATGGACGGTAAGGGTATTGATGGTGAACTCTGGGTAGAGTGCACAGAGACGGTCGATGTAGTACACCATGGAGAGTAAGAGCGGTGGTATGAGGGTGGCGTGCTTCGCTAATCTATGTAAATAATCACGAACTGATATTCCCGGTGCCGCCCTGCAGGTACGTGAAAAAAAATGGGTTAGCTCCAACCAACACTGGGAGTAGCGGCAGGTTACACGTACCTTGAGTGAAATCGCGTGAGACCACCGCTGGTGGTACGAATCGCGTCATTGGTAGCAATGAGTTCGTTGAGCATATGGGCGATGAGCTCGACCATGTCGTCGACGGGACAAAACTCATAGAGAATGGGCAAGATCTTTGGAGGCTGTTCTTCTGGACGAGCCCGTTTTGCGGGCTGTGGGGAGTCGTCATTGACAATTTCGGGCAGAGCCATAGTAGCATGATTTTGGACATCTTCACTACGCCGCTTCGAGGGAGACATGTCTGTGGCGGCGCTGCCGTTGGATGTGGCATTGGACAAGGATCGTTGCGAAGCTGCAGGTGCGGCGGTGTGCGGCTTGGCACCGGTGGTAGCCGAAGTATCGTCTGCAGCCAGTGATTGCTGGTGCATTGAGACGGTGGCAATCTTGGCATCTGTTGCCGACGTGGCCGCAGAGGACGGCCCGACGCCAGGGTCGGGCACAATCATGGTAGCGATGGATCGCTGTCGGGTTCGGCTTCGTGGGGAGAGCGCTAGGCGCGGGCTCGAGGCGAGGGCGGCGGCCGCTGAGCGTCCCGGAGTTGCCGTGGTCGCGGATGAGGGGACGGCAGATCGGGGCGAGAGGGGAGGCGGCGACTGAGCGGGCGCATAGCGAAAAGCGGTGGGCGAGGTGCTTGCTGAGGGAGGGGTCAGAATGGGAGAGGGCCTCAGCATGGCTTTCGGCGCATCGTCACGCGGACCATGGAGTACCGGCTGGTGACGGGATGCGATTTCGCGTAGACGGTGGGTTATTGCGGCAGACGTCTTTGGCGAGTAAGCATGGGATGAGCCTGGGGGTCGGGCGTTGTTGCCTCGGCTTGGAGAACAGGGACCGGTTTGTGGCAGGTTGCACCAGGTATTGTAGACCGTGGTTGGGCCGTTTGCAAACTTGAATAGCCGCGCCGATGATCGCAAATTTCGGGGGAGCGCGGCAATGCCTGGCGGGTTGTATCAGGTCGTGTCGGTAGTCGGCGTCGGGCAATTACGGAGGATGTATAGAAAGGGAGTAAAAGGGAGGCGTGATGGTCGTTGGAGTGGGAGTGGGAGAGGGAGAGAAAATCTTGGATTGTGTCGCTGGGTAGGTAAATTTTTGTTTGCAAGTGTGTGGTTTGCGGCGGTGCTCGTGCTGGTGGTACAAGCAAGCTGCTTGGCAGGCCCCTGGGCGCGGCAAATTGAGTCCGGCGTGCGGAGGTGTGTCTGGTTCTGGCGCAGCGACGTCAGAAGGGTCAGAGGGAGGGGCAGGCTGGACAGAAGCTAGAGGATGTACGATGCACTTGTATGGAGAAGAGGCGAAAAAGGAAAGAATACGGATCAGTCAGAAATCTGATCTAGATGGGGGTTCATGCAAGATGGACAAGAATAACTAGGGTTCAAGCCAGAGCAAGAGGGAAAAGGAAGCGGCGAATTGAGTGGAAACAAGGGCTGCTCAATGGGGCGGTCGAGTTGGTGGCACTGCCACTGAACTGATGCTCACGAGGCCCAGAGTGGCATGCCAGCTTGAACCCCGTAACCTGGACCGAACCTGTACCGGCTAGTAGTCAACAACCCAGTTTACCTGCAATCTGCTACCAGAAATACATAACTAGATCTGACACCAACAACATCTTGTCGGCAATTGGCGACGGTTCTCAGCATCGCCACTCTGCCCGTCTTGGCTTCCCGTCCCCTCGTGGTCTCATCCCCCTCTTCGCACAAACATCAACCCAAAAAGGCTCACCGAACCCCAATCAGAACCTGCTCACGCCGGCCGTAGCCCCCTCCCCCTCCCGATCAAGCAGACAAGCTTTGCTTTCCCCACGAGTCCACGACCCAGACCGCGACGAGACCGCGCCCACGTGCTGCATCGACTCGCTCCCATTCATCGTCCCGGCCCCAGACGAATATCCCCCGTATCTCACGGTTTGCTCCGCGATTTAGTGCCATGTTCCATATCGCAATCTGTCTGATATTGCGCGATGGATCCTCCCTGGCCAGGTTGTGTCAGGCTGTCAGCTAGCAAAAACCTTGTCGATGCAAGAGATGTACCACTAGATGGATGTACTACTAGCTGCGATGAACTCAATACCCAGATGACGTGGCGTTATTCGAGAATGTACCACTCCGTAAATACAAACTACAGAAACGGACAGGGGGGGTTTTCGCATACGTGATCGTCACGTCCATGGTGCCCCAATTGGCATGGAGTCCATCAAGCACGAAATTTTTTCACCGCTACGGATACGGATACCAACTATCCGTACTCTGATCAACTCTGCATCATCATTCCTTCGACTCACAGGCTCCAGCTAGCCCCCTCCGCCCCCTCCCCCCTCTCACTGCCAGGTGTCCGCCCTCGACGCCGTCGTCGCGCACGTCTTGGGCACCGTGTAGCTGTGGTTCGGATCCGCCTCCCACACAACCGTCCCGTCCGCCTGCACATTTACAAACTTGTACTCGATCGCCTTGCCAGCCGGCAGCGTCACCGTCCCCTTCCACACGTTGTTGTCCGCCGTGTACTCGCTCGCCTCGAGCGCCACCGCCCGGCTAGTGTCCCAGTTGCCGAGCTCTGCCGTGTTGCCCACAATCTTGATGGTCTGCCCAAGCTGCGTCGTCACCGTCTCGCGGAATGTGACGGCCACTGACATCGCGGGGGTGCACGTCGGCTGCGCGGGCGCCGTCGACGTTGGTGGAACACCCGTCTTCGGCGTTTGGTTCGCGGGGAACGACGTTGCTGTCGCCGACGTGTAACTGCCTGCAACCGTCTTGCCAGCGCAGGATCCAGGTATCTGGTTGGCGCCGTCGCTGGCCCAGGGCGGCGGGATGATGCCGGCGCGGCGGTCAATGGCTGTGAGAAGCGATGCGTAGGACCAGGTCAGGTCGCGGGCCGACAGCGGAGAGCCATTGTTCTTGTCAAACTGCTCAGCCAATGCACCGCTCGACGGCGTGTACTTGGCAACAATGGCCACAAACTCATCTGCATACGACATGACGGCCTGCACAACGGTAGCAAATGTGCTCGAGTCGCTAGAGTATGTGCCTGGGGCAATGTTGGGCACAAAATCACCAAAGAAGGCCTGCGACGTTCTCGTCACAGTAATGGACCCCTGCTGCTTCCAAATGTGCAGCGCATCGTAAAGCTGCTCAGCTGCAGCCATGGTCGCCAGATACCAAGGGTTACCATTGTAGTACACATCTTCTGAGTACCTACCAATAGCCACACCCTTGCCCTCCGAGATGCCCTTGTTAATGCTGTAGAATCGGAACGAGTCCACAACAACCTTGTGGTTCGAGAGCGCCTTGTCGCTGCACGGCTGAAACGTGCTGGTGTCGCATCCGAGCGCGGCATCAAAGTTATGAATCGATGTCAGAATCGAGTTGACGTCTTTGCCCGTGCGGCCATTGTTTTGGTTGACTGTGTATGTTAGTCACTGCTCTCTCTTTATGGTGTATTTTTTGGACTTACTGTTCGAATTGATGTATCCGCTAGAGGACACCCAGAACGTCTGCAAGAAGCAAAGAATTTGAGGTGCCACTTGACTGTACACCGAGCCGTCCTTGCTCAGCTTGGCGGCCAGACTGCCGCCCTCGACCAGAGATCGGTGCTGGCTTGCGACGGTGAAAAAGGAGCTGCCGTTAACTTCCTCCCACAGGTCAAAGCCAGTCTGGTTCCAGTACTGCGCGACGTAGTTGAGGTCGTTTTGCACGACGGGCCAGACAATGTCGCTAGCCGTGTCTATATATCCATTGTCAATGAGCCAGTGCGCATACGAAATCATGGCAATCGCCCGCAGCGCCGGACCGTCCCGCTGCGGTCGTCCCCACGGGCCGGTAAAGGCAGAAAGGTCAACGTTGAACTTGGGCTCGGCCAGGCCGGCGCCGTCGGACAGGGAGCCTGACGGGTTGGAAACGCCCTGCAGCTTGGCTTGGGCTGCAATGTAGTCTTGGATGAGCGTTTGCAGGTTGCTATCATATGAATGGGTGAATCGGTCCACGAGGCACTTGAACACCAAGGCGCTGTCTCGTGTCCATGTGTACCAGTCTGACCATGTTAGCAACTGCCGATGGAATATGCGCAGGGCTTCATACAATTGGGGTTGCTCGTGCTGGGTGACGCCGCCACGGCGCCCGGGGCCGCCGACTGCGCTTCGCAGCCGTCCGAGCCAATGTTGCAGAGCAGCTTCTGGAGCGCAATGGGTCCTTCGGAAGAAACGAAGCTGTCGATGTTGCGCCTCTGAATACATTGGGTGCTGGTGCCAGGCAGGCCTAGCACTTTTTGGGCCGCAAGGGTGCCGAGCAACAGAACACTACCGAGACCATGCATGATGGGCTGTGCAAAGGAGACGGAAGAAGTATTCCAGAATGATGATAATGCACGGCCATCCATTATGATGAGGGCCAGGCAGGGCGATTATATATACAGCAAATCCGAACCAAGCGTGTAGTTGGAGATGGAGGTGGGTACGGCTCGATTCCGCAAACCAAGGTTTATTAGTGGCGGAGGGCGAACGGCCCGACTTGGGGAAGCCAGCCTGCGTAGTGGCGGAGGCGCGAATAGCGGCATGGAAGTCATCCGTGGATGGCGGGAACCGGCAAACCGGGGTAGTTACAGTCCCATCAAGGAAGGTCGAAAAGCAGTAGCTGGTTCTACGGGGAGTACGGAGTACAGTATGGGGGGCACTATTACTCTCTGTGATATAGCTCAGTCGGGCTTGCAGGCGAACACAACCACCAATGGACGGCGCAAGCTCGGCCTAACTTGTCAAGCGTTCCTTTTGTCTGGGGAAATGGACCTCTTGCAGGGCGGAGATGCGGCGGCGATGTACGGAGGCAGATCACTGCACAGCTTCAGCTAATTATTGCGAGGGGCTATACCTAGTTGATACCTTACTACCTTGTTAGGTACTTACAGGTATGCCGGGCCGACACGTGTGGGTGGTTGCAGCGTAAGTGGCCCGCCAACGACACTAATCCGGTCCACTGGTCTAGGTAATTCGGCGTCGGACGGCAGGGTCTAGTTACTTCCACCGTATGTAGATGGCATCAAACGAACCTGTAAATGCCGGCAGTGGCCGTGAATCGGTCCGTCTGCCCAAGCAAGCCGAGTTTTGGGTCAGAGTGACCACGACAGGCGCATTATTTGCTAGGACGATACAGTGACACGCGTTTGCTAGGCAAACAGAACCGCAAGACAGTTTCCTATGTAGTCGAACAACAGTCCATGACTACCCCCTAGGTACCTACTAGGTACCAAGTCACTGTAGACAGAAGTCATAGCGAGACTATAATATCGGGTGTTTGAGCAGGGCTACTCAGGAAGCCAGGCAGGTTGCGTGTTGGCATACGCGAGGCCGTAAAGTCAGGTCTACCTAGTAGTTATCAAGACGAAGCGGCACTTTCATTGTCTAAGATCTGCACATTGCATCGTCACCTTCACCTGCGTTGAATCGCCTGAACGACACATTCAGTGCAGATGCCTGCGGGCAACAACCTTGATCATCCGCTCCGTCCAGAATCGCCCGTCGCTGTCGCAAAGTGCTCGTTTAAAAGAGCAACAAAGATTCAAAAGGGAAAAATGTAAACGCATGGTTTTCCTCAACCGCATAGGCCAACGACCTAGGAGAAAGGTTTGGAGTATAACGCTTTGGAAGCATGGCCGGAATCACCACTCTGCCGCCACAAGGACGGCGAGCAGTGCAACCACACCCCCGATCATTCTGGGACCTGTCGATAGGAAGATTGACATCATAACAAGTGGATGGCTCCATGAGTTATCGAGTTGCACAGACATCAACTCTGCACCGCCTAGGGGCAGAGGACGACTGGCACAGATCCTGTGAAGTAGAAAGAAAAAAGGGAAGAAGCAGAAATTTTAGCGTTGACTTTATGGGCACAAGGCTCGTCACGTGCAACCACGGAAGAGGCGCGGCTAAACCTTTTTGGGCTGGTCCACTAACAAATTGCAGGCCGCGACTTACAGGCAGCAGTGGCCAACATTCCCTCCTCCAAACTTTGAAGGTGCGCATCATCAGACACCGCCAACATGGACGCCGCGACGATAGAAGAGATGAACCGCATACGAGTGTCGCTGGGAATGAAGCCTCTGCCCGTTCCCGGTGCCGACGCGCCCAGCGACTCGGATTCCGAACCAGAGGAGGACCGCGGCAGCACGCTCGAAACGCGCGAGGCCGAGGGCGGCGACAATTACCAAAAATATCTCGACGGCGAGGCCAACAAGCGCCGGCGCGAGCAAAAGGCCGCTGCCGTCCGGAGGGCGCGCGAGATGGCCCAGCGCAACCTGGTCCTGGACGGCAAGGGCCTGGGCGAGGCCGACGCCGAGGACCCTGCCGACGCGCGCGCCTGGTTGACGGGTCAGAAGAAGCGCCAAAGGAAGATCGACAAGGCGCGCAAGCTTGAGGCGGAGCTGGCGGCGGCTGAGGCAGAGGCCGCCGCCGCCGTTCAGTACACCGCCAAGGATCTGGCGGGCATCAGGGTTGGTCACGACATGTCCACGTTCCTCGACGGTGATGAGCAGATTCTCACGCTGAAGGACTCTGCCATTGATGCCAACGACGAGGACGACGAACTGGAAAATGTGACCCTCCGTGAACAAGAAGCTCTTCATGACAGGTTGGATGTGCTGAAAAAGCGTCCTGGCTATAACCCCGTGGATGGTGAAGAGGCCAGTGGTATACTTGCGCAATACGACGAAGAAATTTCCGGCAAGAAGAGAAAACGATTCACGCTCGATGAAACGGGGATCAATGCCGAGCTGGCGGATATTCTCAGTGCGCCCGCCGCAAAGAAGCAGCACAATATCTCCCTAGATGATGTTGTTGGTACGTGTAGCGAATCTCATAGTCCGAAGAAAAAACAGTCGTTACTAACTCGTTTCATAGGCGACGGCGTACAAGGATCCTCCGACTACTTAGATGCCTCGGAAATAAAGATAAAAAAGCCCAAGAAGAAGAAATCCAAACAAACAAGACAAAAACAACAGGATGAAGACGACATCTTTCCACTAGAAGTCGTACCCGAAGCGAATGACGAAATGGATGTGGATAGCAAAGACGGCATCCGCAAGAAACCAAAGACAGTATCCGACACGTTTGTCGACGATGATGACCTGCAAGCGTCATTAGCAGCGCAAAGAAGAAACGCGCTCAAGAAGCGCAAGAAGAGCCGCCCAGAGGACTTAGCAAAGATGCTCAAGGAACAAGGGAACGAAGAAGATTCGCTCGAAATTCAGCCAGACGGCGGTCTTGTCATCGGTGCCGTGTCTGAGTTTGTCTCTGGCCTCAGTGTGCCGGAAGTTGAAGTTCGCAAGCCGAAGCGAAGCCCCTCACCGACGCAAGAACGCAGGCCAGAAGAAAATGGCGAGGATCATATCATGGAGGATTTGGAAGATGCACATATTCAACATGTGCAAGATTCGGAGCCCCAGCCGCAAGATCAAGCCGAGGACGAGGAAAAGATGGTTGGCAGCGGCATGGGCGCAGCCCTGTCGCTGCTGCGCGAGCGCGGCCTCGTCGAAGAGTCCAAGGGCGACGAAGAGTACGCCGCTTTTAAGCACCGCCAGGATTTCCTCGCCAAGAAGAAGCAGCTCGAAGACGAGCTCGACGAAGAGACGCGGCGGCAACGCGAGCGGGACCGCGCCAATGGCAAGCTGGACCGCATGTCAGTGCGCGAGCGCGAGGACTATGCGCGGCAGCAGAACCAGTGGCGCGACCAGCAGCAGTCGCGGCGCGTGGCGAAGCTCTTTGAAGCCAACTACAAGCCAACGGTGGCGCTGAAATACCGCGACGACCTCGGCCGCGACCTCGGCACCAAGGACGCCTTCAAGCATCTCAGCCACCACTTTCACGGCAAGGACAGCGGCAACATGAAGAAGCAGAAGTTGCTCAAGAAGATGGAGGAGGACCGCCGGCGCGAGGCCCAGAGCATGTTTGACGCCAGCCAGAGCGCAGGTATGAGCCGCGCGACGGCACAGCAGCTCAAGAAGCGCAAGGAGGCGGGTGTTCGTCTAGGATGAGCGGTTACGGCAATGGCGGACAAGGGAAGAAACGGCACGCTAGTGGAAGAGCCCATGTGGAAAGAAGAAAGGCCTGGTTGTACTTTTAACAGATCTTTTTATTACTTTTACTAACGCTATTCCTCGAGCTTCAGATACCCCCAAAATACATAGGTGCCGGTGTCGCGACTCTTCACCGCGCCTCCTTTTCCATATATACAACAATGGCCTCTCCGTTAATGTGTTTGTTTCGAGCTTACATGCTTGCAGCTAGATCGTATTACCAGGAGCCCGTCGTCAGACTTTAGATCCAGTACCTGCGCTGCTGCTGCTCCATCTCTGTTCTGGCATGCCGGAAGAACAGCTTCCAGGCCGGCGGCCGCTTGGAGGGCATTGGCTGGACGTGCTGTTGGTGCGGGTCGAGGCGAGGACGGTGTCGGGCGAGCGCCGCGGTCGCCGTGTCGAGAAGCGTGTACTTGCGCGGCGGGACGGGAAATGGGGGCTCGTTGGATACATGGTCGCGGCCACCGCGCCGCAGCCGCCTAGGCGGCGTTGTCTCTACCCTGCGAGGCGCTGGGCGCTCGACCCTGACGTCGCCTAGACACGCCTTGGGCGCCGCCGCATGCGGCTGCTTATAGAAACCGGACGTCGAGCTCCCTCCCGTGCAAGCACGCAGCAGCGCGCCTCCCCAGCAACTCGATGTCGCGCGCATACGCTCACGACGGCGCCGCTCCCGCGCGGGCCCGGTGCTGGCGGCACAGACGCTCTCAGTGCTGCTGCTGCTCTCCGGCTCGCTGCAAAAGGACACTTTCTTCGGCGCCCGGCGGGTGGTGGTGGTGTCGACTGATGATGGCGTGGCGGGGGGGCGCGCGGAGCGTCTTGGGCGACGCTGCTTTTGCTGGCCGGGTGGACGCCAGTTGCGCGTCTCGGCGGTGCGCGGGGGATACCGTGATGAGTTCCGGGAAGGAGCCTTGCGTGGCCGTGGTGGGCGCGGGGGGGTAGCCTTGCGTGGGTATGGTCGGGGGCTGTCTGGTCGGCTGGCTTCGGTGATGTCGACAAATTGTCCGTAAACGCATTGTTGTATAGTGTATGCCATGTTTGCCAGAAAAAATAGGAGAGAAAGACAAAAAAAACAGGTGCTGCCCACCTACGACTGAGATGGTGAGGATGCTGTTGGTATTTGTTTCCCCGCGAATGAATCCAGGTCGAATTCGCTGTTTCTTCAATACGTGTACTTGTAGGGGTGTTCTTACGAGTGCCCCTTTGAGTGAATAGATGTGGCTTTTTTAAGAAAAGAAAGAAAAGTCCTGCAGTGTTTATTTGCCAAAGAATTAAAAAGATTCTCGAATAATTTATAGGCAAATGTCTTGTATTAAACGGTGAATGCGCGCGCTTCAAGAGCGGCAACGTATCTACTGGCAAAACTTTCGGTCTACGGCGTGCTGCCTCTTTGTAAAGGGACTTCTTTGTCGCACGGCGAAGTAGCGGTGGTGGTGGTACAAGGCGGCTTGCTGCGTGAGGCGCCCTCGCAGAGTTGTAGTCACAACCAACGGGGTCGGTGACGCAGGACGCCTTTCTCTCGTATTCTAAGTGTCAAGTCAAAACAAACACGGGTTGCATCCTGCCCATCTTCGCTCAACACGGCGCTTCCTTGTCGCCGGTTGCCTTGACATCCTCGACGGGGTGCTTGTTTAGGCTCTCGTAGAGCTGCAGGTAGCTGCCTATCAGAAACGCCCAAGAGCCCCTAACTCAAGGCAAATAGTCAAGAATTAGTTCCCAAACGTACATTTTGCAAAAGAGAAAGAGGGGTGGGTGGTAGCACGAAAAAAAAAATTACACACGACGCAGCAAAGACTTACCAGAATGTCGCCAGCGCCGCCTGGTACTGCGCGCCGGTGCTGCCGTACGCCATGCCGAGCGCGCCGCACAGCGTGAAGCCCACGGCTCCAATCAGGTTCCAAAACGCAATGTGCCAGCCGAGCAACCGCGGCGCGGGCCGCCACCAGCGGTCCTGCGTCTCGAGCATGTACAGCAGCCCGCTGACGACGAAGCCGCACCCGCCGACGACCTGCGGGATCCAGTAGGCGGCGTTGAGCCGCCACTGCGGCGTGAGGTGCTCCGCGATGCCCGGCAGGGCGGTGAAGCCGGCGACGCCAAAGATGGTGGCGCCGATGAGCTGCGCCGCACCCGCGAGGAAGCCGAGCTCGTACATGTAGCGGTGGCGGAGGTCGTGCCAGGAGACGCGCCACTTCCAGCGCCGGGGCGGGCTGCCCGCGGGGGCGGGGACGCGGGACTGCGGCGCGCCGACGAGGTTGTGCTTGTTTTGGTGGTGGTGCTGGCAGAGGCCCGGGCTGGCGACGTAGGTTGCGGCGGCGCCGCCGCCGCCGGCGGGGGAGTCGTGGTCGTCGGGGGCCAGCAGCTCCTCGACGGCCCAGCCGAAACAGGCGGCGTCGTTGGTATTGATGGCTTCGAGGATGAGGAGCACGGAGCCGAGCTCAAAGAAGAGAATGGCGCCGATAAAGGCCGTGATGCCGCCGCCGTAGTCGGCCTCGCCTGGGAACCTTGTCGAGGGCCGCACCAACGGCAGCCAAGCAAAGAATCCCTATTCATACGTTTTCAGCAATCCCCCGTCATGCAATTCTAATTTCCCGCCGCAAAGAGACTTACATTGATGACCCAGACTACGCTGCCCCAGGTAAAGATACAGGCCACCAGCCAGGAAATGTCCCACACGGGAAACTCGGTCAACGTGCGGACCACGCCCCTCAGCACCTCTCTGGGATGCGACGACCGGCGCGGCGCGCGGGCGCCGCTGGGGGACCGCCTGTGCACCTGGATCGGGTGTCGGCCTTTGCGGTTATCCCGCGACCGCCAGAGAAAGTGCACCCCGTCAAGGCCGGGTGGCTGCTTGCCGGCGGCGTCGGCGGTGGGCGGCCGGGCGGGCGAGGCCGCGGCAGCGTCGGTCTCCTCGCCCTGGGGGGTTGGCGTGTCCGCCGTTGGCTGAAGCACTCCGCGCGTCGGATTGAGGAAGGAGACGGGCCCGTGGGCGTGGTGCAGCAAACGGCTGTGGTGGCCAGGGCGGGAAGCCGCGCAGGAGGCGCGGCCGGGAGCACTCATCGGAAGAGGGAGGCGAGGAAGGGTCGCGGAGCGATTGGCAGCGGCGCCGGGCGCAAGAGCAGTTCTGAGTAGCTGCTTGGGGGCGGGCACTCTTGGGCGAAGCTATCTTTGGCACGACTTTGATTGTTTTTCTGGTACGCGGCCATGCTTTGTCGGAGACAGCGGCGGGCAGGAAATCAAAGTTTGGCTGTGGCGGCAGTGGGCGGCTGAACTGCCGCTCACTCAGGCGGGGACTCCAGAATGTGCTTTAGACTGGTCATGGAGCAATCATCCGACGCAGTATTTTATACAGATGCTGAGAATTTGAAGTAGAACCCTCCTGTAGGAGGTGTTCAGAAATTTACCAAAGATTCCAGGGCTGCATTTATTTTGAGTGGTTCCGACGGTTCCGTCGTCCAATCTAGGCTCTGATACGTCATTTTGAACAGTATGGAAAGTAGAATTGGATTATATCTCCCAATAATACAATGTAGCAAGAGGAAGACATTTATTTTTTAAAGAAGTAGCATATACAATCTGAAAAAAATTAAAACCATCTGGTCCCTCCCCTAGCACCCAAGGTACAAACAGGCGGGTATGCTGGACAGTAGGTAGTGTTAGGAAGACCACTTGGTTGCCGCTTCAACGTTTAATTTGTTGTCATCATCTCTCTGAAGACATATATTACATACCACTAAGGTCATTTACATGAATTCTTCACATAGCTGCAGCTCCTCACCTCTGCAAAGAGCCTACCAGATGCATTGGGGTTGGCGGCGGCAAGGTGGTAGCACACCACGTCCGAGTACGGGTGGAAGAGCATGGCACTACACGATCGCGTGATGCCATATTGTGTTACAGTGCTACAAAATGTGAGGATTGGGCGTGAGAGTGCGCTGGGAGGTAGTGTGATGAGGTGACAACAATAAGTGGCTTGTCGCAAGCTCATAGCCCTGAATTTTCTCCATCCCCTTGCCCTTGTGCGGAATGGCCTTCTAGAGACGCATCTCAGGTAGACAGCATGCTTTCATTGTGTCAATACACGGGAACATGGGTTAGTAAAGGCGTCGATGTAGGACTGCCATACCCTACAGCACGGCAAGATTTCAACGTTGCACGACTGCGCTGTGTGTATTGGGAGCTGATTGACGGTGTGTTTCAGTTGGTCAAGGCTTGGACGGCGTACGTGCTTATAGCAAATGAATAGCTAGCCTCTTCGTGCTACGGTCGAATCCTCATGACGTAGGCGGGAAGTGGGTGGTGGTTGGAGCTCTCTGTGAACAGTCCGGCGCACTGCTGTGTAGGTACGGCGAAGAAGTGAATGGCGCCCAGCTGGGATGTCTCAGATGGTCGTCATAGTTGGCCAATAAATGAGATGGTAGTGTTGTACAACAGACGGAGAAGACGCAGCGTGACGAGAGCTGAGCCGGCAGGGTACGAGCTCGTCTATTCGTCGAGGCGAAGGGCGGCGTACATACGAGATCACGGGGGAAGCCATGCGGGCAACAATACTGGTTGGTGTTTCTGCTGGGCGCAGCCAATCTCGATGGCATCGACCTTTGTTTAGTGATGAAGATGATGAAGATGGTTAAGATGAGATGAATGAATGTCAAGGAGTTGGCTTGCCCGAAAGCGGCGAAGACCCTGGTTGCCTGGCCTGGCTGGCAGCGGATGGTGGTTCCCTGGATGCCCACTGAAATGCTGGCTTACAGGGGTGGAGGTAATAATAACGTTGGGGCCGTTTGCGCCCTGCATGACGAGTTCTAGAAACGGGTTGGTGGGAAAAGGAAAAAGAAAAAGAAAAAGAAAAAGAAAGTAAAGAAAAATCTGGGAATAAAGTGAGGCGCAGAGAGAATCCCGAGTGCTTTTTACGAATGACCACTAATTATGAATGAGTCCACGCGTCCAGTTACCAGCAATTGGCCACCTCCATCTTCAGCAGCGGGCTGTCTGTAGGCAAAAGTTAAATGTGAGCCCCGCAGGCACTAAAAGTCGAGCCACTTGCCAAGACCATGGCGGGCTGTGGCCTGTAACTATTACTCCGTACCTTTTTTAGGTAGCCTTGGCTTACAATTGGGCTGGCTGACCTACCTGTAACTCCTACTACCTACAGACTCCCCAAACTGGTCAACCCACATTCCCACTTTGCCGGCCTGGCTCAACGACGACTTTCGGTCGTCCCGTCTCTCGCCCTGACCAAGCAACCATCTTGCGCTGCGCAACATCACGCGCTGTCCTGTGTGCGACGTCTCGTCGTGAAACGTCTTATTTCTGCATTTCTACTCCAACACCTGCTCTTTCCCTCTCTTTTCGCCCCTCTCCATTTACCATACGAGCTTGGTTGTGCTCTGCTGGGATCATCCACCCCATTGCGCTCTCTGATCGACGACCCTCCCGACACTACCGACGTTAATCTCTGCAGATTGGCATACGACTCTTCTTTATTCACCCGTTCTTCGGTGTATTATAGTGCGAGATTGCTACCGACAATACTACGCCGATAGAGGCCCCAAGGGGCGCCCGACGCCGCCGATCCCCGTCGCCTGCAAATTCCGGCCATCACAAGATCAACGCAACAACCAGGCTGTTGAATTCCCGCCCGCCGCCAGAAGCAAGGCACGCCCGGCCGCCCGAGAGGACGGTCATTGACGTTGCTCCCCGCCCAAGAATGATTGACGCGACCCTCAACCCATAGGCCTCGACACTCAAGCTGGCCGCTCACACTCTGCTGCCGTTTGCCCGCCATGAGGGTCGCGATCCGAGAGCAGCTGGCTGCCCTCGTCATCTTCGCCGTCCTTACATGTCTGGTTGTCGTCTCTGTTCCCACCTGGAACTTTGTATACAACTTCGTCGTCGGCGTTGAGACGTCGAGCCTCGCCCTCACGGCCTCGCTCAAGGCCACCCGCATCAGCTCCGAGATCAACCTTCTCCTCATCATCTGCCAGTCCGTCGCCAGCCGCATCCTCCTCCAAGACGCCTTTGGCGACTTTTACAATGGCAACGCCACCTCCAACCCCTTTGACTCGGCCCGCAGAGACATTACCAGTGCCATGACTAATAGCCAAGTCTCTGGTCTGCTCCAAGCTCGCCTCTACTCTCGAAATATTACCGGCGCCGCCGATAAAGGCCTCCTCAACGTCACTGCCGCAGGCATAGGCAATCAACGGAACAACATTGCGCTGCCCTACCTCACGCCTGACGGCCGCCGCGCAAACCTCAGCGACACCCAGTGGGGGTATCCCCCTTCCTTATACCCCAACATCACCTACCAAGCCACTGGCAGCCCCGTTCCCGGCCTCCCAGACACCCAGGCTTGGGCAGCAGATGCTTTCCCCAACGTGAGAATCAGCGACAAGGGCGGATTGGTTCTCGGCCCCCTCATCGTCAACGAGACGTATGCCCTCATATCTCTGACAATTCCTGTTCGAGCCAACTACAATTCCAGATACTTCCTTGGCTATATGACACTGGTTGTCTCGGCAACATCTCTCCTCGAGGTCCAGACTTCTCGAGAGGGGTTAGATAAGTCGGGTATGGTTTTGATAGTTGGTCCTGCCCATCCATCCAACAAATTTGCCGGTAGCACGACGCCTAACAACGGCACCCGCGCTCCTGAAAGAAATGCACTTGGCAACGTCAACGCCCACTTTGTGCTTCCACCCATCACACCGCGGGGACAAGCTGACAGACATGGCAATCGAGACTACCACAGTGGCAACTCCAACTCCGACTTTGAGCTTGAACAGTACCAGTCCGTTCTCAACGTATACTACAACAACGGCACACAGCTCAACAATGCAACCGCCGACTTGTCAACCACGAATGAGCAGGGTGTCTCTGTCGCTGTTGGTATTGCTCGCCCGCAATCCGATCTTGTAAACTGGGCTGTGGTGGTGGAAAAGGCGAGATCAGAAGCTTACCAGCCAATCTCCAAACTCCGCACAATTCTTCTCGCCTGCGCCTTTGGCACTGCAGCTCTTATCCTCCTTCTTGTGATTCCCTGCGCTCACTTCGGCGTCAGACCCATTCGACGCCTAAAAGAGGCCACGGAAAAATCTATCCGGCCTCCAGGATATGAGGACGAGCTCGAGGATCTCAGCGATGGCGACGGGCCAAGCTCCGGTGCAACTCGCACCACTTCGTCTAGCAAAAGTCGCTTCTTTGCCCCACTACGGCGCAGATTTAGGAAGAATAGGAAGCCATTGACGGCGGCCGAGATTGATGCCCATCGACGAGTTTTCAGGATCCCTGGACGTGTTGTTCAAGGAAGGCACTTAATAACCGACGAGCTCACAGAGCTCACGAAAACATACAACAGTATGTCGGACGAGCTGCTGAAGCAGTACACATTGCTCGACGAGAAGGTGGCTGAGCGCACACGGCAGCTGGAAATCAGTAAGAAAGCTGCCGAGGCTGCCAACGAAAGTAAGACGCTCTTCATCGCCAATATCTCTCATGAGCTCAAAACACCACTAAACGGTATCATGGGTATATGTGCCGTCTGCATGGAAGACGACGATCTCAACAGAATAAGGTCGTCTCTAAGAACCGTGTACAAGTCGGGTATGTGTTGCCTTGTTCCTAATCAACTGCTCTCTGACTAATACATGACAGGTGACCTGTTACTACATCTTCTCGAAGATTTGCTGAGCTTCTCCAAGAATCAAATCAGCCACCAAGTTAGCCTGGAGCGACGAGAATTTCGCCTCGGAGATATAAAGGCGCAGATTGAGTCCATCTTTGACAAGCAAGTGAGAGAAAACAATATCCGGCTCTCCGTTGAATACTTGTCATTTGATAGTCTGCATGGGACACCAGAAGCGCAGCAGCCCCGCCTAGATGAGCGGTTACCAGCGTTGGGGCCACCTGGCATGGGACGGCTTAAGGATGCCTACCTCATGGGTGACCACCATCGCATACTGCAAGTCATCATCAACTTGGTGGGCAACAGTGTCAAGTTTACTCCTGTGGGTGGCAAAGTGACATTGCGGATACGCTGCTTGGGTGAGGTCGAGCAGACGAGCGGTGACGAATTGAGCAGGAACTCATCCCTGTCCCGGCCTCCGTCTGTCGCGCAGGGCTGGCGCACTCGCACGCGTGGTAACTCGAGCTCAATTCACTCGAGCCACTCGGTGGCAGCGACGGCCGTCAAAGACGGCACTGCTCTTGAGATCAACCCGATGGATCCCAAGTTGACGCCCCGTGTTTCTTTGCGTGAGCGGTCTGCGTCTCCACCGCCCATCAAGTACAAGTCATTTGTGTTTGAATTCGAGGTGGAGGACTCTGGGCACGGCGTTCCCGAGCACATGCAGACCAAGATCTTTGAGCCGTTTGTACAAGGTGATTCCGGCCTGAACAAGAAATTCGGCGGTACAGGCTTGGGTCTCAGCATCTGCGCGCAGCTCGTGAAGCTCATGGGCGGTTCCATTGGTGTCAAGAGCGCACCCAAGCAAGGATCCGTCTTCACGATGCGGATCCCGCTCGAGTACGTCAAGGACCGCACGCCGAGCACGGCTTCTTCCAGTATTCGATCGCGCGCCAACAGCGTGGGCTCCGCCATGGACGAGACGCAGTGCACATCCCTCACGAGCACGGCGGTCAGTAACGGAACCGCGGGCATTGCGGGCGTCCATGACCAGAAGCACAGCAACAGCAGCGGCGGCAGCAACACCGCCGGTACCAATGCCAACCACCGCCTCCTCGAGAACAAGCCGCGCCTCGTCGGCCTCAGTCTCCCATTTTTCACCACCAACGAGTCGCCGCATGCCGCCGACGTGGAAAAGGGCTATAATGGGCGCCGCGCGCCGCTCGGTACCAGCGGCAGCAGGCTCAAGGTGCTGGTCGCCGACGACAATGCCACCAATATCGAGGTCGTCAGCCGTATGCTCAAGCTCGAGGACGTGTACGACGTGACGGTGGCCAAGGACGGACAGGAGGCGTACGAGCTGGTCAAGGAGAGCATGATGGCGGCGGCAGCGGGGTCGGGATCGTCGCCCACGCCGCCCCAGCGTCAGTTTGACGTCATCTTTATGGACGTCCAGATGCCCAACGTTAACGGCCTAGAGTCGACGCGACTGATTCGGAAAATGGGCTACGTCGCCCCCATTGTCGCCCTCACGGCCTTTTCCGAGGAGAGCAACGTCCAAGAGTGCATGGCCTCGGGCATGAATGAGTTTCTCAGCAAGCCCATCCGCCGACCCGCCCTCAAAAAGGTGCTCACCAAGATTTCGACGATTGAAGAGGAGGACATCACCCCGCCGCCGTCGCAGACACTGCAGGTCTCGCCGCCCCCAACACCCCCGACCACGGGCGGCGACGAGCTCGAAGCCCCGCGAGAGGAGAAGACGACGACGAATGGCGCGGTGTAAGCAGCGTCTGCACCCAAGTCTGCAGGAAGACTGGCCTTAACTTGTCACAGCCTTGGAAATGCACGACGGGAGAGAGGAAGAAAGTCTGTGGAATTGTATAATGTGGACAGCGCAGCTCTGCTGTTTTCTTGGTTTAGACGAAAAAAAACAAGGAGTTTTTTTTCTAGGTGCATGGTAAACAAAAGGATGTATATTGCTTTTTTGGATTCAGCACAAAGCGAAGGCGTTTGATTCTCTTCTTTTTTTTTTACTACTTCTTTTTATTAGCTCTCTCAGAAGCTCCGTTTATACTCGGACAGCGGATTATTCTTGGATTTCTTTCTTGCCTTTTCCATCCTTGGACACTCACTTTTCTTCTTTTTATCCTTGCACATGTTACCATCCATGTATACATACATCTATTCTTTACCGTCAACACGCTTTTTTGCTTGATTCCATTACAAGACACCAAGCTTTCTTGGCTACATCTCTGATGGGACATGTATAGTGATGTCGTAGACGAGGTGCATGTCAGGGTATCAATCATCGTATATTGTAGATATATACCACTAGTCTAAAAACGGGTATGAAAAAGTCTCGGTGAAAAAGGAAAAGTCGTCTAAGTGTTCTGTTCTTGACCAAAAAGTCTAATGAAACGCCATTCCCAACCATGTAAAACTCGCTAGCACAAGGTAAAGAAGGGGAAATGGAAAAGAGGAAATGGTGTGATGGTGTAAAACAAATCAAAGGCGCACCTTGGCACCGATGCCACGTCCTTCATACTGCAACGTCTCGATCCACCTCCCTAGCCGAACCGTCACCTGTGCGTGCGCATCCAGGCGCATCTCGCCGCCGAGGGCCTCGCGCAGCCGGTCGTAGCCCACGCTGTCGCTTGACCACTGCACGGCGAGCCGGGGCGTCTCGGACAGACCCGGCGGCACGTCAAACGGCTGGGTGTGCTCGATGTGCGCGACAGGTTCCGTGTGGTTGTAAAAGGCCGTGGCACGGATGGACTCGATGTGGACCGTGTTGTGGCGCAGTGGCGAGACCAGCACAAAGGTCGCCGACGACGTCAGCAGATGGAAGAAGGCCTCACGGAGAAAGCCAGGCATGGAAGTGTTGGTAGGTGCGTGGCCGTCGCCGGGGAGCTCGAGACGGGGAGTGGGAATCGACACGTGGATTCTGGACAGAGCTTCGCCAAGCTCTGGCAGGCTGGGCACGCTGCCGCGATGAGACCGTATCGTGATGGTGGTATTCTTCCCAGAAAGGTAGTCTGAGATAAGCTTGCGCCCAGCCAAGCGGCTCCTTTCCCCGCCAAGGCCTGCCGGGTCCCACGAAGCGCTGACAGTGACATTGGTGACGTTTCCTTGGCCCACCAGTAGATCTTGCACCGTGACGTCCCCCAAGATGTCATCACCAGAGAAGAAATGTAGATTGATAAAAGGAACCGATGCTTTGTAGGGCGTCGGGTTCGTAAAGTTTACAGCGCATTCCAGTCTAACCGCAGTCGACGTCGTGTTGCGGACCCAAATGTTCCCGACTTGTGGCTTGACATTGCTGATGAAGTCCCCCGGCAGCCCTGCTTTGTCGTCAGTGTCCGTTCCGCAGCCGGGGAAGCGTCACGACCCGACTCTCACGACGCGCACAGGGATAAATGGACAAAGGAGTGCGGCGCGACGGGTTACCATTTAGAGGACGGACCATTGACGGGAATTCGGCCCTCCGCAGGGACTTCTTTGATGACGAGGGGGCCGAGAACGGTGTCGACCTTGACATCCAGTTTGGCACGGGCGTGGACAATGACGCCTTTGGAGCCAAAGAGGTAATCACTAGCGAGTGAGGAAAATACATCGTTGTCGGTAATATCGATCGGCGCGTTGTCGACGCGAGATGTTATCTCGACGAGTATCTCCTTGGCATCGGAATCGAGCTTGCGAGAGGATGCCTTTTGCCACTCTCGCAGGTTGAGTTCGCCAAATTTCTTATCCTTGTAAAAGAGGTTGCCTTGTGTTTTGAGGCCTTCTACCTTCAAATCCACGTCGACGCCCTCTGGCAAAGCTGCAATGGCGACAACTGTGCCGGTTACGCGAGGCTTGCCCTCTGGCTCGAACGGGCTCGGAAGCGAAAAGTCGACGTCAGTTAAAGAAAAGTTGCGGAGCAAGTCGTCAAATGAACCTCCTGGAAAGTCGATGGGGACCGTGACGCTGGCCAGTAAATCGCCTAGCCACTCAGGAAGCTCGGAATCGCTGGGCTGCTTGCCGCGCACAAAGATCTGGGCCTCTTCGCCGCCGAGGTAGTGCTTGAGGAATTCATCGAGTGGAGACAGTTCAGAAACGGGACATGCCTGCGTCAGTTTCTGCGGCAACTTGCGGATCAAACCAGAAGCCTCGGCAATGATATCAGTTTTTGGCTTCACGTCGATGACGCTAGACCTGCCAGTGCCGACCGCGATTTTAGCATCGTCGGGTGTACATCCCGAGATGAGAACCTCGAAGCCGACGCGGGGTACAGTCAACGAGATGGGGTACTCGTTTTGCACTGAGACTGAGACATTCGCGCCAATGCCTTGACTATCCCCATGGCCTAGAGGGACTTGGTGAAAGTTGAGGTGCTGAATGCTGTATTTGGGGATCGAAGGAGCATCTTTGGCTGTAAAAACAGTCAGCAAACTGAGCAAAAAAAGCGTGGCATGAGATAAGTAGCATAATTAGAAAAGACTGGGATACAGGTAAATAAAGCAGCAGCGGGTAGGTATCTAGCTAATGGACTTTTCGCCAAAGTACAGGGAGGAAAATGTGCTGTAGAGAGATTGACCTTCTAAAACCATGGACTCGATGACATCATGAGTCCCAAGAGGGATAAATCCCGACTTGAGCTGCAAGGCGGTTGCGGTCTTGACCTCTAGCTCGCTAATCTTGCCAGTGAGCCAGTCGTTGACAATCTTCTTGATGCTGCCGTTATCTCCAAGCTTCATATCGGTGACGATGTCGATGAACGTATTTTTGCCGTCGACGAGGTTGAGGCTCAGGGACGGGACCACAGCGGAGCCGACCATGGCATCGCCATAGCCGGGTACGTAGAGCTTGATGTGCGTCTGCTCGGCGTCCACGGTTCTCATAATACTCATGGCAATGCGACCGATTCTGCGGGCCATAGGATCCTCGACACGGGCGGCATCCATGCGGAAGTTGCCTTGCACACGGGCACGGATGCCGGTAAAACTAATGGAGTCGAGGGAGAGCCCAGTGGGTTCAAGAACGACGGCCTTTTCAATGTATGTCTGTACGGCCGGCGGAACGAGGAATCCAAGGACGATGACGGCGATGACGACGGTTCCAAGGAGCATCATCGCAACGAGGGATGGCCATCGTCGTTTGCTCTTCTGTGGCTTGAGAGGCGCTTGCGACGAGGGAGCATCACTGGCGGCATCGTTTGTCACCGGTTGCGAGCCGTATGAAGCGTCGACGGCATTGGAATCACCGGAAAGAAGGGGTTCTGTCTCGGCAGCCCGCTCCTCTTGATGTTTTTTGGATGCGTTCTTGGGAGCCATGATGGCAATGGTGACGTGCGTAAGCGGCGAAAGCGATGACGCCAGGATAGGTGGGGTTTCGATGCGGGTGTGTCAAGAGCTGCCGAGAAGCTCGGGCATCTATCTTCTATCGGGTGAAGGGAAGCAGGCGGCTTGGCCAGAGTCTGGATATGATGCGCGCCAACTATGTGAGCAGGAGATGATGATGCCGGAGAGAAGCCTGATCCGAAATCGCGACCGATGAAACTGGCACATGCGACGATCAAGAGGGAGTGGGGCGTCCTTCTGATAGCAGCGGTACGTACCTTTCAGCTTGGTACCCTTGGTACCCAACTAAGAAGCGAATACAGAAAATTGATTCTACCTATATTAATTCGGAGTTGCTCTACTTATGTTTTCCCTTTTCAAGGGCTTATCCTCCGATATCTGGGAATGAAGCCGACAATTCAGATGACACTCTATGACGCTCAGTTTCGGCTAGCTGTCACCTAGGCAGCAGGTAGTGGTACATACAACCTTCAGCCATTGCCAGGGCACTCAAGTGCCGAGTGACACATCCGTGTCACAAGAAGTCTGGGGGATTGACCAGAAAAAACCAAGGTACATTTTGAATGGAGTTGGGTTTTATGTCTCTTGGAAAATGCTTGTGATAGTCACGACACGCCGCTTCGAAAGCCCTGAAATCCCCATAAAGTCAACTACATTCTTTACTCCAGGGTAGGGTAGTAATGTTGGTGATACTTGGGCGGGCAATTTCGTCAATTTGATCTATTTCATTTATTGACTTTAATGTATTCGGGTTACTCCCGCCAGCACCAACAAAGGCCTTTTGATTGACTTGGAAGGAGTTTATGTATCATCGTAGTTTTTGAGGTGGCCATATGCTGATATTCGAACAGTCTTGTCGGAATTGCGCTCACCCTGGCGCATTCCGGCCGCATATTTGAGCCGGCGCCTGGACCGGAACCTAAACGGCGGAAAAGGCGGTTTGATATACGGGCTGTAAAGCAGGGCCATGACGGACTAAATTCCGTCTCTTTTTTTGTTCCTGATTAGAATCAGAGCTTCGTCCGTCAAACACGTCGTCAAGGCGTTGGCAGACAAAAATGAAGACGCCAAAAGGTACCTCGATACCATTTGACTTGAGCAATATGATGGGTCGCCTGGGCGAAGTCACCCTATGTGTTTGAACCGGTCTGCAGAAGCGGAGAGCGAGGTCTTTCGCGCTGCCTATGGGTATCGTGTGCTGGAAGTCGGCGATGAAGTGCCCTTTGCTGGCATCTTCGCCTCTGTGGTCAAGGCGGAACAGCTACGGTGTGGAGGGTACATTGCGGCAACAATGGTACATGGAGAGTAGTTGAAGCTCTCTAGAAACCTTGGCAACCACGCGGGCAAAGTGTACTCGATACCGATCCAACGGAATGGCAGCTAATTTTGGTATGTTTTCGCACAAATGCAGTCTAAAAAAAACATGATGAGACGCCCAGGTCCGTTCTTGGCGATTGGGGGGCGGTGAAGCAGCAAACAAACCGAGCGCTAGTTATTGGTGAAAGTCGTTGGAGAGAGTTGCTTGATGATGTGGTCGATGGGGCGTCGATGAGGTTGTAAACGAAATGGGCCACGGCTGGGACTCGAGGCCCTTCGCTTGGGAAGTCGGCCATTTGTAGCCATTCGTGCATGTTCCGTCAGTTGCTCGCTTTCGTCGGTCAACTTGGCTAGAAAAGGCGGGGCGACTTGGGGATGGCGCGTTCAGATGACAGATGATTTGACTTAATCAACAGCCTTGGGCCTTGATTGTGGGCGATGCGCAGAAGACTGGCTGTGGCGCAGTGGAGTAACGTTGGCTAGCACGAAATGAGCACTACCGTTTTTTTTGTTTCGGCAATGCGGCTCGTCTGAGTCATTTTACCCATACGAAAGTACTTTTGTCTACGAATTACAGAGTGAATCCATAGTTATTGTGGTGATCTAATTTGTACCGAGTACTCAGCCCTCTTCCGGTGCGTGCTCCTCCACGTCGCGTCCTGTGCTGTCTGGTGTCAGGTTGAACTTCACCCAGCTGCCGGCGAAAAAGAAGTCGTCGTCGGAGAAGCCGTACAATTTAATGACGCAGCAGTGACAATGCGGCAATGCTCCCAGGCGCATTGTCACTGACTGCCTCTCTTGAAGAGTCGTCTCCCGTGCCATGTTTCAGAGTCTATCCGGCCTAGCGCTTCTTTTTGCGCAGGTACGTACTCGGCGCCACGAACTTACGAGAGAACATGTTCAATAATATATCGAGAACAAGACTATTCAAGTATTAGTACTCCGTAGTTGTATGTACTATGTACACCAACGCCCGGCTAGTTCCGACTAGGCAAGTCCTTGATTGCTCCAGGCGCATCAGTGCCTCACACGACATCGTCTCTAGTGTGCCTGATGATAGGGCTAATAGGGCTAACGCCAGGTCCGGTCCCCTCCCCTCCCTCCCCCTCCTGGTCCCCTATTTTTATGTATTTTTTTGCAAGGATCATCCGTCGAATGGCATCTTTTACCCGCTCGTCCACTGCAACACAACGTCTCTCAACTGGGTGACCGGATGGACCAGCAGAACGTCCAGCGAACCAGATGTCGTCGGCTTTTGCCCGCCCTGGCACACAAAGACAGGTGCCGCCTAATTCTAGTTCTTCGTTGGTAGCATGTAGGTACTCCGTAGTCGGGATATCTGAATACGTTCATTAGCGCGCCCGTACTCCATCTCTTGGGCTGCCCTTTTCTTTCTTCCTCGAACGATCCACCACTCATCATGGTGGAGGTATCTATTGCGTGCGTGGCCTCGCTCCCATTTCGGGTCAAGAGCGCCCACCCGACTCGTGCAAAGCTCTGCCCTCTGCCCTGCCAGGATGAGACGCCGCGATGAGGCTGAGATCAAACCAATTGAACCGTGTGCCCCGATGGATGTCGTACGAAAATGAACCTTGTCGTGGCCCCTGCCTTTTTCATGTCATGGTTCGCTGCCCCCATCCCATGCATGTCGGGGAAACTTTTTACGCCCTCTCTGTCTGCAATCTGCTGCATCATCATCATTCTGTCCTTTCCATTCTTGCTCCAACAAACACGCCCGCCTCGAAACAGCGTGTTCCGTCTTCATTCTTTACCGTCCTTCCATTCGATAAGCCTGCAGCGACGACATAGGTCGCCTCGACGACATCCAACGACAAACACCACCACCCAACAATGAACCGCCGCCGACGATTTCTCTGCATTATAATTCTCCTGACCATTGCCATCGTCACCGTATACAACTCGTACGAAACCATTGGTCGCTTCCTGCGCCTATTCGTGCCCCATGCCGGCTACCCCCTCAGTCAGGACCAAGCGCTGGCCCGGTTCAGGGTCCAGAGGCAGCAACCGAAAAACGTGCCGCGCCTCATCCACCAGGTTCTGCACAACTGGCGGCACGCGGGCAACGAATCGGCCTTGCTGCTGCCAGAATGGGAAACGCAGCGCCAGTCATGCAGGGACAAGAATCCCGAGTGGGAATACAAGGTGCGCAGCTGCGGAAATCGTGCTGACCAGCTCTCGCTAATGCTGTGACGTTGGTAGTTGTGGACGGAAGACATGTCGCGCGACCTGATCCGGGATGAATATCCCTGGTTTTTAAAAACATATGATAATTTCAGATATCCTGTTCAAAGGGAACAAACTGTTCGCTATTTTATCTTGCGACAATATGGCGGTATTTATATTGACCTCGACTTTGTACGTCTACCAACCTGCTGCATATCATATGCTATTACCTACCACCCCGTCTAACATATCTTCCCGCAGGGCTGTGTCGACAGTCTCGAAAGCCTACGACCCTACTCCGTCTTCATAGCCGACCACCGCCGCGGCACCCTCAGCGACAAGGTCCTCGGCGGTAGCCCCCAGCACCCCTTTTGGATCCGCATCACCGAGACCATCCCGCGCCACTCGCACTGGTACCTTGTGCCGTCCCTCACCATCCTCTACGGCACCGGCCGCTGGTTCCTCACCGCCGCCTGGGACCGCTGGCACTGGGACAACTGCCAGCAGACGCTGTTCCGCCACGGGCCCCGCACCGCCGACTGGCTCACGCGCCTGTCGATGCCGCGGTGGCGCGGCGCCCCCGAGTGGTCAATCTTCAGCAGCCACCGCGGGGGACGCGCCGACACCTGGCCCGTGGACCTTTTCGTGCTCGGCCGCCAGCACTGGGTCGTGTCCATTGTGAGCGGCGTTGTGGGCGCCGCGATTGGGGTCTACTTGGGCGTCAAGCTGTTCCGGAAGAGATGCGCGAGGAGACGGAGAGGAGGGTACAGGCCCATCACGGACGCGGAGAGGAGCTTGTAACTGTGTACATCATTTTGCATATTAGCCATCTTGAGCATTTAAGCGATTGAGCGATTGAATTACAGACTCACATTTCTGCCCTCGTTGTATTGTCTCTGAGAAATCTGCCAATCGTCGGGAGAAGAGTGATCTAATGGACTTTTTGACGATAAATATTACGAGCCTATCCAAGTTGAGAGAGATTTGAATGGAATGAAGTGGCCAAGAGGCGGAATAAGCCGAAAACGTCAAAGCTACTAATGCTTGATCCAGAGCTTGGTGAGCAGACCTCACGCCAGACTCTTCTCCCAGTTACCACAGAAAGACAACATGCAACAATACAAGGCTAGACTGACCACAATGTTCACTGAGGCTCATCTAGTTCAGCCAAGCCCACGTCTTCACCGTGGCCTTTGCGTCAGCCCTACCAAGTGCCAAGAGTTTGGTTCCCTTCGTTAGCGCCCGCATCTCCGCACGCCTTCCCGATCGTTCCGGTCTCGGTAGTGGCGAACCTAAAAGCCAGATATGCCCGCCCTCGGAATGGAAAGGACCGAGCATGTGCCCCAGACATGCATTTCCTACCCATATCAAGTGGAATGTCTGATTGCGTGGGGTTGCACTGTCGGAAGAAAAAGGTCGGCACGGGCCACGGCCGCATGGGAAAATCGGAAAGTGTAGCCCCGGCTTTCTCCCCGGCCTCTCATTTTGTCGCAATATTGACAATGCGCAGAGCCGTTTAGTCGCGGAAACCTTCTAGACTGTATTGAATCTATAGCTGCTACTAAACGAAAAGTTGCGTCCCTTACACATCCCGAGGCGGCCGGATCGAAAGCCCTGCTTTAGCGACAAATTCCCGTTTCATGCCTCGCCTGTGAATGCAGCGTGAAAGAGGAGCGACACAGAAGTTTTGATCATAAACGTTGTCAGTCGTATGGTTAGTATTTCATCCTGGGGTGCGTCTTTTCGTGGGATTATAACCCCGACAAGGGGAAGCTCCGGCCGTTCCGAGAACACCGGCCAGCTGATCCATGCGACACCAGTACGGAGTACAATCCTAGGGAAAAGGAGAAGAAAATACACAACAAAGTTATGAGACATCTGCAAGAATCGCTACTACAAGGATTAGCTTGAACATGTCTCCCGGCCTCCCCGCGCAGTCTTTACATCGGCTTCAAAGTCGTTGTGCAACGTGCAGAACCATGCTTGCACAGATTTCTGGGCCGCGTACGACGAAAACAGGAGCCTGGCGTTGTCAACCCGAGATGGCTGCCCTGTTCGGTCATGTGCCCTGGCTATCACGATGGGAGTGCCGTACTTCCAGCTGACCCCAAGGTTGTGCACCCGCACCAGGTGGAGAGCTCCGGATCTCCGGCCGACCGCCCGAGGCTTTCGTGAGACGACGGCGGGATGAGACAGACTATTCCACCTCAGTATCCGGAATAATCTTCCGAAAAGAGTGACCCGACAGTTGGGGGTTTTGACAAGCTCCACGTTATTCATTGTTGCATGGCCAAGGTAATGGAGAGTAGCCTGCCCGCGTGAGGCATCACAACCGGTCTCATTTTGAATGTTTACTATTTACTTAATGCGGGAATGACCTGTGGGTGTGGGCTGCGTGGCTGAGAGCCTATGGCGCACCCACTACTGTCCAGCCTCTACTTTTGTACCTTGGTCGATTTTACGTAAGAATGGCCTAGAAATGCGAAACCTACGCGGGCCTAATAAGTGTCGGTACGAGACACGCCGCATCTTCTCTCACCTTGTGGTCCAGACTGCTTGCTAGAGCTGAGCTGGACGACGGGCATGGCTGGCATCTCGAGCATCACGAGGATCATCGTAGCCGACTCAGCTACCAGGGTTTTTGGTTCCCGTATAAAGCCTGCTTTAGCTGCGGTGAGCCGCTACAGTGTCTTGGCAGAACATATGAGAAATAAATAAACATGACGCAGTGCAGGTGGCCAGGCGGCTGATGTGCGCTTCCCGGTATTTCTAGTTCTGAAGGTATGAGTTTAAACTTTTACAGGACAGAAGTTTATATCCAGACTACGCATACAGAAACAATAAAATCGGGTGTTTTGTTTCAGCAGATACGACGACTACACGGTTGCTACTAGTTACACCACGCCAGGTTCATGGATGACGTGGAACATGTCCTTGCTCTGGGAGGTGCTACAAGTGCCCGACAGTGCCCGACAGCTATCCCTTGGAAGATATTACCAATCTAATGGAATAGGAAGGTTCGGCCAGCCTTACAAGCGCGTTCTGCCGGAGTGGCACAAGGTTCAGCCAGCGTTACAAGCGCGTCTAGCCCCCCCACGTGCGCCGCGTAGTTTCGTGTGCACGCCAAAGTAACATGTTCGGATGTTCTGAAAGGGGCATGATGATTCATTGACAGATTTTCAACAATGTTTTCCAGCGTGGCCACTCCCAACACGAACACGCTAACGCCGACTACAAAATGCACAAGACCGCAAGAGGCCCTCCTGTGAAACCTCTCTCCTAGACAAACCCAACGACAACATGGTCGCTCTCAAGACTTTCGTTTTCGGCGCGATTGCCCTGGCCGAAGTGGTTGCCGGCAAACGCCTGTTCTACAACTCAGGCGTCCTCAAGGGTTGGGACTTTGTGCGCGCCGAACACTTGGGCAACATCACCGAGGACAAGGAGTTCTCGTACAGGTCGGGCAAATCGCTCAAGGTGACGCAGAAGTACGATATCCACTTCCACAACCACTACTACACCTCGGTGGAGCGCAACGACGGTCACTCCCGCAACGACGAGCGGTACTACGGCCTCTTGTTCCGCCTCGCCGACAACTGGGAACCCGTCAACCAGTCCATGACCATTGCCTACTTCGAGTCCCACCGCGCAGGCCGCAAAAACTGCGGCCAGCACCAATTGGTCGGCAACTCCATTTGGATCAAGGACCGCACGCTGAAGGCGCGCGTCATCGGCGGCCACTTCGCAGGCAAGAATTGCAAGCTCAAGGAGACCGAGCTGCCCGACCTCGGCGAAGTCACTCCCGGCAAGTGGCACAAGCTCATCTTTCACGCCAAGTGGCGGAGCGATAACTCCGGCCAATTCAGTGCCTGGTTGGACGGCAAAAAGACGGTGGACAAGAAAAAGGTGCACACCACAGTGGCAGGTCCATGGCATTTCCAGTTTCGAGGTATGTGCCAAGGATCCCACGGGGGTTTGGGTTCTCGCTGATGTTCTTGACTAACCGAGTAACTAGTTGGTCTCTGGCCGCACTCGTGGCACGACGAGGGCCGCATGGAGGGCACGCAGACGATCCGTGAGGCTTGGTTTGACGAAATCTCCATTGGCCAGCAGTTCAAAGACGTCGATCCGGACATGTGGTAGGGAAGGGTACAAGAACGCAGATACAATGACCATAGCCAGGGCCGACAGGGTGGAGGGACGATAAGGCGGAGGGATAATAAGGCGATAGTAAAGCGGAGGGACGACAAGGCGGAGAGATAACAAGGGAGAGGAATAATAAGGCGGAGGGATGACAAGGGAGAGGGATAATAAGGCGAGGGGCGATAAGGCGGAGGTATGATAAGGCGATAATAAGGCGGAGGGACAATAAGGCGGAGGGACAACAAGGCGGAGGGACAACAAGGCGGAGGGACAACAAGGCAGAGGGATGACGGGGCGCATAGCAGGTAGCTGATGACAACAACAATCCGGAAGCCAGGTTCCCGAATCTCGTCGCAGATGACGTGCACCACACTTGTTGGCCGATAAACTAGATGGCGATGGTGCGGGCGCGGCCTCAACTAGGCGCCAAGTTGCGCTTGCGTGTGGATGAGACAGTATAATCAAAAATAAGAGAGAAGGGGAATAATGTCAAGTGCGAATTTCCAAGTAGTCCATGCCAGCACCAGCAGCAGTGGATGCCGTAGAACGTCAGGCGCGTGCTGCGCGTGCGCGGGCGGGTTACCGCTTGAAGAAGTGAAGGAACTGGTGATGCTGAGCTGGGTGCCAGGGAAGCGAGCTATCGTCTGCCATGCTGGCGCTCGTGGCGAAACCGGACGCCGAGTAGACCAGGGTCGTGTCGTGCCCGGTCTGCCCGACACGGATATCAGGGCGGAAAGACGGGCGACCTGCGGTCGGGGGGGGGGGGGGGGTCGTCATGTATGGGGGAACGGACTGGCACAACTTTGGCGGCTGCTCGCGACACGCGTCGAGTTCGACCATCTCCGGGCCGTTGCGACAAAGTTTCTGCTTGCGGAAGCGGGGAAAGATTCTCTCCTCTACCCCTCCGCGGCCGGTTGAAGCCCAACAGACCTCTCAAGCCTGTCTCCGACGCCAGAAAAACCACGCTAGAAACCCGACACCGGTGATCCAGTGCGCAAACGCGCGGCGTCGAAGACGCTCCCCGCCATGCCACCAGACGACCGCGCCGTCCGCGAGCCGCACCGCGGATAGGATGCCGAGGAGCGTCGTGAGGGCCAGCTCCTGACCTTGCCGCTGCAGAGAGACCAGGGCCGCGCCGTAGCTCATCTCGCGAATGGCCTTGAAGTACATGAGCGGCGATGGGGGGACGACTCGCCGGCGTTGTCGAGGGGGAGGCCGACGTGGCCGTACTCGCGGCGCGGCGAGAGCGCGCCCGTCAGACCGCGACCGCAGCAGGCGGCGCCCAAGACGTATGCCGGGATATGCGAGTATGACATGGCAAGGTGGAAAACTGTGCGAGGGCTTGGTTTGACCCAAGGTTGTTGGTCAACGAAGGATGGTGAACCAGTTGCTTACTCATTAAGCGCTAGCCCGCTTCGGATCGGACGGATTTCCCCCGGCCCTTTATTACGTCCATCTCTCTTGCAAATTGTAGTCAATTTTCTCTTATTTTTTCATGTATAATTATCTTTTCCTGTTGCTTTAATTTATTTATTTTCATAATTTTGAATCACCTCTCCCCTCTCCACCATCCATTTAAACGGCCAATACTTGGTGATCTGCCCCACGTTAAGAATTATACATGCGTTCATTGTTTCGTCTTTCGTCATCTCGTATACGTTCCACAGATGGTGTAGTCCTTTTCCGGCCCATTCACAGTATATGCGCACACCCATCTCTCCAAATTAACCGCGTCAAACACAAAATTATAATTGACATTATAATAGTCGTCAATGCATAAGTGTCCCGACTTGGCGGGCCACCAGCGCTGGTGACCCCCTCCACTCGCGGGCGGATCTTGAAACTCAATCTCGTGAAAAAAGTAGTCAACACGCTTATTGTCATCCGGCTTGGCGAACCACACAGTAATTGCGCCGGATGCCTCGTCGTAGCGGTAAATGTAGCGACGCGTGGCGGGGAAGCCGAAGCCCTGGTCCGTCTTGAATTCGCCGTCTTCGATGTAGAGGTATTCGAGGCTCTCGCCATCCTCGTACGGTGGGGAGATGCCCTCTTTGATTACGCATTGCACGCCTTCCTTTGTGGTGGCACGCAAGAGAAATTGCGCAGTGCCGCTGAAATGGCCGCTGGGGTGTGTGGGAAGCTTGCTCCTGAGGTCGCGCTCTAGCTTCCATGTCCCGAGAAGGCTCCGGAACACGGCGCGGGAGACAAATCGAGGCGTAGTCAGGGCGTCCTTGAGAACGACTTCTGCGTTATGCATGAGAGTTTTCGCGTTGGCATTGTCTTCACCGTCCTCATTAGCAGGGGAGTAGCGACAGGGCGCAATCATGTCTAGAGGCAGTCCGTTCGTTGTGAGATGGGGGGTGTCGACAGCCAGCGGCGGGTTGATGTCCAAGGACAAGGCCTCGGCGAATTCTTGCAGCAAGAATGGATAGTCTCCCATGTGGAATTGCGCCTGACGCGGGTCATCCCTAAGATTAAGCGTCCTTTGAATGCTTGTATCCCGGGCCAGCTTCTCTCGAAGCGTATCCGACGGCCCCTCGCTAGACCAAAGCGCAGCCAGGAATCGGGCTTGCATTTGTATGACACCCCAAAACGCCCCTCTGTAGAATCCGACAAACCCCAAGTCGGGCACGTCTGGATGATGCGTCGCATGGAAAGCGAGAGCGAGCAGCAGTGATGGGTGCACGGGAGAATACCCGAGCGTGCTCAATACATCTTTGGGCAGAAAGCTGACGCAAGGCGCTGGACTGAAACCTGTCGCAAGGACGACTGCAGCGACGTCTTCTATTGACGAGTCGGCCAGTTTGGCAGTTGACCCGGCGAGAGACTCTAGTCGGCCATTGTGCACCGTGATGAAGCCTGAGCGTTCGAAGTCGCAGTACCAATCACTACATGACACATATGGAGGTAACGAGCGATCCAAGCTGTTGGAACCTGTCTCACGGGTATCAATCATTTGTCTTGGCCCCAGAGAAACTGTGAGCCGCTCATGGACCATCTTGGCTCTCTCTTCCGGAATGTGGCCCTGTGTATCGGTGAACGGCACTGGCCTGTTATTCCTGTTCCAAGACGAAAAGTCCTGCGGCAAAAATGGCGGCGCTTTCCATTTCGGCTGCCACGATCAGCTTATGCTTATGCGCGGATGTTGAGATGGGCCGCTTACCTCGGGGGTTGTGTATAGCGGAATGACCCATGGATGGCGAGGACTGACGTGATGGATGCTGTATTTCTCGATATTGGGTATTGCGCTTTCGTCTGGTGAATTGATTTCGTTGGAGAGATGTGTCGAGATAGTCGCCGCAATCTCCACGCCCGACATCTGGCCACCGGCGACCAGTATCTTGCCGCCTTTGCCCGAGCATCCGAGAAGCGACTGCAGGTCCCGATATTGACAGCTGTGAATCACGGGTATGGTGGCATTTTCCTTTAGTGCCTTTGGGATAATGGGGTCCCCAAAGTAGCCAGACGCTACAACTAGACGATCGAAGCGAGTCGTCTGGTCGCCGTCGTCCGACCGGACTGTCACACTCCACCCCTCGTCATCCTTTTCGGTGCGCACAACCCGCGTCTTGAGTTTGAGCTGAAAATCAGGGCGCCCGGAGAGGTATTTTTCGGCGTAGCGGTGCAGATACCGGCCCAACATCCAGGCCGGCGGCAGCTGAGGGGTCTTGTCCTCCCAGGCCAGGTCGCTAAAGTGCATCGAGTGCCGGCTCTGGTTGGCCAGCATGAGCGGGTGAATCTGGCGGCCGACGTCCTCCTTGAACGTGGGCCAGAGACCGCCGACATCCTGCTGCGCGTCAAAGACGGTGACGCGAAAGTCGCCCTGGGGCGCGCTGTGCAGCAGCGTCTTGGCGACGGCGAGACCAGCCGGCCCCGCGCCTGGATATCGTCGGTAAGCGCGCTGCGAAAATGGAGTATGGTGGCGTAGACGTACCGACGATGCAAACCGACTTGGCCATGGCAGTCCAAGGGGCGTTTCTGCGCAGGCTCATGAAGCGATGTTGAGAGGAGGTTCGCAAGCGGGGTTTTCGGATGGTAGGCTGTGCGGCTTTGGCGGTCCACTGTCGTGCGAAAGCCGTTCAGACTATTCTGTGCATCATGACAAATAACACATTGTGATGACTGATGATGCTGCGCATTCGACACTTTGTTCAGTGCAGCGTTTCGTTTCTGATAATGAGAAATACTTGGGGCTGTGTTACGAGTGGTGTGGCCTCTGGCCGCCATCGAACCACTTCATTGCTACTTCGCGAAACGTAGGGGCGCAGGGCTGTTTTCTAAGATGGCTTGAGCAGTATTCATCATTTAAACATGTTGTTTCAGTCGCACTCAACCCCAGACTGACCCCTGGTCTAGGAAAATACCAATCAATAAAAGGCGTGGATACAAGGCCGAAGAGTTGGCAACTTCTGCGGGTATAACCAAAACGGGAACTCCCCGATCAGCAGCTGCTTTATCCATCATTTCATTTTATACTCTCTATAATATCCTGCCGTTCGGTCATGCGGCCTGATTGCTCTTCGGCGCAAATAGGGTAAGAAACAGGTAAGTTATCGCCAAAACTTAGTTTACACCCTGTGTGTAGTTAGATACGAAATAATACATATATAAGTAGGCTAATGTGTTCTTCGGTTACATACAGTGTAGCGGCCCTGGTGGCGGAGTGGTTAACCGTCGCAGACAGCATCTATGGATTCCATAGAGGCGGTTGGTTCGAATCCAGCCAGGGTCGCCTTTTCTTAACCCGCAGTCCACCTTGCGTCAGTAGGGGCGTGATCTCCCTCGTTGTCGATGAGCCCCGAGATCAAAGTCAAAGTTGGGGGTACACCGGGCGGTGACTTGTCATCGCCCGCTGCACCCCCGGTCGATGCAGCCCCGAGATCAGAGTTGGGGCTGCATCGACCAAATGACTGGCGACCGTCGCCAGTCGACAACTCTTTTGCTCTAAACCAAGCTAATATCGGCATTACTATTTTATTCTTAGGAGCTCCTATATAATTAATTTTTTTTTAGTAACCTACTATATATAATAATTCTATAAGTTTTAGTAATAAGTCTTGAATTTTATAATATTATTTTTCTTACTTTAAAAAATAGGCTTATAAATAGCTTTAAGTTAGTAAGCTTTTAGTTATTTTATAGGTTCTTTAGTAGACTCTATATATAGGAATTAGTATCTTCTATATTTATACTATTCTATCTAAGTTCTAAATAAAGGGGTTATTTAAGTATCTAAGTAAGAAATAAAAAATAGAGTTTATTTAGAATCGACTAAATTAACTAGTAAACTAGCCTACTAAGTTAAGAATTGCTTAAGTTATAGCCGATTTTCTATATATATATAGTAGCCTCTATGGTATAGTGGTTCTATATTAAGGAGTGCTATGTGGGTTAGTATATAGGCGCTGGTTTGAATCTAGCTGTTAAGGGCTGGGCTACGGAGCCTGCCCTAGTCCTTCTATAGTGGCCAGCGCGGCAAGAGAGAACCCTTATAGGTGCAACTAGATAACAACAAGTTAGTATTGTTGTATGTAACGGACTGGCCCTAGAGGGGCTTCGGGGGCAACCAGCCCCGCGGCTATTAGTGGCCTTACGGCGCACAACCCTCTTGCCTACTTAACCAAGGAAGGCAAAAGGATTCGTAACAACAATACTGACTTGTTGTTGTCTGGTTGCACCTATAAGGGTTCTCTCTTGCCGCGCTGGCCACTATGGAAGGCGCTGGGCTAGAGCCCAGCCCGTAACACTAGCTAGAGGTACCTTTTCCCTTCTTTGCGTTTTTTCCTTTCCCTTCTTTCCCTCCTAAAAGTTAAGTATAGTAATTAAGGCCTATAAGCGACTTATAAGGGGGGGTAAGGCTAGGGTAAGGTAAAAAGAGTAGGTAACTATAAGAGGGTATAGGGCTTACTAGGAAGTATAACTAACTACTATACTACCTAGCTATAAAGGGTATTAATATTAAATATATATAAATACTATAGTAAGGGTGTTAATATATAGTAAGAGAAATAATAAGGTTAGAAGTGTTAATTTCTATATATACTAGATATAATAATATTATTAAAAAGAGAAAAGGGTTTTCCCCTTAGCTAACTAGGTTTTTTCTACTTCTAAATTAAATTTATAGAGGTACTAGTATTGTGATCAATAGGGCATATATAGGGTAAGAGGTGAAGTTGTTATATTGTGTATCTTCTATCTGGTTGTATGGTACGGATAAGTGCTAGATATACTAGGTAACGGGAAATCGTTCTTCCGGCTTCCAGGCCGTCTGTTATTAACTAGAAAGGTAAAAAATAGCCTAATTAGTATATTTAAATTTATTTATTTATATATATATAATACTTCTTTTATTTAATATAGCTACTTTAAGGTATTCTTTCTTAGTTTAAGCTATTAACGGCTAGGCTAAGCTTACCTTAGTCTTTCTAGAGTAGCTAGTATAGAGCCTTTAACTAACTAGGTATACGAATTAGACAAAACACATATGTAGGGACCATATTGACAACAGGGCTGCTAACTAGATTTGAGATGGGACTATCCATTTCAGCCCCAGGTGGAGAGTTCGGCGCAGCACAATCGCTCCACACAACTCTTCGTAACTCTCCCCAGGACCCTGATGCCGTCCAATGCCGGTTGCTAGGCTAATCTCGGCTCAGCCTACATAGAGGGGCCCCGTACGGGGGCCCGTTACCTTGCAGAGGATCAGTTCTAGACCAAAGCCCACGTGCGCGCAGTGCTTGGCCGTTATCGAAGTTGAACTGAATGAAGAGGAGGCCAATAAATAGGAGAGGTACCCCTCTAATTTGTGGTGTGCGCAGCTGGGCATCTCGCAAGGTTGTTGTCGAATCAGACAGCAAGTGATAGACAGTACAAGCCATAACAAGGGACTGACGGCGAATTCAACAGTACAGATCGGCATAACTACAAATTAGTATCAACTGGGTAATGGTAGCGAGGTCACATTCGAGAAAGGCTCACCGTTTCGCCAACTCGCTGTGGCAAGCTGTTTCCTTTCGAAAAGCTGAATGACATCTCAAAGAGACAATTAATGGCTGTCTGCACTCCTTGACGCTGCAGCCATGCGCACTTTCTACCATGTGAGAAGTCGCAGAACAGTCCTGATTGCGGTTTGTCTCGTCATCTTTGGCGCAGCACTTTATCATGATTATGCGGCTCGACGCCCCTGGCTACATCTCCCACGGTAGGCAAAGCACCCGTACCACCACTACAAAACGGTTGTGCTGACACCTCTTTCCTCGGTTCAGCCTGCGCGGATACTACAACGGGATACAGACAATTCGTCCTCCAAAAGGAGCGATACCGGGCAAGAACGGTGCATCTACAAGCTTCCCCACGCCGCGCCGCTACGACCCGTACACTGGCCTGGAGCCCTTGCAAACATGTTTCCTCGACGCAGAGAAGACGGTGGCCGCGCCCGATATTTACGCCTATGACGGCGTGCCTGAGGACATGCCGCAGCCGGCTTTGGGATCGCGTGAGCTCCTCAAGATTCGGGACGACGTGTGCTTTGACCGGTTCGGACGCTATGGTCCCTACGGCTTGGGATATGGGAAAGACCTGGGGGGTATAGGACCCTCCAACGAGACGGAGAGCTCTTCTAGCAAACACAGACATTTTAGGGCAGAGTCAGGTCTGATTGACTACCGCCGAGTGGACTGGGACGCGGCGCAGAAACGATGCTACGACGCCAACAAGGCCCAGCCCCCGACGACGACGGCCCAGTCTCCGGCCCCGGACACGACCAGAACGGCGATTGTCATCCGCGGCTACGAGGGCTTCGCGTGGACGCCCATGGCCATTCTCAACGTGCGCGCCATGGTCACGGAGCTCTCTCTCAAAACCGGGGGCGCGTACGCGGTGCACCTGCTGATGCAGGTCAAAGACGCCGCGTTTCCGCTGTCAGCGCCGCCGCCGGCCGCGGTGCGCGCCGCGTACCTGAACGCGCACGTGCCGGCCGAGTTCCACGGCCTCGTCACTCTCTGGAGCGAGCACCAGATGCGACAGCTGTACGCGGGCGACTACTCGACCGGGTTCCGCAACCCGACGGGCCGGGACGTGCACGACGTGTACCGCAGCCCGCACCTGGCGCTGCAGTCGTTTGCCCGGGCGCACCCCGAGTACCGCCACTTCTGGAACTGGGAGCTCGACGTGCGCGTGCTGGGCAGCTACTACGAGATGCTCGCCCGCATCGGCGCGTGGGCCGACGCGCGCCCGCGCGCGCTGCTGTGGGCGCTCAGCGAGCGGTACTACGTGCCGCGCCACCACCACCGCTCGTGGGACAACTTTACGCGCGCCGTGCGCCAGCAAGAGGCCGCCCGCGACCAGCCGCCGCCGGGCCCCAT